TTATCTTCCTTAATATAATCTTAACTTAATACTTATTAATAAAATTACAACTTATTAAGCATTAAATATAAAACCTTATATAAATCTTTATTTAAATTTTATGCTTTTATCTTTATAAACATTATTATTATTTAATTTATATAATAATATTAATAATTAAAATTTATATTAAAATATATCTTAATTTTAAAATATATTATTATAAATATATTAATTTAATTTATAAAATAAAGATAATAGGCCTTAGCTTAATCTTTAAGTATTTAAAGAAAAACTATATAAAATTAATTTAGCTAAATTTTAAGATAATAATAAATATTAAAAAATATTTTTATCTTATTATTTAATAAGTTATATAAGTTTTTAATATACTTATAAAAATTATTAAAGATTTTTATAAATTATATTAACTTTATTAAATTTAAATATTTATTAAAAATATATTATAAAGAAAAAGTTTTATATAAGTTATACTTCTTATTTAATAAAGGTATTTTTAAAGTAGCTTAAAATTATATTAAGTATAATATATATCTTTAATATAAGCTTTATCTTTATTTCTTTATTAATAATAATAAACTTTATTAATTATATTAATTTTTAATAAATTATATTATTAAATTTAAGTTTTATAATTATATGCTTAAAGCTAGCAATAATAATAAAAGTTATCTTAGGAATTATTCTCTTAATAATTATTATTATTTAAAGCTTGCTTATAATTCTTATAAGGGCTATACTTATAATTACATCTTTCCTTAGCTTAAGCTATAATAATTAATTATAATATTATAAATTAATTATTATATTTTATATAAATGCCTTGCATTTAAAGAAAGATTTTTAAGTATTATTAATAAGGATTTAGCAATAATTTAAATATTATTTATATTTATATTATATAATCCTTATAATAAGTAATAAAAAAATTATTATTATAAAGGTTTTATTATATATAATTTGCTAAAATACTTATTAAATAGGTAATTAAATATTTTATTAATGCTTTTTATATAAGGGTTATAAATTATAATTTTAAGTTAATATATTTATAATAAGCTAAGTTAATTAAAGTTTAAGTAAGTATTTTATTAATTATATATTCTTTAATAAAAGTTAATGGCTTTTTAGCATTATTAATTATGCTTATAAGTTTTTATAATAAATATTATAAAGAGTAAAATTAATAAAATAAAGAAATATTAATAAAATAAGTAATATTTAAGAGTAAGTTAATAATAATAATTTAATAATAAGTAAGTTATAATTGTTAAGAAAAAGAAATTATTAATTTTTTAAGCTTTAAAAGCTAAAGCTTTCTTTTATTATTAAGTTTTTTTATATTAATTAAAAATATAATATATAACTTATGCTTGCTTATAATATAACGTTATATTAGCTTTATAATTATAATAATTATAAGCTTTATTTATTAATTAAATAAAGTTTTTATTAAGTTTTGTTAAGTTTTAAAAAAAGGTTAAAAATAGGTTTATAATAAATTTATTTTTAATAAAGTTTTATATATAATAAATATATATTTCTTAAATAGCAATAAATATATATATAAATATCATAGAGAATGCTATTTAATTTATTTAATCTTTATAATATTTGCTTAGGGAATTTAATAATATAGGGAGGCTTAAATAAGTAATTATTATTATATAGTGCTTATTAATAAGGAGGATATAATTTTTAAGTTAGGAAAATCCTTATAAGATTGCCTTTTTTACCTTATTAATTTATAATGCCTATAACTATTAATTAGTGTTAATAGGTTTCTTATATGTATAATAATTATATGGGAAGCAATTGTGTATTGGTGTTGTTTTGTTTAAGTTCTGAGAGGCTACGTGCCCCGGAGGGGATAACTAAAGTAGCCTTTTAAGTGCGAGGGTCGTACTTGCCAACACCCGCAACCCCAAACGCCGAGGGGAGCGAGGGTGGGAAATTGACGATCACCCGCCGGCCATAGCTCTCTTTCAGCTTTGGACGGCTATTCCCTGCGGCTGTTGAGCGGCGCCCTTTTCGGCAAGAGTTTGTTGTGACGGGAGGTAGCACTCGCGAAAGCCAGGCGCGCGTGTAATTATGGGTCTTTCCACCACCCAACACTGGATGCGGCTGTGCCTCGAAGGGCTGGCTGCTCCTGTATGGTACCATTATAGCCAGGGGATTATGTCTTCAATGCATGACTGCGGTGTATTAACACCTTTCTATAAACTTTGTGTATGGTGGGAGGCTTTTCACTCTGGTGGCTTGTTGAGACACCCAATGGACGATCTAGACTTTGGAAGGAAGATACACCCAGGTCTCTTCAACAAGATATCTCGTAATTTGAGAGTGGATGAAAATGCATGTGTTCTGCTCCTTCATTGAGTTTAGTCTGACTAGATGACCCGTCGACACGTAATTCTGCGCACAGAACAGCTATTGCCTTGGTTCGCAGTGTATAGCCACGCACCTGGTCGCAATCAACTCGCTGCATTATTTAGTACGACGGAATGGGCCATCGCTATGAGTAGGTGTTGTAATTAAGTGCGTGAGATATGGAGACTTTTACGCAAATGCAGTCCTCTTTGTGTATTCAAGGATGCAATCAATTCCAGGCCCGAAGGGGTGAATTGAGTTCATGCATTCTAGAAGCAGATAAATTGGGCGCAGTCCATGAGAAAGCTGTGGTCGAATGAAACTTCTGTAGACAGGTTTCCAGCGGTAATAAGCAGATAGAAGTAGCAGTATGGTCAATCAGACTGGACGGTCAATACTGTTCTTTCGACTTCTCAACGTTGTACAGCATCGTGAGGCCATGTGAGTATACAAGTAGAAAGGCAGAGGATTGCGTCAACCTCACCCGTTTGAATGCCACAGACTCACGGTACGGCCACATGCTCTGGTGGCTGAAGCCGATGAAACCAAACGCACAAATTACGATCATCAGCAAGGAGGCCAACTCCTAGGCTCCGCTCTAGCGAATTGTTTTGCTTTTGTGTAGCAGTATCCGTATCGATGACAACAAGCACCCTAGGGTTCATAAGAGGCAAGGGTAGCGTTTTCGAATCTCTACAACCCTGACTCTTATAGCATGGTAATGTGTTGCTTAAAGAGTACTTGGCTAGGTTTTCTATTTCACAAAAGTAATACTCTTACGCATGGATAGTCCTTCAGCCTTCTTTTCTTCTTGCCTCTGCACGCACGCATCGGTCTTGCTCTGATTGCTTACAGGCGTTGCTACTGCCAACCATTAATGATGTAAATGTGCGCCATGATTAACGCGACCGCAGCCACGGTAGTACAGTGGCGGGCCGCAGAGGAGGGACCAAGATGATGATGATGATCCGAGAATGATGGCCCGAGGCGGCGGTCATGTCTTACGTTATCATGCCTGGGAATGGAACATGTCGCACGATGGGCGACTCTGTTTCAATGACAAGACACGGCGGCAGGCAGAATGATGAAATGACAAGAGGTGCGTCCTGGGGGCTTGTGTGGCTCCCTAGGCAGGTAGTACGAGCTGCTGGGGTTGTGCGCCGTCATTGGTGTTTGGGGGGAGGGACGACCAAGGTGGCGGGGATTGGGCGATTACGCAGGCTGGCAGGGTGAATGCGAGGCCGAGGCCTGGGAACGGCTGACTATGTGCTGAGAATGTACGAACGATGCACGGTCTAATACCTAGTCTAATGTGAGTGCAACAGGCTACGGCTTTTCGCTGATTGGCTGGCTGGTGTGTGTCTGTGTGGTGGGAAGTCCCCCACCTGGGGCGATATATCCTGAGCGGCTATTGGCATGACCGTCGCTGTGGAAAGGCGGCATTTTGATTTAGCATGACATTTGGTCTCGGGGGCTGGCAAAACACAAGAGGGAGAGAGATAGGAGCAAGTGAAGCAGCCCGGGCAGTGGGACTTTGATTGGAACCTCGGAACCTTGGGGAGCTTGGAATTGACGTGGCCACACCATGGCGCAGGTGAGGGGAGGGCTAGGCGTGTCGAGAATATGATGCAGTCGTGGCCTGGTCTCGCTCTTGATCGGGGCGCCGGGAACCCAATCGTGAAGCCCGAGCAGAGAGACACACAAGAGACACAAGAACAGAGATGAGGGAGGGCAGAGAGGGACAGGGAGAGAGGAGCCCGAGAGACGAGGAGAGCGGGGGGAAGCCAGAGGCGAGACGGCAGGACGGGTGGCAGGGCCAGGAAGTGAGGAGAAGAAGGCGAAGCCTGATGTGAGGACCACAAACGCAGATTGCTGCACCCAAGAGCCAGGCCTGCCATGATTGGCTCGAGGGGATGGTGGCCTCGTCTTATTGGATTGTACCACTGCGGAGGCGGTAGGTCGAGTGACTTGTGGCATTGGGCCGTTGTGCGCGCAATTCAAAGTAGAGATACAAGGCTGTCGTGCAACCCGCAGCCACCGCAGCACAAGCTCCAAGCTCCCCCTCCACTAGACCGCCGTGGTCAGCGTGCCGCCCGCCTGTGGCCGTTGCTGAATGGTGGAGAGGCTGGGCAGGTGGGTCACTGTTCCCACCGGGCTGCGCTGCCGACTCCTCACTTCCTCCAGTCCTCACCTCTCAGCATCTCCTGCCCCCATCTGGGCCCATGCAGCAGCTATCCTACCAGCTACCCCAGGCAGGCCTAAGCAGAGCAGCGCGGTGCCTTACTCCGCTTTCCCTTCTGAAAGGGCTGCCCGCCTCGCCCTGCTCGCCCACCGCCCACGAGGCTTCAGCCCTCCCTCCCTCTCTCTTTTTCTACCGCTGCCGCCCCCTTCAGTCCGCCCCAGCCTTACCCAACCCTCGACCACAATTTGCCTGTCCACCACAATCAACACACAACCACAACCACAAACCTCGCCCACTTTCTTCCCCGCCTCCTCCTTTCCTCCTTTCCGCCGCCAACACCACTTTGTTCCATGGTGTTCGAATAATTTGCAGCCCGGGTCGAAGCCGTGCAATTCGCCTCAACCTGCCGCCCGCTTACCAGCACCAGCCCAGCCCGGCGCAGCTCGAGATGGATCCTCCCAACAAGCGCCGTAGGCTTGCGCCCAAGGTCCCAGAGCCTGCCCCTATTCCCACTGCTTCGGCAACTGCTGCCGCCGCCACGGTTCCTACCCCTGCGACCACGCCCCAGCAGGCTCAGTATAGTCCTGAGCAGGTGAGCACTGGAATCAATTTATTTCACTCGACACCTGGTACGCGTCCGTTCCCAGACTGACCGCGACATCTTCACACGCAGACCCGCCCACAATATCCCGTGCAGGAACATGCCCACGCCCAGGCTCACGCGGCTGAACGCCATGACTTCGAGTCCTTTGCCCGCCACCTGCAGGATGCTGCCATGCACATATACCGCAAGATGGAGAAGGCGCCCTCCTACACTAGCGCCTCCGTCCTGCTCCTGCGCTGGGAGGAGGACACGTCCGTAGAGCACGAGCTGGTCGCCCTGGAGAAGGTCTTCCGTGAGAAGTACAACTACCACACCGACAAGTGGGCAATACCTACCGTGCCGAACCCCAGCATCAAGCTCGGTGTCCAGATGGCCGCCTTTATGGACAACGCCAGGAGCGACCACCTGCTGATCATCTACTATGCTGGTCACGGCTACGTCGGCGCTGACAAGCAGCTGCACTGGGCAAGGTGAGTAAATTTGTGCCGAATTGTGCCATGCCGCCGTGTTCAGGGCAAACCTCCCGTCCAGCAGACTGACCACATCACGTAGCAACACCCGAGAGGATGCCTGCAAGCTCAAGTGGAGCGGCGTGCGGTGTCTCTTCGAGGATGCCTCATCTGACATCCTGCTCCTGCTGGACACATGTGCCATCCACGACGCCCCAGTGGCTGGTAGCCACGGAGTGAAGCAGGCCATCGCAGCATACAGTCCCGGTCAGAGGGACGCCGAGTATCACACACGCTCCTTCACAACTCACCTGGTTGAGTCTCTTCATAAGCTCAGCTCCGGACGGCCCTTCCCTGTACAGCGCCTATACGAGGAGATTATGCGCCGTAGGCATGATGACTTGACCGCGAAATTAAGCAATGGCGGGGCAGGAAAGCCACCTCCTGAGAGGACGCCGACCTTCTTCACCCTCACCCCGGGCAAGACCCAGAACCTCACCCTGGCACCTCTTCGTCCAGCGCGTACTCCCGCTCATGACACAGAGACTAAAGATGCCCCTGGATCCGGCGCATTGCCTGACCTTACTTTTGACGACGCCAGAGTGCTTGTCTGCACTACCTTTGTTGGTGACGCCAACCCAGATATGATGTTCTACAATCAGTGGCTACAGAAACAGCCACCCATTGCGTCCAAGATAACCATGGAGGGCATGTTCCTCGGGCCCCCAACCATGCTCCTGATCTCAATGCCCCAGTCTATCTGGAATATTTTTCAACATGACAAGGTTTGTTGCTTCTTGGGCTACATCAATTCTCACAACATGATGGACTTGTACAATGGTCTTGTCAAGTCGACACCTGTGCCACCTGTCAACCACAAGGCAGTGGAAGATGGCCGCATCCTCCTCGAAGCCAGAGAGGCGGCCACAAGCAGCCCGGCCAGCAAGAGGCGGCACGAGGCGATAGCCCAGCAGGCGTCCAGCTACTCAGAGCTGCCAATGCGGCAAGAGGCGCCGACTAGGAACCCTCTTCCGAGCTCAGCCCCGTCAGCGAGCCTGATAGCGACCACAGCCTCGGCTAGGGACGACGGCGAGGACTCAGCCGAGATGAAGGAGGCAGCTGAGCAGCTCAAAGCACTGAGTCACGTCAGGCACATGAGCGATGGGGCGGCAAGTGCCGTCTCTGACCCTCGTCAACGGGATTCGCCGTCGTCGAATGGTGCCAATGAATCTGGGATGGAAGACGTTCATTATTCTGCAGACCTCAACGGCTCTGCCTCGAAACCGAAGCCGACAACACCGGCGCGGAAGCCTCTTGCAAAGGCGCAGCCGAAGCAGGACACCCGGTGCAGCCACTGCAGCCACGCCCCTTTCAAGGATTCCTCATCGCTGCGCAAACACATCGCCGCTGCTCACACCCGGCCATTCCCCTGTGCGTTCTCTTTTGCCGGATGTACCAGTACATTCGGCTCCAAGAACGAGTGGAAGAGACACATTGCCTCCCAACACCTGTGTCTTCAATACTACCGCTGTTCGGAGTGCCCATCCAGTGCCGCCGAGGGTAAAGGCAATGAGTTTAACCGAAAGGACCTCTTTACGCAACATCTGAGGAGGATGCACGCCCCATTCGCCATCAAGAAAGCATTGACAAAAGTCGACAGCAAACTGAATTCTGAGTGGGACAATCACGTCAAGGAGTTGCAGCAATCTTGCCTGGTCACGCGCCGGGAGCCGCCTCAACAGGTTTCTTGTCCCAAGCATGATTGCCAGAAGGAGTTTGAGGGCCATATCGCATGGGACGAGTGGACCGAGCACGTAGGTCGCCACATGGAGAAGGGAGATGGCATCAGACTCGGCGTCGACCCCATGCTGGCCAAGTGGGCTCTGGACGAAGCCATCATCGAGCGGGATGAAAGTGGAGGATACAGATTCTCCACACAGAATGCCGCCAATGGAGGAGATATGGACCGACGTGATTCCATCATCAATAGCTCCTTCATCTCGGACGGAGGCAAGCTGGAGGAGAAGGTGGACAAGCTGGATGACATTGCGAACGGCGATAAATCCGAAGACAATATCGAAGATAACATCGAAGACAACATTGAAGACGACGAACATGATCCAAACTCGATCGTAGTGGCCACATCGACCGCGATGCACGACCGGATGGACACGGACGACTAGGAGAACGGCCGAGTTGCGGTCGCGCAGGCAGCACCTCAGAATACATCTTCGGCTATGGATACCTCTAGGGGTGTTCATGTCTTCGGATCCTTACTTCCCAGCCCTACACTCGGGGAACACATCGATCCAAACACTGTGGATCCCCCTCCTCCAGACCTGGGACTTGGTGGGAGATCTCCCTCACGGTTGCAGGGGCCAGAACAGGCGTTTTGCCCGATGGGGGGTATAGCACTACGTCCCCCGACCGGAGGCTTTCATGTTCCTTCATCGGACCAAGGAGGTACTGTCCCTCCATCTACGAGCAAGTCTGGTTCCTACCCACAGGCTCGAAACATCACACCGCAGGAAAAGGCTGCCAGAGATCCTTCCCCCCACATTTGAATGGCATCACAAGTGCCAGTTCAACTCTTGCAAGTCACAACACGGAACGCCCTGAGAAAAAGATGTGGTCAGGGCGAAGTAAGGCATCAAATAGCATGCGTGCCTCACCGGGCAACACGACATTAATCGGCGGCGACGAACTGGACTCGGCAACCGTGTCCAATAAATGCCAGCAGTCCGACAGACTGCAGATAAACCTGCCGAGGTTTCGGGCGCACACCCCATGGCTAAATAACAGGCGTGTGGCTTTGAGGTGCGCAAGCACGGCGTGCCACCAATGGGCCGTACCGTTTCCACCTCTGACGAGGCTTCGAGTGAAACTCACCAGGAGGAAGCGAGCGGCTGCTGAGGCTGAAAGGCAAGGTCTCGGCCCCCAGAGTATATAAAAGTCTTGGAGGATTCATCCTGAGACCCTTGAAATGGGGGTTTCATCTTAATGCATTGCTGCGGTATCATTTACCCAAGTTGACTGACATGTGGAAAAAACGGAACCACTTTAACAGTCCTTTACGATGGATCGCATGCTTGTTTTATGTTCTTGCGCATGGCGTACTTTGACGTGACGAAAAGGCATTGCTGATTTGTTTCTTCTGTTTTTTGGAGTTGGGATCATACACGTCGACCCACACGTTGTCGTCAGAACTTCGTTGGTGTTGGTTGCTGGCATAGCGGCTCGTTTCTATTGTGCGGTGCGGAGCCTTCGCTTGTACATATTCTCTCTTGCCGAGACTCGCGAATGAATCGAACATCACGGACGGCAGCTGAGCTGGAGCTCTCCCAGCTTCATGCTCCCAATTCTGGTCAATTGTTTTCACACTCACCAGGCCACAAACAGCAGCACCAGGGCTCCACGGGAATCCGGCTGAGATGTTACCCGCGTGTTTATGGACAAGCGGTGACCGAGGGCGACGCGAGCCTCGGCGTAATGGTGACGAACGGACCAGCTGCCATCCCATTCTTCGGCAGGGGCAGCGTGGTCCGCCCGGATCGTCAGGATCATCACTTGATTGATGGCCTGGGGGGACCCCGCCGCATTGTAACCCTGCCCTGTCATGGCCCCGCGGGACCGAACTGAGGGCACTTGTTAGACTACACATTTCTTGTTTCCCACCGGCCCATTGCCACGGTCGGTTTCCCCCGGATTCCGTGCGTGCGACTGCCGGTTACTGCGATGGAACCCCAAATATCGAATTCCCTCGCCAGGAACGCGGTCACGAGGGGTGGCCTCGGGTCGCAGCGAACTTCTGGATTCGGACGTTTATACTCCGCCCCTCGGGGGTGTCGGAGCCAATGAGCCTGATTGTCGTATTGACATGCACCGCGGTGGGGGGTGGCCACACTCTCAATGCGCTGGGTGGGACCTGCTCGAGCCTCGCGAGAGAGGGAAATACATAAAGAGAGAAACGCCGGAAAATTGTCTCCCGGGGTGAGCCAAGCAGAGCGTCTGCCCGTCTGTCTGTCTTGGGGCCCTGAGACTCACAAAGAAGCAGCGCGTGCTTGGATCTACTGTACAAACACCACACAGCGTGCTCCGGCCACCACCGCTCACGATGGTGAACCTACTTCGCTCCCTCTCGCTGCTGCTCTCAGCGGGAGCGGCCTACGCGTCGCTCCAGATCGTGCCCGGGGCGACGGTGACCGGTGTAAGCCCGTTCCTCCACACTGCAGCCCTATGAAATTGCAGAATCGAAAGTTACTGACACACTGTCGCGTAGGCCAACACCGGCGCCCATGTCCAGGCGCATGGTGCAGGAGTCATCGAGGTCGATGGGACGTACTACCTGATCGGCGAGGACAAGACCACGGGCTCGGCGTTCCAGAACATCAACTGTTATTCATCCAAGGACCTCGTCTCGTGGACGTATGTGGGCGCGCTGCTGTCGCGCACCGCGTCGGGCGACCTGGGCCCCAGCCGGGTCGTCGAGAGGCCCAAGGTCATCTACAACTCTTCGACACGAAAGTATGTTATGTACTTGCACATCGACGATTCTTCGTACGGCGAGGCCAAGGTCGGCGTGGCGACGGGGGACTCGGTCTGCGGCAAGTATACCTACATTAGCAGCTGGCGGCCGCTGGGGTTCCAGTCGCGCGATATTGGGCTGTACCAGGATGATGATGGGAAGGCGTACCTGCTGACGGAAGACGTGAGTCTTTTCCTGCTTCTTCTTATTGTTGTTCTGACTGCTCTGTCGTGATGTTATATTGACCAGCACCCTCTCGCAGCGTGCCAATGGCCTCCGGATCGACGCACTCACATCGGACTACCTCAACGTCTCGTCCGCCGTCTACACCTTTGGCAGCTACGAAGCACCAGCGATCGTCAAGAAAAATGGCTACTACTTCCTGTTTGCGTCGAAGCTGACGGGATGGAACGCGAATGACAATGTTTACACATACTCGACGAGCCTCTCATCCGGGTGGTCTGCTTGGGCGACTTTCGCAACCGCGGGCAGCAACACATACACGTCGCAGACCAACTACGTCCTGCCCGTGTCTAACAGCCTGACGATGTACATGGGCGACCGCTGGGTGTCGACCAACCTGATGGCGTCGACATACGTGTGGCTGCCACTCACGTTCTCGGGCACAAAGGTCACGATGGCCAACCAAGTCAACTGGATCCCCAACGTGGCGAGCGGCGGGGCCTGGACGGTCGGGCCGAGCGAGAGCCAGGCCGAGGGCGAGGCAGCCACCCTCACCAACGGCGCGAAGACGGTGACCTGCAGCGGGTGCAGCGGGGGCTCGGCGGCCGGGTATATTGGGGGCAGCACGGGAGGCACGGTCACGTTCAACGGGGTGGTGAGCAGCGCGGCGACGACGAGCTCGATCCGGATCAAGTACCAGAACGGCGACAGCTCGCAGCGGTACGCGGACGTGTCGTGCAACGGGGTCAAGCAGAAGGTGGCGTTCCTGCCGACGGCCTCGGGCAACGGGACGCCCGGGTCGAGCGTGGTCAACTGTGCGCTGCGGTCGGGGAGTGACAATGTGGTTGTTGTCTCGCAGACCGACGGGACTTATGGGCCTGACGTGGACAGGATCATGGTGCCTGCGAGCTAGGGGACCTTGTATGTGTTCAGTGGAGCTATCAGTATTTTCTGCAATGTTATCAGTCTCTGATCCAGTACCCATATGCAGTCTCGGCTGAGATGCTCTTGACTGATCTATCCGCGTCGTGTGTCGAGGGGCGTGGAATGGACCCGATTCCATCAAAGCCAAGGGACACGATTTCCGACGGCACGCCCGGGTTTGAGTTTGTGCTGTCAGGCGGGGGTTGATGGACAGCATGACTCTACAGTACAAATCATAAAATGAGAGCCAGAGTGAAATTGAAAGTGAAAATGAGTATGAGAGGAGGTCGAGAGCGTGGGCTTAGGACAAAAATACAACAAAGCTTTAGTTGCTCAGTTCCTGCGTGCGGAATCCTCCTGACGGCCTGCCCACACAGCGCGCGCTGTCAGACCGTGTTCCTCCCAATTTCCCCACCCAGAAAATGCTAAAATGCGGGGTACATGGTCAAGACTTAGATACCGCATTGGGGCCGTCCCCGGCCTGCAATTCGCCAGCGGGCTGCGGAGGATTGGCCCAGGGGCAAGGGAGATCCCAGGAACGGAGGGCGGGAGACGACTCCTCACATCTCACTGCTCACCAGCTCCCCCAGCGCAGCGACCTCACCCGCCCAGCCAAATCAGGCCCGAACAGCTCCAGCACAACCAGCCCGTTCCTCCCTCTCGCAGCCTGCAAGCGCACTAGCCCCGTCGGCCTCATGTCGCTCAAATCCTCGCCCTCGGCCCTGACGGCCACCATCCTCGCTGCACGAACGACAGTCTGATGATCGGGCAGAAGCAGCTTCTCGTCACTAATTCCCCTGTCTTCGGCCTCTTTTCCTTGCCCAAGACATGCGCCGTTTCTCCGTGCCAAGGCCGGGCGCGGCGAGATGAACTGGCAATAGCCCCCTTGTCAATGTACATCTGCCACTTGCGTGTCAATTTTGAGTGTGTGTCACGGTGAACTCAGGGCACTGCAGGCCCTGCAGCCAGGCACCCAACTGCTAGGATGCTGGGCTAACACCATGCAGCAGCACACCAGCATGTTCGTCGCTACCGTGACATGATCGCCATTCGCCGTCAGCCGTTCCCTGTCTAAGGATCATGAGGGGAAGCTGCAGACCACGCACATGTGGACACGCTCGGCAGACCGACCATACAGTCCTTGGATGTGGATACGAGCTCACCTCGAACAGGCTCTCGCTTAATAAAACCTCCAGCCCAGCCTCCAGACACAAGACAATACAAGAAGGCCTCATGTTGCTCTGCATCTGACTCGACGCCCTCCTCGCTCTATTCTGTACGCGCCAGTCCTGGGCACCGCCAGAGCCAGAGGCAGAACAAGCATCACTACCTCTCCTCACCATGGCAAAGCCAGCCCTCCTCCACTGGCTCTTCGCCACCCTGGTATCTGCTGCATCATCGTCATCATTATCCTTAGGTCCTAGAGATGCCCCTAGCGATGACCTCCTTGCTGCTTGCCCGGGTTACCAGGCCTCAAATGTGAAGACTACAGCCACGGGCCTCACAGCCGATCTGACCCTGGCAGGGCCTGCGTGCAACGTGTACGGGGACGACCTGGACGACCTGACCCTCGAGGTCACCTACGAGACTGCCACCCGCGTCCATGTCAAGATCCAGGATGCCGCCAACTCCGTCTACCAGGTCCCGGAGTCCGTCTTCCCACGGCCGTCCGCCAGTTCCGGCGGCAATGCCACATCCGCCCTGAAGTTCGGCTACGTCGAGTCGCCCTTCTCCTTCAACATCTCGCGCGCCGACACGGGCGAGGTCCTCTTCGACACCTCGGCAGCCAGCCTCGTCTTCGAGTCGCAGTACCTGCGCCTGCGGACGAAGCTGCCCGAGAACCCAAATCTGTACGGCCTTGGCGAGCACTCGGACCCTTTCCGCCTCAACACGACCGACTACATCCGCACCCTGTGGTCCCAGGACTCGTATGGAATCCCCAACGACGCCAACCTGTACGGCAACCATCCGGTCTACTTCGAGCACCGCGGCGCCGCCGGCACCCACGGCGTCTTCCTGCTCAACTCCAACGGCATGGACGTCTTCATCAACCGCACCGAGTCGGCCGGCCAGTACCTCGAGTACAACACGCTCGGCGGTGTCTTTGACTTCTACTTCGTCGCCGGCCCGAGCCCCCTGGACGCCTCGCGCCAGTATGCTGAGGTCGCCGGTCTGCCCGCCATGATGCCATACTGGGGTCTTGGGTATCACCAGTGCCGCTACGGCTATCAGGACGTCTATGACGTTGCTGAGGTTGTTTACAACTACAGCCAGGCTGCCATCCCCCTGGAGACCATGTGGACTGACATCGACTACATGGAGCTTCGCAGGGTCTTCTCCCTCGACCCGGAGAGATTCCCTCTCGACCTGATGCAGCAGCTTGTCGAGCAGTTGCACAAGAATGACCAGCATTATATTGTGATGGGTGAGTGAGTTCCTTTTTCTGAATGAGGCGAAAACTTTCTGTACTTGGAAAGAGAAAAAGCAATTGAGGTGGAGATTAATGGCCTCGGAACCTCGTATCTGCGTGCGAAGAGTCCGAGATTGAGCCTCCTGGCTTTTTCTTGCTCTTGTTCTCTGACCATCCCGAGAATTTTACCCTTGGGGTTGAGGAGCAGTATCAAAGCTTGAGCCCCGAAAGCGTGGAATTTCTTCTCGAATACCGGGCGGTCAGAGTGCATTCTGGCCATGATGCGCGTAAAGAAGAGGGATGACACCTTTTATGCGTGTACTGACACGTAATTACCATAGTTGACCCAGCAACCGCCTACTACGACTACCCAGCCTTCAACCGTGGAGTCGAGGACAACATTTTCCTCCTCCGTGAGAACGGCTCCGTCTGGCAAGGCGTCGTCTGGCCAGGTGTGACTGCGTTCCCCGACTGGTTCGCCCAGAACATCTCGGCGTACTGGAACAACGAGTTCGCACTCTTCTTTGACCCGGAGACTGGGGTCGACATCGACGCCCTGTGGATCGATATGAATGAGCCCTCAAACTTTGCCTGCAACTTCCCCTGCGATAACCCCTACGAGCAGGCAGAAACCAGCGGCAACCCACCTCAGCCACCAGCTGTGCGGACGTGGCCGCGTCCGCTGCCCGGCTGGCCTTGTGATTTCCAGCCACCAGGGTCGGACTGCAACGCAACTGCACAGCTTGGGTCAAGAAGTGCTCACGAGAGCAGTCTCGAGGCTCGCGGGTCGCTCCGAGGCCAACCTCGGGGACCGACATATGAGCAACTTGGTCTCCGTGCCCGCCAGGAGCCAGGACAGCAGCTTGGTCTCCCTGGGCGCGACCTGCTGTATCCCAAGTATGCGATCCACAACAAAGCCGCCTACCTTCCAGAGTGGAACGCAGCAGAAGGAGGGCTCTCGAACCATACCGTGAACACGGACCTCATTCACCAGAATGGCCTGACAATGTATGACACGCATAACCTATACGGATCCATGATGTCGGTGGCATCCCACGAGGCCATGCTTGCGCGACGACCCGAGCTGCGGCCCCTGATCATCACCCGCTCGACCTTCGCTGGCGCTGGCACGAAGGTGGGCCACTGGCTGGGCGACAATCTGTCACTCTGGGATCACTACCGCTACTCTATCCGGACAATGCTAGCCTTCGCCTCAATCTATCAAGTCCCGATGGTGGGGTCCGATGTGTGTGGCTTTGGCGATAACACGACCGAGTCGCTCTGTGCCCGCTGGGCGCTGCTCGGTGCCTTCCAGCCCTTCTTCCGCAACCACAACGGGTACATTCCAAATATTCCTCAGGAGTTCTACCGCTGGGACTCGGTCGCCGAGGCCGCCCGCAAGGTCATCGACATCCGCTACCGGCTGCTCGACTACATCTATACGGCGCTGTACCAGCAGACCGTTGACGGGACGCCGCTGCTCAACCCCGTCTTCTACTTCTACCCGGAGGACGAGGAGACGTTCGGCCTGGAGCTGGAGTACTTCTACGGCGACGCCCTTCTCGTGGCGCCAGTGACGGAGGAGGGCAGCACCAGCGTCGACGTCTACCTCCCCGACGACGTCTTCTACGACTGGTACACGGGCGCGCGGGTCAACACGACCGGTGGCTACACCACGATCGCGGACCAGAACCTCACTGACATCCCGCTGTTCCTCCGCGGCGGCGTAATCGTGCCGCTGCGCGCCGAGTCGGCCATGACCACGACAGAGCTGCGGGAGAAGGACTTTGAGCTGCTCATCCCGCTCGGCGCAGACGGCACCGCCAGCGGCCAGCTGTACCTTGACGACGGCGTCAGCCTGGACCAGGGCGGCGCCACCACGTTTGTGCAGTTCTCCTACGCCGACGGCAAGCTCGCCGCCACGGGGTCCTTCGGCTACGGCACCGCCGTCAACATCTCCAAGGTCACCATCCTCGGGTCCGAGTCCGGGTCCGGCAACGCCACCGCCGCGGTCAAGGACGCCGTCAGCGGGTCGCTGAGCTTCAGCTTGGGCAAGCCCCTGACCGAGGGCTTCGAGGTAGAGCTCTCCAACGCCTGAGGGCGAACGGGTTGTAGATAGTCAGCCAGTCATAATGTCAAAATTTTCACTGTCCTCCCTTGTCCAACGTCCGCGTGACCACCTCCAGAGAGTCATGGGAGATATTCTCTTGTGGACTTCTTGACTCTGCTAGGGTTCGAGGGAGTGTTCAGCATAAAGTGACCCCCCTAGACGTGCACTGGCGTACCAACGTGGAGGCGTCCGGCTGCACCTTTCAGCCTGTTTGATGGGTAGGGTCCAGCAGGGAAGTGCTACGCGGCTTATCCGCGATTAACGATAGTGGACTCCTGTTATTACAGACGTGAACAATCAAGCTGACGCGTGGGCACGGCCATCCTCCGTCCTACGCACATGTATGTATGCCAGATATCACACAGCCTTGGAGCCTTGCCCCTACATACATACATGCATGCATGCATACATTACATACAGCAAGGCCGGCCTTTCTGCTGATGCGGCTTTCCAGCCCCAATCACCCCCTTGGACCATATCTGACGTCTCGAATACTACCAGGTGGTCCATCGGCGGCTGTGACTGTCCCTCTCCCAGGGCTCCCCGATTGGGTCACCCCCGGCGAGACCCGGCACGTTGCACTGGCACCGCGCAGCGTAGCATCCACGGGAGGCCACAGAAACCCATACGCCGGGGACCTAGGGGTTCTCGTGCTACTGTTGCTGCTGCTGGCTCCCTTCTTCTTCTTTTTTTTGGTGAAATGGGCGGCGCAGGCCTGGACGTCTCAGCCTCTCTGTGACAAGCCCCTTGTCCCCCGTCGTTTGTCTGAGGCTGAGGACGCATGTCTTGGAGCAAGCTGGGAAGCACGCGGACAGGCATGTGCGGGCTTTGCTGGAAGCTCCCCTACGTGGTAAGCAGCAGGCAGCCGGGTTTCCCGCCCCGGGCAGCAAGCAGAGCTGATGTTGCGAGTTGCTTGCGAGCAAACCCCGAAGGGACGAGAGGGCGTGGTGTGTTGTCCAGGCTTGTGGACGAGCACGGCCGGTGGCTGATGAGATGATCAACCGATGCAACCACCGCGTGACAGGCGCCGGCGTCAACGTGCAGCTCGCGTTCGTCATCATCACAGGGCCCGATGTGGCCTTGGCTGCAGCCAGAGTTCACTGTCCGTGCCATCAGGGTGGAGGGGAGGGACCCCGATGTGACTGACTGCTGGGCGGTAGTCAGTGCGCGGTCCTGTACGTGAGAGGGAGAGGAACGAGACCAAGGGGTCCAGGTTCGTCTGTCCAGCGACCTCGAGCCCTGGCTGCTGCTGCAAGGTTGCCCGCTGGTGGACGATTCCGCGGCTTCGAGCGAGGGAACAGGGCTTGGGGAGCGGCGGGAAGGGCTGTTGCCGGCGATCTGGACTATTGGCATCGCGTGGCATGGCTTGATCCCTGAGGGACTGGGGACTTGGGGACGTGGATACTGTATATTGCTGTGGGTGATTGCCCAGGTGCCCGTCCCACTCTGGTCCGAGTTCTTTCGGCTTAGACAACTCAGCTCCGTGGGGTCACGGCATGGGATGTAATCCCCAGGTCCATGTCGCTGGGCTCTGCGTCGGATGCGGGAGGCCCTCTTGCTTGTGAAAACCACAGGAGGAGAAGGAAGAGCATGCAGTTGTGCTGCACACTGGCATCGTGTTCCTGGCAACGGCCACGCTCGGATCGCGCACCATGGATGCCGCCCAGCGCTCTAGGGGCGGACGCTATCTTGGCGATCACCCATTCAGGCCCTTCCATCCCATCTTCAGTGGTCGACAGACAGATTGTCTCCTGGGAAGCCAGGGGCGCTAGCGAGTGGATGCGTTCGGCCTAGCTGCCAGGCTTCTGGGCCTAGGTTCAGCTGTTAGAGTTGAAGAGATTTTGATGAACTTTGAGGCTGCTGCCATCTCGGCGCGAAAACGACAGGGTACTGCCGAAATTGCCCTTCAGCGCCGTGTGTTTGATCTACGTCTTTCTTCAAAACCGAGGACGCGGTCCACAGGGCAGCCGGATACCACCTTGAGATTGAGGTTGGAATCAAGTAGACTGGGACGGCTCCAGACTTATCCCAAAATCTGGTACTGGGGGGTAATAGCAGTGTCACCGCACAGAAATATCGCGGCTCACGAGCTTTGTGGATCGATGCAATTGCTGGGCAGTCCACCCACCCACCCACACAAGATCTCACGGAGACGGGACCGATCGAGTATAGACAGGGGTGTCGTCTGCTATACCGGCCAGCCTTGAATCCTCGCGATGTGGGAGAGGGACGAGGGACCAAAAAAGGGGCGAGGTGAAACCAACGTCCGCCTGGCTAGCCTGACTCTCGAGATGCAGTAGCTCGAGTGGCAAGGTTTGACTACTCGGGCGCAGATCTGCGTCTGCGTCAATCACATCCCAATCGAGAAGCTAACCGCTACCCTTTTCCTCGTGAATCGGCCGAGGACTTCGGCATGGCAATGACATGTTTCTCCCGCGTGGCCACGCAGCTTGAGCTGCGTATGCATGCTCCTGTGGCCGAAAGTTTGTCGGTCAGGTAAGCACTCCAGCAGGTTTTCCTGGGGGGACCACCCATCCATGACACGGGCACAAGCTACTACGGGGTGTCCCTTCCCACCCGGAGCAGTCCTGACGCCTCGGGGCTGGGCAAGGAGGCGCGCGAGTTCGCCGAGTTGCAGGCTGGTGTTCGAGGTATCCCGGCCTGACCATGGGGCGATCTCGAGCGTCCAGATGGATCTTGCCTAGTGGGGGCTGAAGACACGCGAATCGGATGGTACATCACGTTCCTAGCGCCAGAGGCTCTGCTATTACCGAGTAATTATTATCACGAGAGCGCAGCCACTCCTGGTAGTGCAAATGTCTGTCGTTGCAGGGTCCAGGATGCATGCCTGGCCACTGTCTGGGCCCCCCAGGTGGAAGGTTTGAGGCCCTGGGAAAGCCGAGTTTGAATAATAGAGCGTGAAGACCCCTCTACTATATTGATCGGCACATCTGCGCTGGTAATATGCGTCCCACAGCGACAGACGCCGCCTTGAGCAAAGCAGCACACAGCCCAATGTCAACATGGACGACACCAAACCTCGACTGAACTTGGACGCGGCGGGCATATTCTGGGTATCATGGTGCGGCATATGGACCTTGCTGGTGGGGAGTGGAATGGGATTCCTGTGGTATCGCCGGGACACGCCATTGCTTAGGATCCGCGGCCTCAACCTCTCGTTTGCCGCCATCGGCTTCCTCCACACCTACTGGATGGCTGTGCAGATGGCCTACATCGCCGACCCCTTCCCACCAAAAGCCGAGTACTGGATCATGGGGATATACCTCCCCCTTTGGCATCGCGCTCTTCCACGCCTCGAATACCCGCTTCCTCTACATCGCGAGGCAGCAGAGGAGGAAGTTCGTTCGCAAGAGCTACCAGCATGGGGAACCCACGCCTACGACCTTGTTCGGTCGTCTCCGGCGGCTGGGCCATACTCGGAAAATGCTCGTGGTGATCGGCCTGGGGATGGTGCTGCAGGTGAGGCATTACAGGTATAGACCCGTTCCCGACGTCTGGGCTAATATCATTCAGCTTTTCCTTACCGTCCTTATGTACTTGCTGTCGAGGAAATTCCACCCGTCTTTTGGAGTGCCAGGCACCGAGGCCGAAGGTAGCCCTTGGGATGTGAATAATCAGCAGGCTCGGGGCTGGGAATGGTACGTTCTACTAATGTTCAGAACGTCCAGACGTGGCTGGCAGTGCTGATGCTCCCTCTAGGTGGCCCTCAATAATCTGGCAATTCTTCTGGTCATGGATAGTAGCCCCCGTGGTCCTGTGGCGGGCAAGACGAGTACATGATACTCTAGGATGGAGGACGCAGACTCTCGCTTGTTGCCTTGCAGGGTATGTATACCTACCTGGCTGACCAATTCATGGACATTGATGTGGATGATATACTGACATGTCTCAGCCTACCCGCAACGCCCATGTGGCTCATAGCGCTTTATGTGCCGGGTATGTCTCGCGTCAACAGATATTGGATACCTCCACAATGGTGAGTCCGTCTTAACCCTAGTTGATTGGTTGTTTGTCTATTCGCCTCAAGATATGCACAATCCTTTCGACAAGGTTACATCTGAAGCTCTAAAACTAACGAGTTTGAAGGATCGCGATCTCGATTATGTTCCTCGAGATGTTCTCCATATTCCTCCCGTGCTGGCAGGTATGGAGACATCAATCATTACGACAAGACACCATCGACATGATTGCCGCCTGGGAGTCTAAGCACAACAATCATGGCGAAGGCTCGTCAACACTAGGCGCTACCAGCGTCTTGGGGAAAAGCACATCTCAGAAGACGTGGAAGACGATATCCGCGATGGAGAAGGCGAGTACGACTGAGTCAGTAGGCACCGCCTATTCAGGGGAGAGCATGTTGAGCATGGGTGCCCTGGAGTACGTGCTGGAGCACAACCCAGACCCACTCCGACAGTTTTCGGCCCTCAAAGACTTCTCAGGGGAGAACGTCGCCTTCCTCACAGCCGTCGCTGAGTGGAGGAGTCGGTACCGGACTGTAGGCAAGGGCGAAGCAGCACGAGAGGCATACAACAAGGCCCTGCACATCTACGTGGATTTCATCAGCTCCAAAGACGCCGAGTTTCCCATCAACATCTCGTTCCAGGTCAAGACCAGCCTCGAGGCCATGTTCGAGAAGGCCGCGAGGGTCTTATATGGGGATCGGGGGCTGGCCAACAGTCCGGCTACACCGTTTGCGCCGGGGACGGATTGGCCCCGTGGCGAGGCGGCGGTGGCACGTCCTTCGCACGCATCCGAGAGGCCAATCATCGGGTCGAGGTCAAATAGCAACACCCATGTTGAGTTGCGGGCAATGACGGACCGGGTCGCATACTGGGGCGAAATCCCGGCCGACTTCGACGCGACGATCTTTGACAAGGCCGAGACCAGCATCAAGTACCTGGTCCTGACCAACACGTGGCCGAAGTTCGTAAGAGACAGAAGGGAGTCGGGCATCTCGCTGACCAGTGTCGGATCTGGAGGACAGAGAGGATCTTTTGTGTCGCGCGTGTCAAAGATTTTATCCTGTGAATACTAATGTAAAATAGCATGTGATTGTAATTGAGACATGGATACTCCAGCAGTATGATTCAACATGTGACATTGGTTTTATTTCTGAGCATTGAATTTAGTGAGCTACTCAATTTCAAGTTATAACATAGATGAACACATATTATCTCTCTCAACAGTACAACAGGCTTTACATGTCTTCCGAGGAAGACTTGAGCATATATTTCTTTTCTACAACTTGCTCTTCTCTGCAAGAAGTCCATAAGCCTTGGGTAGACTCTCCAACAAGCCTCTGTCTATCTCATCCACACTCCAAAGACCCGCACAGTTCATCAGAATATCCAGGTCAGCAAGCAATCCCTTCATTACGTGCCTCACCCCTGTCTCACCCATAATAGACAACCCCCAAATCCAAAGCCTCCCAACGAAGACAAACTTTGCACCGAGCGCAAGCGCCTTCACCACGTCGGCGGCCCCGCGGACGCCACTGTCAAAAGTGATGACAAAGCCCTCCCTGCCCCCAAGCTTATCCACGATCTTCTCCAGGGCGTCTAGGCTGCCGATGGCACCGTCAACCTGCCTCCCTGCATGATTGCTCACCACGATACCCTCAAACCCCAACTCAGCCGCCTTCTCGGCGTCATCAACCCGCTGGATGCCCTTGATGAGGAAAGGCTTCCCGCCGCTGATCTCCTGCCACTTCTTCCTGGCCCAGACGGCCTTCTCCCACGACCACGCCCGCCCGTGCCAGACGCTGTCGATCCACATCGCGCCGGCCTCCTCAGGCTGCTTTTCGGGGTCGATGCCGCGCTCCCTCAGCCGCTTCTGGAAGACGGGGTCCGTCAGGCCCAGGTCGGCGCCGATGCCGCGGTAGAAGGCGTAGTTGGACGTGGCGACGTCGTCGTGCCGCCACCCCAGCTGCCACGTGTCCGTGGTGAGGATGCACGCCGTGAACCCGGACTTGTGGGCCCGCGTCAGCAGCGAGATGGTCAGCTCGTCGTCGTGCGGCATGTAGAGCTGGTAGAACCGCGGCCCGGGCGGGATCTTCTCGGCCTGCGGGTCGTGGCTCTCCTGTGTCGCCTTACGGCCCTCGTCGTTGGCCCGGGCGACGTCCTCGATGGGATACGAACCGGCCGTGGACAGAGAGTAAGGGATGCACAGTTCGCCTGCGACTTTCGCGACCGGGAGCTCGCCCCTGGGGTGGTAGATCTTGTTGATGCCGATGGGGGCAATCCCGATTGGCGCAGAAGCCTCGTGTCCGAAGACTTTAGTCCGCAGGGAGCGCTCGTTGGTATCGACTAACTGCTTGGGCACGATCTTGTGCCTGAAGAAGGCCTGCCTGTTGGCCAGGTGTGTATGGGAGAGGCCTGCATTTGACGATGCGTAGTACCTTCAAGATTATCAGGATTCTGTTTTCCACACGAGCCCGTTTCCAAGAGGGCTTTGAACTCACCATCCATTCTGCGTCAATTTCTCTCTGGCGAGCTCCTCAAGTTTATCGGGATCTAGCCAAAGGTCAGCATTGGCTGTTTGCATCATCAGCACCACATGAGAAAGCAATCTACTAACGAGTATTGAAAAGGGGAACTTCCCCACCGTTCAGCTTCCAAAAATTATCACGTTGGTAGAGACCCCAGGATGGGTCATTTCTCGCCTTGATGTGAGGTGAGTTTGGGTCCGACATGATAAAGTTTGACCAGGCGGTATGAATATAAAACTTCTAAGAATCCTCGGTCTATGTCCTTCAACAGAGTTCTTGGCAAGCAGTTTATAATCTTCCTGGGCCACTTTATAAGCAGTTAAACCGGGTCCATGTGCTATGAAGGCGGGTGACGGCCACTCGTTGGTACACCAAATTAGACCCGTTCACAGTCGTGACGTAACCGACGGCTCATCTTTTCAACGTCATTATTGTTCGGGAATTACTGGATTGCCTTTGCGTGGATGGCAATCCGTAGTCGTCTCAACTGCCGTGACGCAGCCATTGTATTTCCGGTAGAGCCGATGATTTCTTCAATATTGGTAGCCTTGGTGTTGTCTTCGATTATTGGTGAGGCTTAGCTGACCGTAACCCCCGCATCATCGGGAAGGTCCAATATTGCACACAGGCATTTGTAAGTGACATTGCCCGTCTATCTGCTCTCACCACACTGCGGTGCTCACCACAGGTGAAATGTTCCTGCCGTCTCATTTCACTTGGAATGTGCGAGTTAAATCTTAATAAGACAATAGGAAAGGCTATTTATTTTATGATCTCAGAATCGTGTTTCAGGCATTATCAAGTATTCAAAGCACTGGAGGGAGGTCGGCTCGGAGAAAACACTTTTGGAAGTCATCTTGACAAGACGATTTACCCGTGATGTCAACCATCTGGGACCAATTCCTGCAGATTATATAGCAATGACAAAGGCGAGTCAGGACCGAGGAAGGAGACCAGAAGCTGCAATTATACACGCTTCAAGGAGCAGCGTTTGGCTCCAGAAGACCCAGAATCAGGAGGGAATCTGCATACATCAAAAGGACATGACCTGAAAAGATATGATCCCCTCCTGAATCCCCTAATGATGTTGGTGATCAATGAAATATTCATTTTCGTGCTCACAGAGGGCATCACTATGCTTAGCACATTGGCGAGGCCCACAAGTGAGGAGCCCGGAGTGAGACTTCAGACAAATTGAATTTATAAAACTTCGGCTTATTTTGTGGCCACACAGCCGTGTCCGGGCTTGCACGCCGGGGACGGAGTCGGGGCAAGCCCGAACCTCGACGTGCTATGACTGATTCCGACCAAGGTTCGCATAGATTAGTTCTCGGGTAGCAAACTATCGCCGAGATAGCGGGGGAAAGCCGGTTACCGGATCACATACCTCTTCCAACAACTCGCCTACAGAAACTCTCTTACCTAGACTGGAGATGCACGAGACTACTAAAATCGTGTAAGCACCCACTTCTGGACTCCGAGCTCTAAGTCACTTTGAATTATTCTCGACACGAGAAACATTGCTACCAAGATCCTCCCTAAACTGCGTGGTTCCACTCCATCCAGGATGGCCATCATCCACATAGGTATGTTTGCGTTCATATTCAGACTTTGTGTGACAAAAAGCTGACGGAAAGCTTAGTGCTGTTCAAGTTCCGGCCCGACGTCTCTCAAGAACACAAGGACCATTTCGTGGCTGAGCTGAAGAAATTGAAAAACCTGCCTTGTGTTCAAGACGCCCAACTCACTGTTGGCGGGCCTTCTGTCACTGATCCCATCGAAAGGAGTAAGGGGTTCGAATTCGCGCTCGTCAGCCGACACAAAGATAAAGCTGCTTTAGCAGAGTACCAGGCATCCAAGGAACATCACGAGTAAGACTTTGGTCACAAATACCCGTCTCTGAGCGAAGACACTCAACTGACTGGTCATTACCAAAGTGTCACCAGCAAGTTGCTATGGCCGTTTCACGAAGATGTGTGCCGCTTTGACTTCGAGACAACAGAGGAGGAATCGAGCAAGTCTTTGATCTAGTCCACGGTCTACGAGGAGTTGACGTTTTGTTCTCGGGGTGGTGTTGGGAGTCTGCAGTCATACATATAATGTCATGTACTTCATCCTTGTAAAGAATAAAACCACCATGAATTAACAAAAGTCTAATATACCTCGTTTTGATTTCAACAAGTCTGTGCCTCGAGGTCGTTGAGGGCTGCGATTAAACGGAACCAAGTTTTACATGAGTGATTGAAATCACCTGAGGATGTTCTACACAGCGTTGACAAAAGATGTGAACGAGCGAGTCAATGCTGAGTTCCAGCGATCCCAAAATTCCTTCTGCGTGCATGATATACTCTCTTCGAGAAACTCAGGAGGACCGTTTAAATTAACCATCTGCAATCCTCTGAACTTCGACCGGATGTTCTAGCCCTAACCCTATCGCCGCTACCCTTACACCAGCCGCAGTCGCTGGCTCCTAAAGTCGTCCGTGGTCGGCTTTCGTCCGAGACCAACGGCCTCACCCCGTTGTCGAGCGCTGTATAATCCAAGTGGGATCAAATATATATCAACCGTGCCTACCATCGTGACAAGGGCACTCCAGACCGCCAAGCACAAATCGGACGTTTTCCTGAAACGTTGGCATACAGCCGCGTCACAAATTCTTCGACAATGTCGTCTGAACAGTCCGACCTCGTCAACGTCCCATCAGACACAGCCCGGGCCTTTGCCCAGCGCCTGCTGGAAGCCAATGGCGTCTCATCCTCGGACGCGGCGATAGTCGCAGACAACCTCGTGTCCGCAGACCTGCGCGGCGTCGACACGCACGGGATCAACCGGCTCCCATCGTACATCAAGCGCGTGCGCCAGGGCGTCCTCGACCCCAAGGCCCAGCCGACGCTGGAGCAGACGACGCCCGTGGTCGCCCAGGTCGACGGCAAGAACGCCTTCGGCGCCGTGGTGGCCAAGAAGGCCATGGCCGCCGCGGTGGAGATGGCGCAGGTCTACGGCATCGGGATGGTCTCGTGCAAGCACAGCAACCACTTCGGCATGTCGGCGTGGACGGTGCAGCAGGCCCTGGACGCGGGGCTCATGTCGCTCGTCTTCACCAACAGCTCGCCCGCGCTGCCGGCGTGGGGCGCGAGGGAGCAGCTCCTGGGCGTGAGCCCTATCGCCTGCGGCGCCCCGGGGGAGCCAATCCCGTTCATCCTCGACATGGCCCCGTCTGTGGCGGCCCGGGGGAAGATCTATAAGGCCCTGAGGAGGGGTGAGGAGATCCCGGACGGCTGGGCCCTGGACAAGGAAGGCAACCGCACGACGGATCCAGCCAGGGCACTCGACGGCGGCGTGATGCTCCCCATGGGAGGCCCCAAGGGGTCGGCGCTGGCAATCATGATGGATGTGTTCTCGGGCGTGCTCTCCGGCTCGGCGTATGGTGGAAATGTGGCTGGGCCGTACGACCCGTCACGACCCAGTGATGTGGGCCATTTCATTGTGGCCCTGAAGCCGGATTTGTTCATGAGTGCAGAGGATTTCAGGGATCGTATGAAGTACGTGTACGAGAGGGTGGTAGGATCTGAAAAGATGGCTGGCATCGATCGTATCTACTTTCCAGGAGAAGTTGAGATCGTCCGGAGGGAAGAAAGGCTCAGATCAGGCATCCCGTATGCAAAGGCCGAAATTGAGACACTGAACAAGGAGGCAGAGGCGGCTGGGGTGAAGCCACTTGTATAAAATTTCATGATATTTCAATACCGTGTATAATTGATTATCCTTTGTACTCAATCTTTGTGGCGAAATGAGACACCGACGTAATTCGCAGGCAAACTGTGGTCATTTTTGAGGCCAATGGCTTGTGTTACACAACACAATTGATTCTGGGGAGCTCACATCCCAAATTCGATCTGCTCGTCAAGCAATGCATTGTAACAATCACGGGAATAATCAATTTGATGAGCAACTGAGGAGAGCGAGGCCTCGGTCTATTCATCTTCCGATGCTCGCACAGTGCGGCGATGATGGTGTGTGTAGTCGGGAAATCCCCGGCAGCCCCAAGCACGCAACCTACTGACTGGACTAGTACTTAAATGTGCACTTGGCCAATCGTTGATGGGGTATTGTAACATGACCAATTTCTGGCCAGGACCGCAACGAGGATTATATTCACAACTTTTCTTAATTCTGATTCGGTTGGACACAACAATAGACCTATCACCAACATAATGGCAGACAATAGCAACGCCAGCACGTCTCGAAAGAGCGCCGAGGACGTGACGCAAGGTGAGGGGAACAACACCATCCCAGACCATCTTGCCGACTATAATCTCAACCGGCCCATCCAACCTGTCACGGGCATGAGGCAGGGCCTGCCCAACTATGGAGATCCTCACTTCGCACTTTTCTTGAGGAAAGTCTTCATCAAGGCTCTTGGGTACAGTGAAGATGCACTGTCGCGGCCTGTCGTGGGCATCATCAACACCTATTCCGCGTTCAACCCCTGCCATGCAAACGTGCCTCAGCTCATCGAGGCGGCCAAGAGGGGCGTCCAATTAAGTGGAGGGCTGGCTCTGGAGTTTCCCACCATCTCTATTCATGAAAGCTTCTCGACACCCACAAGTATGTTTCTGAGAAACTTGATGAGCATGGATACAGAGGAGATGATCAAGGCCCAGCCCGTCGATGCGTGTATTGTTATAGGAGGTAAGGCTTGTTCTGTTGTATAAGATTCATGAACAATATACCCGAGTGGTGATGTTGGGCTCCTCCACCAACGCCTATGCTGATTATAACTAGGATGTGACAAGACGGTCCCAGCCCAGATCATGGGAGGGATCTCGTCCGGTAAACCGGTTCTGCCCCTGATAACAGGTCCAATGTTAGCTGGCAGCTTCAGGGGACAGCGCATCGGCGCCTGTACGGACTGCAGGAACAACTGGGCGGCCTACCGTGGGAGCGAGATCAACATCGAGGAGATCTCAGAGCTGAACGAGGAGCTCGCACCCAGCGCAGGGACCTGTGGCGTGATGGGCACCGCATCGACGATGGCGTGTGTCACGGCCGGACTGGGGCTGCTCGACCCAAAGGGAGCCGCAACCGCGGCGGCCGTCTCGAGCGCCCGCCTACGCGTCGCCGAGGAGACGGGCAAGAACGCCGTGGCGGCCGCGACATCCGTCAACGACGGCTCCGCCAGGCCCCTGACCCTCACCAACATCCTGAGCGAGGCGTCCTTCCACAACGCCATCACGGTCCTGCAAGCCATCGGCGGGTCGACAAACGGGATAGTCCACCTCCTCGCCATCGCCAAGCGGCACCCGGACGTCGCGGGCAAGATCACCCTCCAGACGATCGACGACATCGGCCGCAGGACGCCGCTGCTCGTCGACCTCAAGCCGAGCGGCGACAACTACATGACCGACCTCCACAACGCAGGCGGCGTGCTGGCCCTGCTGCACACCCTGCGCCCGCTGCTCAGGCTCGAGGCGCTGACGGTCACGGGGAAGTCGCTGGGCGAGCTGCTCGACTCGACGCCGTTCAGGCCCTTCCCCTTCTCACGGCAGATCGTGCGGCCGCTCGACAACCCCCTGCACCCGGCGTCGTCGCTCTGCGTGCTGCGCGGGAACCTCGCCCCGAACGGCGCGGTCATCAAGGCCAGCGCCAGCAAGTACCGGCACCTGCTCTCCCACCGCGGGCGGGCCGTGGTGTTCGCCGGCCCCGCGGACCTGGCCGCGAGGATCGACGACCCGGACCTGGACGTCGACGGGGACAGCGTGCTCGTGCTGCAGGGGATCGGCCCCATCGGCTTCCTGAACCCGGGGATGCCCGAGGCTGGGCTGGTGCCCATCCCGCGGAAGCTTGGCGAGAAGGGCGTTAAGGATATGTTGCGTCTGAGTGATGGTCGCATGTCTGGGACTGCTAGCGGGAGCATAGTGCTGCACATCTCGCCGGAGGCTGCGCTGCCAGAAAGTGTGCTCGGTATTGTGAGGAATGGGGATTTTATCAATTGTGATGTTGAGAATAGGAGGCTGGAGGTGGAGTTGAGTGACGAAGAGATACAAGCTAGGATAGCAGATAGGAGGGAGAGACTGGAAGGGAGCAAAGAGAGTCGGGGCCCGGCCGATGTGAGGAGGAAGCCAGCCAGAGGCTACAGAGGGCTGTACGAGCGTCATGTGAACCAAGCTGAGGAGGGCGTGGACTTTGACTTTCTTACGGTTGACGGAGCGGAGTGTAATTTCTAATTGTACATGGATTACAAAGAAAAACAAAGGCCTCAGGAATTCCTGACTGGCCGAATATTCGACGCCACAGCACAGCTCTCATAGCTGCTGGTGGCTCCTCTGATCCTACTTTGCCATGCGCAATGTTGGTACTCAAACCGTCCCAGGTTTATAGCCGACTCCTGGACTGACTGGATGCTCCGATAGACACAGGGGGAAACTGTGGCACTAACTTGTCTTCGCCCTCTCCGGCGCTCTGCGCAGTACCGGGAACCGCACCCTTCTCCCACGCGGACGCGATCGCATTCCAATAAGCGGCGCCATCCTCCAGGACGAGGGAGCAATGTCCTGCTCGGTGGAACCGCAAAATATCTGTCGTCAGACCCTTGGCAGCAGCCTGATCCCGGTGTTCTTCAACATCTCGAGAGTCCACAATAGTGTCCGCTTCTGAGGTCAAATACAGTCTGGTAGCCCTGGCCGAGAAGATTTCAGGATCATTCAATTGCGAGCGCATCTTTTTGGCCAAAGGTGTCTTGAGTCCGGTGGCTTCCATGCCCGCTAAGCCCGCGGCCAAGATGAACAAGGCAGTACTACCCAAAGGACGCAAGAGGCTGGTTTCTGGCAAGGAGTAGGCACCAGCTGCAAAAGTGCTGTAGATACCAGGGTCCCCCGGACAACTGTCGAGAACGATCTGTCTCAGTGGCAGTGGTCCCTTGTGCCCCAGCGTCGACAAGATCGCATTCATGGACTCGAGTAGCTGGGTCGCCGTGTTGCTTCCACCCTGCGAGAACATATGGAGAATGATTTCCCCGCTGGTAAGCTCGCTCGTGGGTTTATCTTGACGTTGTCTTTGACCCTCTTGTCCGAGCCTCCTGATCTCATGATGGGCTGGACGAAGCCTCCTGCGGAGAGAAGTGGTGCTCTGGAGAAGATATTCGCTGAGGGTGGTACGGATGAGAAGGATCCTGGAACAAGGCCAGAGACGATGGTAGCCCTCGGTGTACTTGTCGATCCGTTTGGTAGTCGCTCCTCCTAACCATGTGCATAGGATAATGAGAGCCGGCGGGTGTCCCTTTCCACTCGGGCGATCCCATTCGGTCCGGTGTTCTGGGTTGTTCTTTTCATTGTCTCGAGGCTCGTACAGCCAGATATCGTTTCCAAGATCCTTGAATTGAGGCATGGACATGCTCAACAAAAAGAAATATTGTGATGTGTACAGTCTATCTCACTTTTCATCACGCATCTTCACGCGGACGAGTCAGTTTATAGAACGAGAGCATCTTTCAGATACAGCAGAAGCAAATAATCGATCAACAGTCTACTTTCTCTTATAATAATACACAGCAAGGGAGACACTTCATGGCCCAGACTCAGACTGGGGTATCCCCCAGCTACTACTTGAAGCGGGATGATATACGGATATATCGTGGAGGAATGAGACGGGTTGGCCAAGCCAAGATATGAGGTGCAAGGGAGATCCAAAAGCACCAACATGTAGCTTGATAGGAGCTGGGGATGGGATCTCCAGCGGCAAGCGTATGGAAGTGGACGAATAATGAAGAGACTTGGCAACAGCCACATTCTCGTTCTGTCTGAAGGGCGGCTACATATGTGGTGAGTGACACGGCATCGGCCCGGTGAGGCGTGTCTCAGCTGTCATGAACTGCAAGTCTCGGGAGGCAATGGCGCTTTGGTTGCAGCAAAGACGGCCTGCCAAAGGATGGAGAGGGAGAGACAGCCTCGGAAGACACGCAGGGAGCATCATCAAGGAGAGGGAGTTCGTAAGGCTCGATCTGATAAAGCGGTGTGAGGGGGAGGGGCCGGGGCCCGAAAGCGCGAGAAGCTGGAGTCTATGCTTTTAGCTGGCAGCTGTCTACACGCTGGCGACATTCCCTAGCGAGAAAGCTAAGCACGATTCATTTTTGGGTGTGCTGGAGATACAGACATGCTGAGGCATATTGGACGCCAGACGTAGATCCATAGTGTCGGCCTCAGATCAAGTCACCACGGAGAAAGAAAAAGCAACGCTGAAAAAGTGGCGGGTGAGCTGGCACCCGTCTTGAATTTGCCTCTTCATGTTGTGAGACGGAGACACTGGAGACAAAAAGGAAAGAACGTGGCCGTCAACTGCGACCTCCCTGCCGACGTGGCGAGGAAGGTACGACTGAACGCACAGGTGTACCGGCTGGAATTGATGCCGGCAATGTTAGCGATGTCGGCATCGGAAACGAAGTAGAGAAGGCAAGATAATCATCGGGCCGAACCTGGGGGTTTTGTCGGTGCCGGATCGGCCAGAATGTCGCTCGAGTCCTGACCAGGGTTGCATCGTCTTCGCCGTCGAAGAAACCGAACGACGATGTCAGGAGTCTGTCATAGCCAGGTGACGTCATTCCAAGTTGCCGAAGTCCGCAGAAACACAGACATGGCAGGAAGGAGAGCCACAGAGTGGCCGATCTACAGAGGAAAGAGAGGAAGAAATGGACTCGAGGGAACCTTCCTCGCTGTTTCGGCCGGGGAGGCGTCCGACGAGTCGAATTCATTCTGTCCTGCTTCGATAAAAGAAGGATGAGTCCCCACTTACAACTGCTCGATTGATCGATTGAATCAGTGCTGAATTTGACTTCACGGCAGTATCTTTTGTGTAACCCTATCGGCCCATCAAGTAACCTTGTGTACCTTAATTATATCTGGTCCCTTGCATAGATTGGTTCACTGCCAAGCAGTTCCTGAACTCAATGGAGAAATCCAATGTGCCTCGGTCAGGCGCCAACACTGACACCAACACCCGCGCTCCCTCATCCACGCCTCCGTCCACATCAGAGAAGCCTAGACAATCACCAGAGAGATCCAGCACAGATCCATTGTCTGATCCAAAACCTCAACAAACGAAACAGGACCAGGACCAGGACCAGGACCAGGAAAAACACCACAATCATGATCCACACTATGACCACCAACGCCCTGACGAGGACGTCGAATCTCGGCACAGACTTTCGGGTTCAGACACCAATGGCAGCCATGACTATACGGACGACGAGGACTGCGATGACCCAGACGAGAAAGATCATCACGATGGCCACAGACCCTGCCAATTGGAGATGCGCCCGACCTGGTCACGACGGAGCAGGAGCCGGCGGGACAGCGCGGGTGCAGGTGCAAGCCCAGGGGCCAATGCCAGCGCAAGTGGTCTGTCACTCAACCCGACCGTCTCCCGGCGCGACACAGTCCTCTCTAGGATACGGTCTAGGCCAGCCGTACGCGAGTTCACCCACCCCCTCGTCCACCAGAAAACATCAGAGGCGGACCTCGTCGACTTCGACGGCCCGGATGATCCGTACAAGCCCATGAACTGGCCCACCAAGAAGAAGGTCACCACCACGCTCCTCTACGGACTCGTGACAATGTCTGCCACGTGGGCCTCCTCGGCGTACTCGGCGGCTACGACCCAGGTCGCAGGTGAATTCCACGTCAGCTCCCAGGTCGCGACGCTGGGGACGACCATCTTCCTGCTCGGCTTCGGGCTGGGGCCTCTACTCTGGGCTCCGCTCTCCGAGGTCTTTGGACGACGGGCCGCGGTTCTCAGTCCCATGTTCGTCGCAACATGTTTCTCGTTCGGAACAGCTACGGCTAAGGACATCCAGACCGTCATGATCACGCGCTTCTTTGGCGCCTTCTTCGCCTCCGCCCCTGTGACCAATACAGGTGGTGTGCTGGGTGACCTCTTCTCGCCAGCACACAGGGGCATAGCTATGGCAGGGTACGCTCTCGCCGTGGTAGGGGGCCCTACGGTCGGCCCCATAGTCTCTGCTGCTGTGGTCCAGGTCTCATATCTCGGGTGGAGATGGACCGAGTTCCTCACCGGCATCCTGCAGGCGTTTATGCTGCTGAGCGCAGTCATTTTTATCGACGAGACATATCCGCCTGTTCTATTGGTAACAAAAGCACGACGCTTGAGACACGAGTCTGGGAACTGGGCGCTGCACGCCAAGTTCGAGGAGTGGGATGTGAATATCACCGAGCTCGCAAGAAAGTTTCTGGTCAGGCCCATCCAGTTGCTCTGCACGCCCATCTGCTTCCTGATGGCTCTATATGCCTCCTTCTGCTATGGTATTCTATACATGCAGCTGGGCGCCATCCCTTATATATTCGGCGAGATCAGGGGCTGGAGCCTCCTTCAAAGCGAGCTGCCATTCCTGGCCATCACCCTGGGCTGTATTACCGGCGCAGCACTCAACATATTCAACCAGATTGCCTACAACAAGGCCTACGACGCAGCCGGTCAGAGGGCCGTCCCCGAGAAGCGGCTCCCACCGATGATGTTGGGTTCCGTGATGTTCGCCGGTGGGCAGTTCATCACCGCGTGGACAGCGGAGCCGCAGAACGCCCCCTGGATCGCACCCGTCATTGGCCTTTTCTTCATGGGCTGCGGCTTCAACACCATCTTCCAGGCGGCTCTGAACTACCTCGTCGATACGTTCAGAATCAATGCTGCGAGCAGCGTTGCTGCAAACACGTTCTTGCGCTCGATGTTTGCGGCGGGCTTGCCGCTGGCCATCAGCCCGCTATATCGCACCCTGGGCGTGGGCCCTGGCCAAAGCATCTTCGCCGGGTTTGCGACTCTGTTGATCCCTGTGCCGTTTGTCTTCTATGTATTTGGCAAGAGGATCAGGGCTAGGAGCAAGTGGAGCAGGGCGAGTGTGTACTAGGCTGTCGACGCCATTCGTTGTACATAATAGAGAGCTAGTAATTGGGTGTATATGGGTAAAAGGGTGTCAACAGGTGTGTGGGATAATGAGCGGCCGCGATGAGGTCTAATCAGGCGCGGCAATCAGCATACATTGGAGTCATAACGGTAGCGCTTGGGAAAAGCTCGGGGTTTGAAAGACACCTAGAAGAATTAGACAGTCAAAGATCACACACAAGAGCATTTGGTAGAACAGGTCCTCCCCGCACGCTTCCGAATGACATAATCCTATGCTAGTCTCAGTTCGCGTCAACCGAGTTGTGCGTTGTTAAGGTCATTCAAGCTTGCTGGATTTTCGTACGGTACACTGTCTGGAAGAAGTAAAATAGCTGCGTATGAACCTATAATCACCGGAAAGCGGGACACAGGCCAAAAAATGGTCCGTCAAATGATATACGTGATATTGACTATACTGTAGGATCCCGGCCCAGCTATATAGACCCAATTCCAGTCCAGTCCCATGGTACCTAACGCCGAGCCCTGAGGCGATGATAAAAAAATAACCCATAGATGCCATCCAAGGGTATCGCCCACTTATGCACACGCACACATACAGATCCCTTCGAGAAAGTCCCCCAAAAGATGGATCCAATAGTGCAATCCCGAGATGCAAAACTGTCCTGATGCTGCCTCGCGCTGCCCAAAAAAGGCCACGTCTATTAACGATGTCGATCACCCAAAAACGCCGTCACCAGACCCCAAATTATTCAAACGGACAGCCATCCAAGCTCAATAAAGTAGAGGCAGCGGCGCAATCTCCCAAGTCGGTGAGCCATCTACCCGTTCCTAGCCGTGGTGGCTCACAAGGCTAGCCTTGTCGCTCTCGTCGTCGTCGTCCTCATCGGGCTCGAGGTCGGCCTCGTCGAACTCGACGCTCTTCCTCTTCTCTTCTTCCTGGATCTCACGCCAAGTACTAACACTAAGCATGAGGAAGGCGGCGATGATCATGATGCCGCCCACGATGGCGGCGAAGCTAAGCGGCTCGCCGGTGAGGAACCAGTCGCTCAGCGCCACGATGAAGATGGTCAGCAGCGAGGCGACGGAGCTCAGCACGGGGGACGTCAGGCTGATGAGCACGAGGAACGACCCGGCAAAGGTCGCGTTCATGACCACGGAGACGAAGAGCCAGAATGCAGTCGCGCCGGTGGGCAGCGCAAACTTCTCGATGCCGAGCATGTGGAGGATAGGCAGCGGGAACCACAGGACGGAGAGCGTGAAGGTGCCAATGAGGCTCCCGACAAGATTCGCGAACACCATGCCCCTTCCCGGGCTGCAGCCCTCGGGCGGGCATGCATAGCGCTTGTACAGGACTTCGTAAAGCCCATAGAGGACCGAGCCGACGCCGATGATGAGGTTGCCAAGGAAGCGGTTGTTGGCGTCGGCCTCCTCGTCCGTGGGCTTGGAGTCGCCATAGGCGACGATCAGCACGCCTATGATGGCGATGATGACGGCGAAGCTCTTGTCCAGGCGCAGAGGCTCCTTCAGCAGCGGCACGGAGAAGACATATGCGAAGAAGGCAGAGCAGTTGTAGATGGCGGTGAGGTCCGGTGTGGTCATGTCCACGGCTATATACCAGCCCAGGCCGGCCACGGTGAGAGCGCTCGTGACCACGGCGGTGGTGGTGAGCATGTAGCGCACGGGGCTCCGGGCTGAGTGGTGATGGGGAACTTCCAGCGTCCTGCCTTCGACCATCTGCGCGGTGGTCCGGCAGAGCCAGACGTGCTTACTCCAGAATACACTCCAGGGCATGTCGCGCTTCTGCAGGCGTAGGATAAGCAGCTGGGTCGGCCACAGTATGATCCAACTCCCCATGTGTCAGGTACAGCATGCAGTATGCCTTGTTCCATCCTAGCTCGTTCTGGACGTATGCGCCCAATTCGGTCTGTACGCAGAAGGAAACGAGGGCGAGGATGAGGAAGATGGCGGCGTATGTATATTTCTTACGGGCGGCGAGGCGGGCATTCGTGCTTGGCGATCGACTCCGCAGCGTACTTCGTCTGGAGAACGATGGATGTTGGGGAGTGCCGGCACCGCTCCCGGATGCCTGGCTGTGTCGAGACATTGGGCGGGAGGATGCGGTCGAGAGACGCGGAGAGGATTGTCGATCAGGGATCCCGGCATAGCCATTGTGTTGGGAGCGTCCACGGTCGAGATTGTCTTCATGTTCGAAGTCATCAACTGAGGGCAGGTTGGAGTCTCGCTGTTTGTGCTTGTGGAGCAGCGGCTTCCCTGAGGTTGTCCCCTCGCGCAGGGACGACTTCCGCGTGTCTACCATGGCTGGTGGGTGAATCTATCTTCGCAAGTGAATAGAAGTAAGAGACGTGGTCAATAGGAGAGGCGTGGTCGGCTCAGTATAGGAGTGCGCCTTTGGAAACGGGCTGTCGGGTCGATGTTCGGTGTTAGGGGTTGACCCGGCTGCGCATGAATAGATTCCTGTACCGTTGAGGCGCAGGGAGGATCACCGGGTGCTGAGGTCGGAAGCGCTGGCTTTCGAAGACGACCCTGAAGGTTATTGACGGCGAGGGCGTAGATGGGACTGTACTATTTGCTCTGACTGGAATTGGGGACTCTGGTGAGCCATGTGGCCTTGTGTGCCACTGTTCTCAGGTCTTTCTCAGCGAAGGATGATGGCAGGGGAAAGAATGGGATCTGCGACAAGGCAGCGAGAGGCAGAGATCATCAGGGATCAACGAGCCGTAGGGACAAGATAGGATGGAACTAGGTATGCACAGATAAGGAATGAATGAGCGGCCCTGTGGTGATGGGTGCCGGATGATGATGAAAGGCGACAGGGCGGTGGAAGGGGGCTCGTTTGTTGAATCGGCCATCACATGGCAAACATCGAGGCCCTTGGGAGATCACGCACGATTGCCCTTCTGTCCTCAGGGCATTTGCAGAGTCCCGATGGAAGGGTCCGGCCAATCGTGGCCCCTGTCTGCGTGCGGGCCCCCACTACCACCATGCCGGGCTGCAGAACGCTAAAGCCGCGGCGGGGCCTGCACCCTCCGTGACGGGGCCGGTGTGATCTACTGTGTAGAAATAGGGGCTCTCAAGGTTCCATCTGTCCTGGTCACAACCACCGTCCCGTCCCAACTCTTCAGCCCAGTCATGAGGCGAAGCCTGCCAAGACATTTCAGAGACTCAAGCTCGCGACCATTTAACTTCGCGACCTTGATTGAATACGTGCTTGTTCGCCTCCTCTCTTTCCCTCAGCCCATCTCGTCACGCGTCTACTCTGCCGCATCTTGCCTCGAGAGCCTTCGGATCAGTCTTGCTGCCTGTTCCCGTGACATCCGCCAGATGCAGCCGTTACGAGTAACGTGGATAATGTTGAAATGATGCGGTAGCCGCATGCTTGCCCGGAGACGGGTCGGGCCTACCCGGTTTGTATCACGGCGGACAATCACGCATTCGTTCCTCTGTGCGGTGTCAATGCTTCGCTCCCTATTATCACCACTGCCGCTCAAATAACTCTATATAAGGACAAGGCCACAACGCGCGCCTATGCGTTGCTGGCACAGCTCCACGGCGTGTGTGTGCTGTTGCTCGCGAGGCTGTCAATCGTGCTCCACAGCCCCAGCACGCAGAGCAGGAAGCCCACGACAACGAGGGTGATATTGGACACGAGTCCCGCCGTCATCTTCCAGTTCGTGTAGTACTGGCCGCGGTAGAGGAACAGCCACATGATGCCCGGGACGCCGTACGAGAACCAGCTCACGAACAAGGCACAGATCAGACTCAGGAGGCTGTTGAACACGGGAATCGACTCCGAGATGACGAACGCGATGATCCAGATTGACAGCCCAACGCAAACCCATCCCGCGTCCCCGATCAGCGTTCGCTTGTGCATGTGTCTCGTCTTGCCGAGGATCCGTGTGAAGATGTACTTGGTCGCGACGTGCCCGTAGATGACGCCGGCGATGACGATAGTGGGCAGCGCGATGCCCCAGATCACCTTCCTCACGACCACAGAGCCGGCCGCCGAGAGCGCCGGCGAGGGCACATCGGGTCCCACGTACACGTAGATGACGACCGCCGCGACGATGTACAGCGCCGTGTCGAGGGACTGCAGCATGACCAGCGCCTTGGGCCAGTCCGTCTTGGTGTTGAGCTCCGAGATGACGCTGAAGAAGCACGAGTGCGAGCAGAAGGCGATGGCGATGTTCGTCACCGACAGGAACGCCCCCGTGAACCCGAGCTGGTTCGCGACGTCCAGTGACGTCGAGCCGATGGGCTTCTCGATCGCCACGTCCACCACGGTGACGATGACCGCCGAGAAGATGGACAGCGAGGACGCTACCGACAGGTACGACGCGATGTTGAGGTTGCGCGGCAGGTTGAAAACCCAGAAGACGACCAGCCCGACGCCCGCCCACATGACGGTGCACTGGGAGCTGTTGGTCACTGCGGTATCAAAGTCAGCAAAAGTTGTTCTTGACGAATGGGCGGTTCAGAACACTATCCGCCATAGCCTGTCTGAAAATCTGCAACCTGTTCAAAGCGATACAGGGCGCGTAGTGAAACAGACTATGGATATGGCATTGTGTTCCTCTCCCTGAAAGGTGCTTGTGGAATCCGGGGGCTGCTCACGTGTATTCATCGCGATTGTCCAGGTCAAGATATGGCTCCCCATCACGAAGATCTGGAAGATGGTCTGCCCCCAGCCCAGGAATTCACCGAAGACGACTCCCAGGGTAGGTCCGCCCACGGCCCCTCCAACGATATGGCCGACGCCGCCGAAGGACTCGATTTCCGGGTACTGCATACAGAACTCGCCAAAGACGAGGCCTGAGTATCCCGAGAGAATGGCCATGACGACGATCAGGGCAATGCCGGGCCCGATCCCCACGCTTGCGATGACCGAGGGGAGCGAGAGGATACCGAGGGACACCGTCTCTGCGAAGAGGATGGTTCCGGCTTTCCTGTTCGAGCTTGTCAGAGCCCCGTTCATCCCGTGATCGTGAAATTGCGGGAGCACTCACCACCAGGACAGTGGGGTCAGGTCAATCTCTGCGCCATCTTCTTGTGCCACGCTGTGTGTCGTCCTGGTATCGTCTGTCCGGTATGCTGGTGGGGGGCTCGAATCATCCTTTTTTGATCCGTCGCCTGATGTGTTGGAGCCCGTCTCCATGTCGATAGGCAGGGCGTTCTTTTCCTGGTCTCTGGGCGCCATTCTCAACCTTGGGTCTCCTTTCGGATCTCCACTTTGGGGTTTGCTGCAACGGTAGGACAGGTTTTTCAGTTCCGAGGCCCGTTGGTGCGTGCTCAGGCTAGCACTTTAGTTGAGAACCCGGCAGGTCTAAGGGAGAACCTCTTGTGACTCCGCGAAGGCCGTCGAAGGAAAGCGAGAAAAGTGAAGAAACGCCGGGCTCAGCGCATCATCAGGCGACGCAAGCTTGGGATATAAAGAAAAGCCATCTTGCATTCGGTCATAGGCATGATTAATCCTGGACCCGGGGCCGCAATCGGATACGACAGCTGATGGCAAACACAACCGAATGACTCTTTCTTACTCGCCGCCTTGGGCTCCATAATATAGGCTGGGTCTAGCCCAGGTACGGGCTTGCAGGCTGGGCACGCAGGAACGGAGAACCCCGGCCGGGACAGCTGACGCCGACGCGGCGGACCGGCGCGCGGGAACAAGGTTTGTGAGGCCATCGACGGCCCCGTTTTAGGCATGCCGGCACTTGAAACAGAGTTCAGCCAGCACCGAGTCGACATGTCGTGTTGAAGCCGCCGATGTGATCGAGCAAGCCGCCGTTAAGCCGCGACTTTCCATCCCAGAGGCCAGTCCTCGAGATGTCGTGGCCCCTCAGGCCATGGGCAAAAGCCGTTGCGCGGTCGGCTCACGGTGGGAAATTCTCGCAGATTTGCTAAAAGTTACGTGATGCGGTAGAAATTTTCTGGGGATGATGGAGCCCTGGCCCGCTTTTTCGACGTCGGATTGAGCATTTCGCCCCCTCAGATTTCCGAAAGCAAAAAAGCAGCTGTCGAGCTGTTGTCTGTTCGCCTAGCATACGCCGCCCAGAGGTCTGTGGGTGCGAGTTCCGGTGCCGGGAAAACCTGCCTTTGCTGGCTTCGTGCCGTGGAAGTCGGTCCTTCGGGGGGGGGGGGGCGACGCGGCTGCACGGCCGCCTCACTTGTCAAGTAGCATTGCTGTGACCCAACCAGGAAAGACCCTTGGCGCATGACCCCACGGGGTCAGATTGGCTGTGTCATCGTGATGGTAGCCTCTGCCATTGGTCAGTTGGGACAACAAAAAAGTGTTGCCTGGTTTGTTGGTATTGAACACGTCGATCGTTGACTTCTGACCCAACTCCAACGTGGTGCATGACACTTAGGTCAGGGGCGGCTTGGCAGAAGACTCAACGACTCCACTGTCGAAATGAGTATTGGGTGAGAACTTCAAAAGACGGATAGGACCACGAGTTGGAGAGACACGGTAAGGGGAAACGAGAGACAGCTTTGGAAGTGTCGAGAGCTCATGTATACTTGACATTTTGCTTGGCCGGCATCCTGGCATGTATTCATCGAGGTCCTGACGCGCAATGGATCTGGTCTATACTTCTACAGCTGTGAAGCTGTTGAATTTCAACTCCTAGGACATTGGTGCCAAACGTGCGCTCATACATTGGGATACCCGACCGAGAGTTAAAGCAATATTAGGTATGAGTATTGTATATATACAGGAAGTCCTATTAATAGCTAGCATTCTCAAGGGTCAGTCCATGGCAGCTGTACCAGGATCACCGAAGCCAGGCAATTGCTTTCCAGAACATATATTCTCCACCACTTGTGACAGGAAGCCATGTGTTGACCATCCCAGTCCACACTTGATGACAGATCGTTAATCCATGGGCTCTCGCCATCGTCACCACCAAGAGCATGTCGAGCACTCAAGAAGTGACCCATCCAAGCCAGCTCATCAGCTGCCAGAGCCTGTAAGACCAAAAGAGACTCGACGAACTCCTCCTAAGGGTCCGTATGCTGGAGATAGAGCCATACACTACTCAGGGGCAGAGTAGTGACACCTGCGAAGGCAAAACGGCGGAGGGCGCCTTGGCTGTGCAGGAGGGGATTTGAAGGTTAGCATCTGTTCATGGTTGACCCAGGGCAAAGTCGCTGCTCGGAAGAGTGTAAGTACATATGTTGGTGTTGTGCACTCGGGGCAGCAGCAGGATATAACTCGGCTGGGGCAGTCGTCATAGGTAGTACAGGTAGTCGAGGATGATTCCAGCACCGCTAAGAACAAGGGTTGGCTGAAAGATCTCGAACAGGAAGGCATTGGCGATGTGACGAGAGGCAAGTTGGGGAAGGGAGAGGGGCTTACAAGAACACCGGACCAGGCTCGTCCACGCCATCCTCATCGCTACTAAAGCCTGTGTCCGTCTCCTCGGCATCGTGATGGGCATGAGATGCCCCCGTGGCAGAGAACTGCCCACCATGGTTCGCATCGTTCTCGTCCTCCCCTGGCTGTCGCTTCACAAAGACACCCTCTCGTTCAACCCTCCATTCGGCACCGAAGTGTCTCACGTATTCCACCGCCATATCCCAGCTCTCACGATCTGCTGCATCTCCTGACTCAAAGACCTGGAGGTGGCGCCAGTTGCCCGCGGAGCTGGAGCTATCGAACAACTTGGGCATGATCTTGCTACTTTAGTACTTGTTAGTACTGCTTGTCGCAGCGCGTGTACGGTCAAAGACTGGAAGTTCCCTATGACGAGTTTCCCCAGAGCCGAGTCTGTGGACACATCTCGAGAGTCATGTGGGGCAAGTTGATTGCAAAATACGTGCAGGGGATTCATGTTTAAGGAGGAACATACTAGCTCGTATTACGCTCAGCCCATAGATCGTCCACTGTAACATCCGCAGTCAGCTATCAAGCCAGCATGGAAATCTTGTTCGTGAAATATTATACAGTGGGCCATGGAATTGCTATAGTCAACCCAACAAGCTTAGGCGCAACGACGAACTTTATACACGCAGAAAGATGGTCCACGATTACGGAAGACGCAGGTGGGAGGTATTCCCCAGGCGCTACTTACTGTCCAGATGCTCCATCTCCTTTTTGTCTTTGAGAATATCGTTTCTTGGTACGAGCTGCACGAAAAGCCGATCGATCCGCGGGAGGTGTTGCACCAGGGTATTGAAATGCGTGGACAATGGAAAGATTCCAACATAACTAAGATCGCGGATCGTTGAAGGGATCAGGGCCTCGTCGTTGGGGAACTCCTCAGCCCCGAGAAGAGCACCAAGCATGGATGGTGGGCGTCTGTGATAGTACTCGTATGTCTTGTACACGCGGGTTGAAGAACCCTCGTTGAGGAGAAGCGCCTTCCAGGGGCGGATGGTGAAGAGAGAGCAAGGTATACGTCTTGCTGTGTGTGTGACCGACGACGACGACGACGACGACGACGACGACGAGGATTGGGCTGCGCTTGCGGGACCGAGGGAAGTGGACGGTTCTGCCTCTTGGTGTGTAGCCACAACTTCGTCTTCCTTGCCGGGACTCGCGATCTTGGGTTGGGTCCGGGACAAAGACAGCACGTGATGTGACTGGTAAAAGCTCCAGGCGTCACCGAGGAAGAGCATTCTGGCCAGCAGTGATGCTAGCGTCCGGGGCGACGCAATGATTGTGAAACGCAGAGGGTCGAGCAGGTCAAAAATGAGGTTCCATAGCCAGTTTGTGTCCTCGTTGAAGACCATATCCCTCTCTCGTCCAGCGCGGTTCAAGGGGCCGAAAGGGTCTGGGCTGATCTCGTCGTCTCCTGGCCGGTTTAGTTCCACGCCGGCCCCGCCAGTGGACCTAACTCGTGTGCTCTTTACCACTACGAGAGTCAGGGTTTTCACATATGGTGTGAGGTTGTTGTCTCGTACAAAGGACAACAGGGGTATCATAGAGTGAGGACCACTGGACTGCTCGAGATCAACCAGAGACAGGTCGGACTGGTCCAGGTACCATACCGCGTTCCGGAACAGAAGGGGGAGAACAGTGGCACGCCATTGCTTGTTAACGAGTGACAGGTTCTTGAGGTTCTGGGACGAGAGGTCGGGCTCCTTGAGCATGTGTGCATGGGGCTGGTCGTGGAGACGCTCGTCAGAAGGGGCCGGACTGTCGAGGAAGCTGAAGATGTGAGACAGCATCTCCGTAGGGAGATCGTGGATGCTTGTGGTAGTCATGGCTGCGGAAGTTGCCGGATCGCCAGGCTAAACAAATGCAAGTAAACGGAGACTCCTGCGTGTGTCATGGGCTATTACCACAACCACACATCGTGGGGTTCGGAGTGTGGTGGTTGTCAAGTGAGACAGAGGCAGACGGGTTGACGTCAAGCGGCGGCGGCCGATAAGCAACCCTGAGACGTTATCGCAACCCCTGGTCAATGCCCATGTGGCACGGCTTTGGCGGGGTCAAGTGGGCCTCCACTTCTCAAGAACAGCCCCTGCGGCTTCCAGAAAGACGCCCTATCCTTCTGCGACGGCGATGTCCCACCGAGGGCCACACCTGCACTGCACGCGAAGGAACCTCTCAGGAGCCTGCAGCTGATGCTGTGCAAGTGCCTATAGTAGAAGAAATCGACAGCTGCAACAAGCATCTCTGTGTCTCTTCTCTCTCTCGTTGGTTTCCGTTCCATTCCGAATTGATGGCACGCCCGCCCGCCCCTCCCTCGTCTACAAAACAACTACCTACCTCGGCGGGTAATTCCCATCTTACCACATTTTACATAGAGCTCACATGGACAAAAAGGGCGTACGCAATGACGTACATGCACCGCAGGCCCCAGGGACTTCTATTCTCCGGGCCTCATACGAGTGAAATAAGTCATCCCTTACCAATTGCATTGCAGTTCAGTCATAGTGCAGCCAAGAGGTGCAATGTTTGGGGCAGCCTCCCTCTCCTCCTCCAAACCCCGCTGCCATGTCACCAATGACCGCACCCTCCAGCTGCGTTTGACCAAGCGATGGCGGGGACGTTGATCCGCGGGCACAGGCTACCGACGAACCGGACACTTCTGCCTTCCGGCAATACTTGGGATGGTACTATGGTGACGGGGTACGCAGGGATCCATCGGCAATACTCCCGACGTCTGATGTAGTTTGAGGTATGATCTCCAAGGCGGGGGAGGGCGGAGGCAATGTAAATACCGGGTGATTGCGACGACAGCACTACTTACGCAGTAATATAAACCTCCGCCCATTGCCTAACAGGCCAATATCCTTGGTCAAACCTCTCTTCTCCCTACAAAAGACCCGTCGCTGGTATACCACCTACGTTCCTACGGAATGGTCGCAAAGAAGAACCATCAACGCCCGCCCTTCCGGGCTGAGCACCTTGGCTCACTTCTCCGGCCACAGAAGCTGGTTGATAAACGTGTCGCCCTGGACGGCGTGAAAACCGAAGCCATCGCCAATGATAAGGAGCTTCACGGCATTGAAGATGAGGCCATCAATGAGATCGTCAAGGTCCAGCTAGACCTAGGATTCCATGCGGTAAATGATGGAGAATACCGTCGCCATCAGTTCTGGGGCACCTTCTTCCCTGCTCTTGAGGGGATGGAGGAGATTGAAAACCCACCTCTGGAAATATTCCGTCTCTATGTTCCTGACCTGGCTGCCTTTAGTAGGTCTTCCATGTAACATTTGAGGCTCAGTAGTGCTTTACAGTGAGGCAGTGAACTAACTCCGTCGTTCCAGCCGAGGCCGGCCACAAACCTGGCGAGTCTGTAATTTGCACGGGCAAGATCAGGCATGTTGGCAGTACCTATGTCGACCAGTGGAACTACCTAAAGAAACTCCTCCCGGCCGAGTACGTCAAAGAGGCGAAGCTGACCCTACCCGCGCCTGAGTGGTACCATCTTCGCTACCAACCTGGCAAGGCCTACCCGAAAGAGGTATATGCCAACGACGAGGAGTACTTCGCCGATATCGCGAAGGCGTACAGGGCCGAGCTGCAGGTCCTGTACGACGCTGGCTGCCGCAATGTCACCATCGACGACCCAAACCTGGCTTGTAAGTCTGTCAGGCTTGTTGAACAGAGCCGCCCACAATTCGGTAAGCTGCTAACATTTTAACAAGATTTCTGCTCCGAGAAGATGCTTCAAGGCTTCAAGGACGCGGGTGAGGACTCGGATGCTCTGCTGGATAGCTATATCAAGCTCTATAACGACTGCATCTCGCAGCGCCCGGACGACCTCCACCTGGGAATCCACCTCTGCCGCGGAAACTTCGCCTACAGCCGGCACTTCAGCGAGGGCGGGTACGACCGCATCGCCACCAAGCTCTTCAACGAGATCGAGGCCGACACCTACTTCCTCGAGTACGACACCGACCGCGCCGGCGGCTTCGAGCCCCTGAAGGAGCTGCCGCCGTACAAGAACGTCATCCTGGGCGTCATAACCAGCAAGTTCCCCGAGCTGGAGGACCTGGAGAAGCTCAAGGAGAGGGTGTACCAAGCGGCAGATTTTGTGGCGAAGGGCGCGGGCCAGAGCCGGGAGGAGGCGCTGAAGCGGATCGGCGTAAGTCCTCAGTGTGGGTTTGCGAGCCACCACTTGGGAAACAGCGTCACCCGGGAGGATATGATCAATAAGTTGAAGCTGGTGCGGAAGTTGGCAGATACTGTCTGGCCGGGTGAGGCATAAGGAGATCACACAAGGCTGTGTTCCCTGCCGTTTTATGAGAGCATTGCGAGGAAGGGGATTCTCGTCCAACACGAGTAGATTTCGTGGAAAAGCGTTGTCTTCTCTATGCACATTGTTACCCTGGCCTCATGCGTCGAAATGGGGAAAGGAATCTTTGCCCTAAAATCTTACAAGGTCGCGCAAGAAAAGGGGAAAAAAAACCTCTTGATGCCGTCATGACAGTCTCACATTCACATGCGATGGGTCTCCAGGAACACGCGCTTCAGACCGTCCAAACTGTTCACTACACACACATGTCCTATTCTAACTCCTAACAGATACTTCCATAATTAAATTTTTACATAGTTGAAACCTAACGTGACTTGAACGGCTCGGTAGCCCCATAGCCCATCTTTTTGGGCAACTCTTGTAATTGATCATGTGCTTGGTACAAGATCATCGAATGCGTCTGGCGGCCCGGTCCTATTCAATTCCAAGCCAGTTTCTCCAACATTCCAGAGATGCTTGGATGCTTCCCCTACTTGTTGTCCTCGAGTTCTTCACGCCGCTGTTGATTGGGTGGTTTGGCTGTCTTAGCCTCGCAGTGGGTTGCTGACGAAACCATCATCATGCCCCTTGATGTAACAGTTGACCATAGAGTCCTTGCAAGGACGTCGATGACGTCTGAAATGGAAAATCCTCTCCCTCTCGGTCATCGACATGGTCAAGCACTCTGCACCATACGGGCACCTCACATACTAGGCGTTCAAAGTTAGGCCCCGCCTCAATGAAGAAATATATTACAAGAAAAGGTGGAGGGTATGGTCCGATCTGTCTATAACTTGTGTCGCAAGTCGACCCCAACCAAAACAGTTTAGGTGCAAATAGTGAAGAAAAATGCGAAGATGGGATGGCGTGTGCAAAGGGAAAATGGAAGTAAAGTAACAAGGTTGCTTACCGATTGTTGGCTGAGTCCTCCGCGCTGCACTCCCGAGCGGAGAAGTTCCACAGCATCAGCCCAGTCCCCATCCAGCAAGTAGACATACCAAAGTCCGAGGACGGCAGGCTCCTTCCTTGGAAGACGGACGAAAGTTCGAAGCTCTTTCAGGGTGATTGAGCAGTTCTTCAGGTGAATGTTCTGGGGCTGATGCAAATTAGCCAGGAGGGGGCCGACGGAAGTGCGGTTTGGATCATGCGTGCGGTTTGCTGCGAGACAGTCTCGCTCTTCGAAAGCAAAGTCTAGTGCCACAAAATCCAAACGCATTGATTTCATGAAAGCGGTCCAGAAGAAGTTGAGATTCTCCTTTTCCTCTGTGTCTCGAGAGGGCCTCCGAATGCTCGCCGGCTCCGCTCTGGCACTGAACTTGAAAGATTTCAAGCCCTGGGCAAAAAGGTTCAGTCGAGACATCTGGCCGCTGCTGAGTTGTAATTGGAAGGAGCGAGGAGGTGTCAGGTCGAATCTGAGGTGAGCCACTGAGTGACCTGCGTCGTGGATTGCCAGGGGGATTTGGTAGAGGAGTTGAGTGGGTGGGTTTTCCACTCCCATCATTCTCGCCTTTTGCCATGAGAAAGTATGGAGCGTCATCTCTTCAACTAGACGGATAGGATTCCGGACCAACTTCCCCAGCTTGTGGAAAGTACTTGGACTCCGGGGCTGCTCGTCGTCGGAGCTACGTGACCTGTCTCTGATCACCAATTCCTCGAGGCAGGGCATTCTGCCAATCGCTGAAGCGATGCCTTGTGGGAAACGACCATGGCGGAGGACCATCTGCTGCTCATGATACAGTACGTGATATCGTAGCCAGCCAATGTATAGGGCGTTGATGTTCTCATCGTCGAGATGCGCCCCATCATCACAAGTGTCGGTAAATGTTTCGGTAAATTCAATCCAAGAATGCCGGATGCGGAAAGTGTCCCTGCTGTTGGGGCTGTCCGAAGGCATGGTTTCATACAGATCGTCCATCTCCCGAATGCACCTTGCGGCGAAAGACTGCACGCTACGAGCGAAGTCGGCATTGTAGACGTCAACAGAGGCGACGAGACGACGGATGCCTCTTGAAATGGTTGCATTGTGGGATACCTCGCTAAGGCGCTCAAGCGACTTCGGGTTCAGACTGACATATACTGTATCCATCAGAAGGTGGGAGCTGGTCTTATTGAGGCGGTGGGAGGATAGACGGAGGTTCTTGATGTCAGCACGGTTGCGAAGGTAGCCAGATACGTCCATGAGGAGCTCGTCAGGTAGGTCGTGTATCTTGAGAGGCCGTAAAAGCGGCCTGGCGAGGGGAATCAAAGACTTGGCGCAAAGCGATGTGGGCATCTGCCAGCTTGAGCGACACAAGTCGGAGCTTGTCAATGAGGCCGTCGAGGCTACTAGCCTCCAGCTCCACGACCTGGGACCCCACATCTTGCTTCATTGAGTCGATGTTGTCCAATTGCGCGCGAAGGAGAGCCAAGTGAGTCTGTTGACTCTCACGCGTGAGCGTGGCAGGATCCATCCCTGCAGTTTTGACGGTTGGGCCTGCAAAGAAGAGACTTGCGAAGCTGTTCGAGTGTACGTGTCAGTATCAGACATTGTAGATTTGAGGGGGCAGCCTACCCGTAAGCAGGAAATGTTCACTGCCGTTAGTGCCGTTTGTAGAAAATCTCGACGGCAGGGTGGCGTTCCAAAGGAGTGGCTTCTCCCTTTAAATGACCTTGGAAATCTTTGACTGAAGGAACGGGCGCTTTTATGGAGACCAGATAGGTTCCAATAGGAGAGAGACGGGTTGGTTGCCTGGGAACGTGTTGAGTGCAACTCTTGATGCTTCCACCAAGACCAGATGCTGAGCAAGTGACAGCAGTGACTGTTTGGTCTGAAGTCACAGCGTTGAGAAGATCTAGACAAGTCTTGGTGGCCGACTTTGGGGTGCTTCAATTGACAAAGTGAAAGGGAAGCCAACAGGCGTAGGCCTAGAATCGACTTGAAGTGTCTTGGGATGAAATGTTTTGGTAAACCTCACGCGTGGTCCAGGCTCCGTGGTAGAAGCTTTTTTGCTTGAAGACGGTGGCTGCCTCGCAGTGAAGGAAGCTTGCCTGACGTAGCCTGGAGAACAAAATTGGCACATTGCAAGCAAGTGCAAATCGACCTGTGCTCTTAAAGAAAGCAGAGACTCGCACCTACAAACGGACGGTACACCAGTACATTGCAAGCACTAAACCACATGAATTAGGTGTTTGCATTGGGTGTATTGGTGTTCCGTGTGTAGGTGTTAGGTGTGTAGGCATTGGGTGTTAGGTGTGTTGGTTAGGTGTGTGGGTGTGTGGGTGTGTGGGTGTGTGGGTGTTGAGTGTGGATGTGCGAGTTGTGATGTACCGGTATACCCATCGTTTCTTTCAGTTGCAAATCTCCGTATTCCTCTTAAATACCACAGTTGACCAGTGATTAAAATCCGTTTGCGAGAGAGTACTGCACGAGATTGGATGAGAACCACTTCGTCACAGTCCACAGGTTCTGCATATCGTACACCCATTTCCACTTGTCGACATAAACCGCCAAGTCTTACAGTATTCCTAACTTTTCCTACGAAGCCACCACTGAAGATGGTTTATCTTCAGACTATACTATGGTTGCCTCTCATCCTGAGAGAGGAATGAAGGACGCCCACGATGGATTCCTTACATCCCGCCCTCCAGTCATTTCCACCGTCCTGCTGTCATTTTTCCCATCGAATAGAAACAGACTGGATGTTTATTCCTCCAAAGTGTCCCCGGGACCATTTTCGCCGGCTGCTTCAAATGGTATCGGTATTTGTTTCCTCATCTATCGTCTCGTCCTGCGTCACTAGAAAGGGGTTGCGGATCGGGACACCTTGAACGTACTGGCTGGCCAAACTCGCCTGTCCACCATCCAATATTCGTTGTAGTTGATCGGAAGCCATAGAATTGCATTCTGCACCTGAAAGAGAGCCTACCTGGGACTCTGGATTCGCTTTAGTACGCAATACGTCCAACCCTTCAGCCCAGGACCCGCTGCGCAGCTCCACCCGCTTGAGGTTGAGGAAAATTCCAGGTCGAAAACCCTCCACGAACCTCTTCAGTTCGCTGAGGTGGAACGAAATAAAGGCCAGATTGATTTCTCGGAGATGAGGCCAACGAAGGGACGCCAACAAAGATCCGATATGTTCATCCGAATCGAATGTGGAAGGAACCGAAAGTGTAAGCACTTCAAGGTTTGCTGCTTCTAATACAGCGCGAAGATATGTTGAAGCACTGGAAATGTGCTCCGAGGGGCTCGAGCACCACATGCGAATCTCGAAAGTGAAGACTTTCAGGCTCTCAGCCGCAGCCTTCAGACCATGTAGTTGGGCTTGATCGCCAATCCATGTAGAGTTAGGCCAAATTCCAGACTGAGTGACGTATTGAACTTCAACCTCGGCTGCTGGGAAACCTGCTGCGTGGAGTGCCAGTGGCACCTGGGCTGTGAGCTCTGTCGGCTTAACCTCTGGGCCCAAGGACGCACCGATGGACAGCATCATTCTCTCATCAAGAACATCAGAAGCGCTAGTATGATGCCTCCACAGATTTGCGTGAAATCCTGGTGACCCTTCTCGGTATCGGAATTTGTTCGTGAAGAGAAGCTTGGTGACCCTTGATATCCGTCCTACTGCCGCCGCAATGGCCTGCGTATATGTTCCGTCCTTGATAGTACGTCGCTGCCATTCATACGTCATTCGGTACTTCTCATAGCCTCGGCGTAGGACTTCGACGTCAAGGCGTTGCTGATGTGTGGAGCATTTCCGTGTCTCCGTATACTGACACCAGGAGCCCAGGAGACGCTGTCTCTCCACAAAAATTGGTTGAAACTCGGCGGAGGAAGCGAAGTTTCCATTCTCGAGAGCACTCTGGGGATTCCTCAGCACCGAATTGATGTTTCCCCGGAGATCCTGGATGGCCAAGTACATGAACCTTGTGGTATCTCTAAGATTTCTGCGGGATTTTAGACTGATGTGAAGGACGCGAATGCCTTTCGATACGATAGGGTGGCAGGATATCTCCTGAGCACGGGCCAGCGAAGCTGCTGTCAAACACAGGTCGAGGCAGTCAAGCAAGAGATGGGAACTTGTGCTGCAGAATCGACGACAAGTCAGACGAATGTTTCTGATATCAGCAGAGTCTTTCGCATGGCCGAATATGTTGATCAACAGCTCGTCGGCAAGGTCCAAAATGCCGAGTTGGCCGAGTGACTGGGGCTCGATGTCGCTGGGCAGTGAAGCTGGGAGCCTCTCAAATTTGAACGAACCGTTCTGGGAGATTGCGCTCGAGTCGTTTGGTCTCTGATCCGTTTCCTTGGTGACCACTGGGAGGCTGCCAGGCGTGTTCGTATGTATCGGCATCGCTGGCTCCTCCTTGTCGTCGTAAGCTCTAGATTCAGCCATTCTGCCGGGTGCTGATCCAACGGCAAGTTTTTCCACTAAAAATATTTCCACAGGTGGTTTTCGCACGGGTTTTGTCGCACAAAAAGTTGTCTGACGAAATATGATCCCACAGGAGATTATCCCACAGGAGGTTATCCCAAGGTCAGTATCTCGCAGGAGAATTGCCCACGGGATATTTGGCCACAAGAGGAACCTTGATTGAGTTGGACAGTTGCTATGCCAAACTGAGATGAGTATCGAAAGACCGTATTCACTTGGGGCTGATTTGTGACGGAAAGTTTTGATAAACGATCCAACGCGTTTGTTGAGGCGGTGGTGTTGATTGGGGTTAATCGACAGGGGGTGAGATTGTCTTCTTGTCGAAGAGATGTAGATGTCTTGCCCCTTGTGTAGAGGGATACCTGGGTAGGGTGCACTGCCAGACCTTCTGGATACAGGCTCAGTTGTATTCAGAGGTAAGCAGTTGAATGGAGACGGAGTGTGCATCAATGGACTGGTACAAAAGAGACAAGGTCAGTCAGTTTGGTTGTTGAGGCAGGCTAGCTGCATGTTGTCCATCGATGGCTTGTCAATCATTTTCAGGCGGTGATTGGGACCATCTATCCAAATAGTGAATGGCGGCCAGTGGCTAAGTGCTTGTGGGAAATGGATGTTCCCGAATGCATCACAAACCTCAAGTGCAAACTGGGTGGACTTGGGAGTCTTAAAACCTGGGCACTGTTTCTGCCAACTTCCTAAGGTGGGCATCTGCTGGCAATCATCCTAGATTGCACATAGGCTTGTGTCAGTCATCAGCCTATCTCAGAGCTCTCTTCCTCAAAGCTCTCCGCTTCTGAAGCATCAAAATGCTCAAAGTGAACCTGTTCGAGGAATCGCCCTCCCGTTAGGGCTCCGTCAGAATCTTCGTCAGAGGAATCCCCCGACCCGTTTGAGCTATCCGACCCCGACGATCCCTCTTCTTCGTCACTGCTCGAGTCGGCTTCAACCGCAGTGCCAGGAGCAAAGCTCATGAGGATCTCCTCCAGTACCTCTTCTGTGAGCCCTTTCGCTTTGACGGCTCGAATCAGTAACCCCAGTTCCTTGACCCACTTCCCATCGCTTCTCAGCATGGCTAATTCCTCTGGGCTCAGCAAATCAAGAGCCTTTTTGAATCTGCCCAAAAACGTAGAGAACCAGTTCTCCCTGAGCTGGGCCCCGATCTCCCCCGTATCAACCAAGATGGTATTTATGATGCCCTTCATCGCAAACAATGCATTCTTCTTGGTTCCGAATGTCGCAACATCCACGACGACTCCGTTCCTAGCCCGACGCTCGCGGTCGGTCATATTCTGAAGGAGTTGCTCCTGCATCCAGGCCACGTTGGCTTCCACGTCAACAGCCTTGCTGTGCCAATGCTGTCTCTTCTTCTTTTGGGACCAATACTGCTTTGGGCCACTGTCATCATACTTGCCGGTCCACCCAAGTTCCTCCTCCATCTGGCGGACCAGATACGTGAAACTCCTGTCCTTTGCTGGGATGTTCACCTTACGACGCACAGCTCCAGCCTTTCTTGCCCCCTGTGCTTCTTTTCTTGCCGCAATCCTGGCTGCTTTTTCTGCCTTCTCCGCCTCGATGACCTCCTTGGGTCTCGCGGGGCCGTGAGGACGACCTGGCCGTCCTGGAGGGGGTCGCGGCAACACTGGCACGAATTGGGCCACTGACCCCATAGCACCTGGCAGCTCACGCATTTCACGCTGGAGGACAATCCGGTCTCGGTGGGTGCAGGCGAAGCGGTCCACCATCTCGGCGACGTCTGAGTGCGCTGCCGCTGCATATATCAGGACAAGATAAAGGTCATGGGGGGTTTTGTCGTCGGGGTCTATATATGCTAGAGCTTCATGAAGTGGCATATTTTCCGGGGCCGACGACGGTTGTGAGGCCTGTGCTGGTACCTCATGAGAGTCTGCTGATGAGGACTGTGGTGTTGTCATAGTCGGAGCAAGCATTGGTTCATGCTGATGTGCAGCAGAGGATGGTCCATCGTCTGTCCTTGGGCGTTTGGCCACATGTGAGGCCATTCTCGTCCGGATGGCACCGAGAAAACGGCGGTGCAGTTATTAATGCCGTTGCACTTTTCCTGGTGGCCCATGGGTGTAATACCAGGCGTTTCTGGATGTAGTCGTCGTCAAATGGGCTGCTGTTGCAAACTCGTGTTCTCAAATCGGCGACTGGACAGATTGCACGGGCCACGAGGACGAGGGACGGGATTGTGGCCCGTGCACAGATGGAGACCTGCCTGCTTAATAAGAGACGAAGTCAACCACAACAGCCTACATCATCATTTTTCGAGATTTCGCCGGTGATATTTTGTAAGATACCGTGTACTATCTCAAGCGGTTTAACGAGAACCATCTAATTTCCTCCTTGCAAAGTTGCCCACTTAATCACGACAAGAACCATCCAGCAATGGCGGCGAGCTCCAGCAAGCCCCTACACTTCCTCATCACCGGCGCTGGCCGCGGCATAGGTCGAGGCCTGTCCCGGCTGCTCGTCCAAAAGGGCCACCGCGTCTTCCTAGTAGACAACAACCAGGAAGAGCTCAGTCACACGTGCGAAACGCTCACGAGGCTGCCATCCGTGCCATCATCTGCGCCAAAGGCGGCCAAGGCCTTTGACGCCCTGCACTGTAACCTCCGCAAGCCCGGCGACATCGACAGGGCCGCGAAAGCAGCCTCAGAATTCTTCGCGGACCACCTGGACGTCCTCGTGAACAACGCCGCGTTCACATCGGGGGTAGGCGGGCCAAGCATCCTCGACTCCACGGACGAGCAGTTCACGGCGTCGTGGGCCGCCAGCCTAGAGACCAATTTGACGGCCCCGCTACTGCTTAGTAGGGCGTGCTTGCCCATGCTTCAAAAGCAGCCGGATCGTGGGCGCGAGAATGGCGGGAGCATCATACACATGTCTTCCACACGCGCTCATCAGAGCGAGCCGGACTCGGAGGGCTATGCTGCTACAAAGGCCGGTCTCATTGGATTAACGCACAGCATGGCCGTCAGCCTCGCACCCGCGGGTATTCGTGTGAACACGATCCTCCCCGGATGGATACACGTGGGCGATGAGTACAAGGAGGCCGATGAGAAAGGCACGGCGTGGGAGGAGGGGCTGTCGCAGGACGATCAAAAGTGGCATCTGAATGGGAGGGTAGGCAAGGTCGACGACATCCTTGCGGTGGTCGAGTACCTCACCAAGGCAGAATTCGTCACGGGCACGGAGATGATTGTCGATGGCGGAGTGACCCGGAAGATGGTCTATCCCGAGTAAACCTCGGTCAGGCCACTTAGACGGCTGTGGGATAGATGCATGCATTAAATGCTGGTTCCGAAGGGGTTCGTGAAGTCTGCCCTGCCCCACACGCTGCATGCTGGTCACCGTGGCAGCGAATAGAGTACACGGCAGTCCCGCAGGCTTGGCTTACACTTACCCTGGTGCAAGTATGGTATGACAAGTGAACCCCGCCATGCTCATATTACCCTGCGGCCGCGTTGGAAAGTGGCGGATGGTGCAGCCCTGGCTAGAAGATAAGTCTGGTGGTAGCAGCCTGCATTTTGCATGCGGACATCTGCGCTTGCCAGTGGCAGGATTGGCCTGCAAATGCGGCCTAGCAGCCTTCTTGGGGTCGGGCCGGTCGATATGATTCGCAGTATATTGGATCATCCATTATCTAATGCGTTGAAGGCAGACTGGCAGGCTGAGTCCGCATGGCAACACTGCAGATGTGCCGCTCACGAAAGCAGTCGCTGGTTTGGTTCCTCAAATTATACACTTCCCGCAATGCGAGTGATTGTGAGGTCTGAAAGCATAGCCACTGGCATGTTCTTGGTTCACGTGGTGGAAAAACACGGAATCACTTCTGGGAGTTGAGCCGCCTGCTGCTGTGTCAGAGCCTTGTCGATATAAGAAGCATTGAGGTCGAATCTGACACATCTGGGAACCCCACAAGCATCGACCATGTGTCTTCTTGCATCCAGCGTTCCTCACTCGCTCGACTAGGCTTGATGGCAGAGGCCGTGGGACTCGCGGCGAGTATCGTCGCACTTGCTGGCCTCGCGCATACCGTACTGAAATTTGTCGGAGAAACGCAACATATTGTAAGAGGTATGAGAAGCCTTGGTGAGGAGACGGGAAGATCAATGCATCACATCTACTTCGCTGCCGGTACCATCGATACAGCCCAGAGCGCGCTTTCAAGATATTGCGCGCCTGGTGGAATAGCATCACAATCACAAGTCGTCCAATTCATAGAGGACCACTGGACTGCAGCTTTCCTGGAGTCGGAATCAAAATACCTCGGTCAACATGTCGACAAACTCAGAGAAGGAGTCTACGCTTTGAAAAAACGATGGGCGCCTGTGGCTACGATGCTTTGGCGCTACTTCATCAAAGGACAGGTAGAAGATCTGCGAGATGATATGCAATTCATCCAAGTCGGTTTGGATGTGCTGTTATCTTGCGTTCAACTGGAAATAGCTTTGAACAGACGGGAGAGAGACGAAGCCGAAATGCAAGTTGAGCTCTTCCCACGAGTGTTTGATGATGAAGAGACTAACCACTCCCGTCCAGCGAATATCATAAACGAGGCATCAAACAAAAAGAGAAGGAGATCAGGAGGCTGAGCAAGGATCGCGTGAGTGTATCGGCTGGGATCGAAGGGATTGACCAGAAATATTCGACAGCCTTTGGGCAGCAGTTGGAGATCGAAGTCCAGCTGCATTACATCCTGAAGCTAGCCGGGACAATCAGAAGGACCGAAATGGTCCCGCAGTCGAGTCGAACGAGCCCAAGTTCAAGTCCGAGTCGAAGTCTGAGTACGTCGGCAGCAAGCACTCGAAGAACATTAGAACTTCGAAATTACGAAGGCGAGCAACCCATGCCTCAACCGGACCCCCCAGTGCTGCCCAGGCTGCCCTCTGTGTCATCTCTTCACGTCTTGCCGAGCCGTTCCAAGGTGTCATCGAGAACGCGTTCCCGTGCGCGGAATTCTTCAGATGCCCCAGCAAGCCGCGTCGTGAGCCGGGCAGGATCAGAGGCAGGGCCGTCGCAAGCTCCGGTCGTTCCCCGAAGCCCAAGCATCCGCAGCGAGGACGACTTCATCGGCGTCCACTCGGGAGACCTTCAAGATAGTGACGTCCCCCGAGAAGCGGATAGAACAAGGACACATCAGATACCGAGACGGGGATAAAATAGCGGTGGTCGCCAAAATCAAGCCAGAACAGGCCTTCAACTTCATGACTACTATCCGTGCTAGTGAGTTGGGTCTCTTGGACTTGGTCCAGCCTCTTGAGGATGATGACGAAGAAACCTGGATTATGCTTCCGAGGGGGAAGAGGATACGACCAGAGGGAACTATCCAGCTCCGATGGTATCCACGCCAGTCGAGATCAATCACCCTCCAATTATTCGTGCTCTCCGGTTGGTGGGAGAGGGAAATTGTCCTTGGGGCACAGTATGTTGCAAAAGAGGAGCACTATGCAAAGCGTAGGAGATATGGCAAGGAATAGCCACAGTGAAAGGGGTATGCAGGTGAAAACGTGAGAAGCTTGAAAGGCACAGAAGCCAGCAAATGTTGTAGCTCCTGCTATTTATGAAAACACAGCCGCAAATCTCAACCATCGCAGAGCTTTGTCTTGTTTTGGGGGCACAGTGTCTGCAACGCTGGCCGAACGTCGCGCAACGCGCTGTGCCTTCCAGTACCCTCAATGGGGAAGCCGGGGCGCCGAAGAACGGCTTAGGAGCTCCATCGTACAATGGCGTACCACCGATAGTCGACAGACTTCGCACTCATTGGGTCCTGTTTACTCTGGACGTATGGATGCTCCACGCAGTAAGCCTTTCCTCGACGCTACTTGGGCGGCTCGAAGGACCACCCAAGGCCAGGTATCAGACTCGCGATAGGGCTCTCAGACAGCCCTAGCCATTCGATGAGTCGTACCCATCATCTGTATCTTGGCGCAACGAAATGCCGAAGTTAGATAATGACGCGGAGTTGAGGCAAGCACAAGATTCACCTGGGCCTCTCTGGGTTGGCCGGCTGGTGATGGGCGCGATAGCAACGGAGTGTTCGCTCCGTACACTCATTCGAGTCTCCTGGTGATCCGACAAGGATCAATCCGTCTGTCCTGATACCCATCAAGCAGGCAGCGGCTGTGGATTGTTCCCGACGGTCTTATAGAGCTCCCTGAGCTCGAACTGCTCCTGGCCGCCCTCGGGGATCTCGCCGATGACCCTGGCCGGCTGGCCGGCGACGATGCTGAAGCTCGGGATGACCATGTTGGGCGGGACCACGGAGCCGTCGAGGATGCGCACGTAGTCCTTTATAATGGCGAACTCGCCGACGACCGCGTTGTTCCCTATGTATATGTGGGAGCCGACGCTGGCCGCCTGGACGACGGTGTTCTGCCCGACGAAGACGTGGTCGCCCATGCGGAGGGGCATGTAGGTGAAGATACTGCGGTGCGAGGCTCGCTGGTCAGTCTCGGTCCACACAGCTGTGGTGAGAGGCAGGGACGAGGCATACCCCTTGTACATCCGTCCTGGGGGCCGCAGACAGCTACCTCTGCTGAGGAAGCAGTACCTGCCGATTGCGACGGCCGTGTTGTTTGCCGGGGCACCTCCGCTGGAGCTGCTGGCGGTTCGTGCGAGGTCGCCGCGGATCATGACCTCCTGCTGGATCACGGTCTTGCCGCCGAGCATGATGTTCTGGGTGCCGACCAAAGTAGCTTTACGGGCTACCTTGTTGCCGGTGTCCTAGATGCGAGCGCAGGATTAGGATAAACATCCCTGGAGACACGAGAAGTGGGAGTCAAGGGAGACGAACTGTCTCGATGTATTCTCCTCTTGGGGCGCGCCTCGACATTTTGGGCAGTTGGGTGTTTGAAGAGCCAGCTTGGTCGTACTCTGTGATGGGCTGTTCAGCGGGCTCGCCAGTGGTCCTGGAGGACTACCAGGCCGACACGGTCCCGGCGCAGCAAAAGACGAGGACGCGACCCATTTCGCGTCTGCAAAGTGACGGACACGGTCTACACCTAACCCTGAGTACGGTGCTGGAAGAAGGAACAATGACCCCCCCCTCCCGCCTCCCACACGAAACTTTTGAGCAACAATACTGCCCAGGTGGTTTTCAACAGCTGGACGAATATCATCTCCCAAATATTATTTCCATTAAAAGTGTATTAATGCGGGAATCTGCAACTCGAATCAAAATAAAGCTATAATGCATATGAGAATGTGCCCACTAATCATTTGACAGCGAGCTGATTGAGCTCTCCTTTGCTCAGCGCCTTTCCTCCAGCGCCAATCCTCAGCAACGTCTCCGTGGCCAGCTTCTCCTTCGCCCCGTAGCCAAACAACCTCCACTGCGCCCCGCTGGCGATCCCAAACCACACGGCGTTGAGCACCTTGAGGGCCCGCCACGGGTGCCCGCTCGTCAGGACGCTGCCCAGGCACTTGCCAAACGACGGCACCGCCCCCAACGGCTCGAGCAGCTCATCGTTGTATGGGACCGCGTACACAATCAGGGCGTGGCGCTCCGTGCCGAGGAAGTGCTTCTCCTGCCAGGCCTGGAACTTCTGCACCTCCTCACTCATCTTGGCCTTGGGCGGCAGCTCGATCCGCCCCGAGAGCACCGCGCACGCCCACCGCGCCTGTGCCTCGAACGTCGGCGCGGCGGGCCCGACGGTCTCTGCGTGGCCCATCATGAAGAGGTTGTCGTAGCGGGGCGGGACGATGAGCTTGTACAGGTCGACGCGGTTGGCGGGCGTGTCTGGGCCCCGGACCACGTCTTTCGGCAGGAAGGGGTGGTCGAACTGGTCGTATCCGGTGCAGGCGATGATGACGTCCGCCTTGAGCTCCTCGGTGGTAGTTTCTTCGCCTTGCACGGTGATGACAAGGCCGTCTTTGGTTAGGTGTTCCACGCTGCCTCTGTGGATATTGATAACCTGTGTCCGGACTTTCTCGATAAAGTCGCCGCGGACAGTGGGGCTTTGCTCGAGGATCTTGTGCGATGGTCGCAGGACCTGCGGCGGCTTCCCATCAACAATCTCTAAAAGCTTCGTCTGCAGCCATTGAGCTGGCCCGATCGGCAGCCAGACCTGCGTTGCGCGATCTGCACGATGGTGAGCTTTGATTTTAGGCTTGGAACCTCTTGGTGTCCACTCACTGTCAAATGCCTCAACCGGTTTGCCCAGCACGTAGCGCGGAAGAACGAACCCTCCTCGGCGAGTGATGACATGCACCTCCTCTGCACCAGGGGCTATCTCGCAGGCAATATCAACCGCGGAACTGCCAAGCCCTATGATAACAACTTTCTTGCGATCAAAAGGGCCTGGGCGGCGATAGAAGTGACTGTGCATGAACTGGCCCTGGAACGCATCCCGCCCCTTCAACTCCGGGACCGAAGGCGTGGACAGGTGACCGACGCAGACGAATACCGCGTCAAAGGTGAGCTCCTCCACGCCATCCTTTCCATCCTCCTGGACCCGAACAGTCCATGAGCCATCCTCTCTCGGCTCCGAAGAGAGCACGCGCGTGCTCAGCCGTATGTGCTTCTTCAAGCCGAAATGCTCCGCATACTCGTTCATGTACTGCAGCTGCTGTTTGTGCCCAAAGTAGTCTCCGTACCTCGCCGGGTCAAGTGGGAAGTCCGTCAGGGCCGAAGTATCGCGGCATGAGTTGAGCACGACGCCGTCGTAGATGGATGACTGTACGCTCCCGGCAGGGTCGGACGGCGACGCGTCAGGCTGGTGAGCCCACTGCCCGCCGATCTCCGGGCGGGCCTCGAAGCATTGCACCTCAAACCCCTCCGAGAGGCATTCCTTGAGGGTGGCAATGCCAGAAAGGCCTGAACGCGTCGGGTGTCAGAGGTGAATCAGACAGCAGCCGTGCAAACAAACATACCGGAGCCTATCACGCAAACGCTGGGCATGTCTGCGGTTGGGGTGTGGGGCGGACAGCGGTTCGGACGCGACCTTGGCGGGCTGAGACAAGACCGCTTTGCATGCAAGGCTTCAGCTGTGGAGGTACAGAGTAAGACGAGGCCAATAACTCGGAGCAGCTTTCATCGTGAGGCCACAAGTGCTGATTGGCGTTGTGGCGCCCCGGCCAGCAGAAATAAGTAGTAAAAGAGCTGAGCTCGAACTTGATTTCGACTGCGCCGCAGCCAACAGCAGCCAACAGTATCTCACGTCAGCAAAATCATACGAGCCAACAGGTCCGTCAAGAAGGCTTACAGCCTTTCCTGATCATGCTCTCGGGCCCCGAAGCATATGCCAAGCTAAAAGGCACAATATTGGCTGTTTGCTGCTTTCACCATCCATCTGGTCCCGGATGCTCTCACCACCGCACATCATCTCATCTCACAAAACGTTTAGATGTGACACCACTCAAAGAACCTGATAATATTACGCAGGCACACTAGAAAATGGATTGGACCAAGCGGGAGCTACCCACACACGCACATGTATCCGCACACATCTAACATGCAAGCTGGCAGATGCTATATGTGATTGTGATTTGGAGAAGAATGTACGGATGGAGGTGCATAGGCTTGTGGCGTGCTGGCTTTGGTACTGCAGCTCGGCGGATTGTGCATGCATACGGTGAACATCGCTGCATGAGCGAGAATACGACAGGAAGAATCCTCCTGAATGTTTAAAGGCGTTGGAGTGGCAACAAGAAGGCAGACAGCCTTGCGCAGGGAAGCTCATCACGGCTCCGGCCTTCTGTCGTGGACGTCACCGGTCTCCCCACTGACACACGGCCCCCATGTTCATATCCAGAATAAAGATACCGATATAAACACCTCAACTATCATCTCAACATCACAACATACTCGTCTGCACTCTCCTCTCGCTCTGCTAAACAAAGTCAACCAACATGCCTTTCCCACACAGGACAGTCCTCATCACCGGCGCCACCGCCGGCATAGGCCGGGCGCTAGCCGAGCGGATGGTAGAGAACGGCGTCTTCGTCATCGCAGTCGGCCGGCGCAGGGAGCGCCTCCAGGAGCTCGAGGCCAAGTACGGCCGCGACAAGGTGGTGGCCGAGGAGTTCGACATGACCAAGACAGCCGAGATCCAGGCCTGGGCTCAACGGTAAGGCTCCGTCGGCCGCGCCTGCGTCCCTCACGGGGAACGTCAGTAGAGAGGGGGAGCCTCGTCATCTAACAAATCATCACCAGCATCACCAAGCAATACCCAACCCTGTCCTCCATAATCCTCAACGCAGGCATCCAGCGCACCTTGGACTTCACCAACCCCTCGTACGACGAGCTCTCCTCCAAGATCACCAGCGAGGTCGACACCAACACCTCCCCGCTGCTGACCATAACCGCCTTCCTCCCGCACCTCATCTCGCTCGGGGCGTCCTCCTCCGCCGCCGCCGCCTCCGTGATCCTCGTCACCAGCGGCCTCGCCCTCGTGCCCATCGCCCGCTGCGCCAACTACTGCTCCACAAAGTCCGCCCTGCACCACTTCGGCCTGTCGCTCCGGTCGCAGATGCAGTCCAGCCCGGCCACCCGGCACGTCCGCGTCATTGTGAGTCTATTTCATTCCATGTTCCTATCTTTCACTCTTGTCTCTGTATATATGTGTGTGTTTCTTCTTTCTGCCGGTGGATGGGTTTGCTGACGCTGGCATCCTTGCCACTCAGGACATCCTCCCTCCCGCCGTGCAGACCGAGCTGCACGAACTCCAGCCCGAGCTGGTGGCGGTAGGACAGGGCCAGATAGGAATGCCCCTGAAGGCCTTCATCGATGAGACTTGGGCTGCCCTGGACCGGTGGGACGAGAACGAGAATGAAATCATGGTGCAAGAGGTCAAGCAGAGGTGGGGGCACATCGACAATGAGAAGAAGGCGGCCTTCAAGCAGCTGGACGCCATGATGAGGGGCACGGCCGGTCCCAAGGCTTGACGCTCCGGTCACTACCTACGTTGTGTTTCTCATCACGACGTCGCGAGTAGCTGGAGACTGGCTCAAGAGCTTGGCTTGTGAATTCTGTATTTCTACCTAGATACAACATCGCACATGATGTGGTGCGGGCAAAGTGAGTGACAGGTCAGGCCTGACACCTCACCACTCCGCGACTTGAGCGCGCCCCTCAATCATCCATCACTATTCCAGTCTGGATGTTACACCGACCCGAGCCTGAATACTCGCGGGGGGCCCAGCTTGTTTGCTGCTCCTTGCACTCAGTCTTGATAGTCTCTACCTCCGTCCCCTATGTTGTGTGCATCACTCAACGTGTGTGTTTCTTCCTCCACCGTAGCCACGTGCGTAAATGATTGAATAGAATGGGATCAAAAGGAGACCACTTCCACCATTCTGGAAGTGGCCCACTGTCTCGCTGAGGTTGACAACAGCAGAGCATGAAGATGCAGCCCCCACGCCAACCTCACGAAGAGGTGGAGGCCACAGGGCCAATCTCGGGGTGCCCAGTGTGAAAAGATCCTGAGCCAGAAAACAAAACAAGGAAAGAAGGAAAACTCGTAGCTGCCATCCATATCCGTCCACCTTTTCATTTTCATGATAAGTCCGCATCCAGGCAAATCAGTGGAGGATCGACCTCTCGAGACTGCTGGAGCAGATTTTGCTTCGAGTGGAGGGCAAAGTGGTGCCATAATCGTCATTACGTAAGTGAGAGAGGGAGTGTGTCGAAGTAAAAGGCTGTAGTCATCTCCGGTCGGATTGCGGATCATGAGAGTATGACACCGTTCTTGCGCTTCTCTGCGCATGTCAAGACCATCATGGCCGACTTCCTCTGGCTGGGGCTGTCGGATCTCCCGTTCCTTCCCGTCCGCTTGAAAACACTGGCAAAGCTACCATTGCTAGCAGTCTCGTCGCCAGATCCGCTGCTGATGCTGTCAGCGCTCTTTCGAGCCTTCTGGCGTGAGCTGGGCCGGTCTGATCCTATCGCGCCCCAGCTGCCAGTACTGGTCCGGGAGCTGGGCACGCTAGGCTCCACCTCCTCGCCGTTCAGGCTGCCAGATCCGGACCGACCAGACTCCGACTCGTTGTCCGTCAGGAGGCCCTGAGCCTCCTCGGCCGTCTCCGAGATGGGACTGATGGATCCGCTGCTGCCAGTGCTGCTAACCTTGCGACGCTCAAGACCAGCCCGCATAAGGTTGTTAAGAGCTGATCGGGTGCGCGCTGCGAAGTTCTTGGAAGCCTCATGCTTGGCCGAAGGCTTGGCCTTGAGCTCCTCGATCGAAGGAGGACCGCGTGGCTGGCGAATCGGGTGTTCACCAGCTCGTGCCTGACCAGGCCCATAGCCTCCGGTCAGGGGCGTGAGGGGGGAAGTTGGCAGTCTTAGGACCAGCGGACTTGGGAGGTTCCTGGGAAGCAGCGAGGCTAGCATTGGCATTCTGAATTCCAGAGAGCATCAGAGACGACGACTTCTTATGACCCCGTCGGAAAGCATTGGCTGATGGTGGGGGGAGAGGAGCCGGGTTCTCGATGAGAGGAGACTCGTTGCGCCGGGGAGGGGTGTTCCTGCGGAAAACCGGCTGCGCGGCCTCCCTTGGAGGTGAGACCTGCACACGTGGGGTCGCGCTGTTCTGCTGACGTTGCTGTTGTTGGTAGAGGTTCAACTGAGACGGGTCCACGAACTGAGCGTTCAGCTGCGCAGACTGGTCAACGTAGTAAGCCTGCTGGCCGGTAGCCGGGTCGATGTAGGTGTAGATTGTCGGCTGCTGGCTAACCATGGTGTTGTTGAGCATGCTCTGCATCTGAAGGGCTTGCTGCTGCAGTTGTTGCTGCTGGTACAGATTCTGGTAACTCTGCTGTCCGTTGAGGTTCATGGCGCTGAGCTGCTGCTGGGCCTGGGTCAGGTCGTACAGCTGCTGTTGCAACATCTGGCGCTGCTGAGCCAGCTGCAAGTTCTGCTGGACCAGCTTGGCATACAGGTCAGGATCCAGTTGCTCATCCACGGCTTGCTCGTGGATGGGAATCTCCGGAGGAGCCAGGATCTGTTCAGGAGTGAACTGCTGTCGCCCGTAGTTGTTGTTAAAGCCTTGCTGGTTACCGAAATGTGGCAGGGATGTCTTCGGCCCGTTGTTCAGCATATTCTCCTGGACGCCATACAGGGAAGTGTTGTTCCTAGCTTTGTTCGTCGGGGATGTGTTGGCGCCAGAGGCAGCGAAAGTGGACGCCGCGGCAGACTTGGGAGCGGTTCGCAGACCAGCAAGCAGATGGCCGCGAGCCGTTCGGGGCGTGGGGATGGCATTTTCCTTCGAGTCAACAGGGGACTTGAGAGCATCGACCGAGAGGGGCTTGATGGACTGCCCGCCGCGCCTAGAAGCGAGGCCCGAGGACTGCATGGCAAAGCCGTTGGGAGTGGGGAAAGTTTGTTGAGCCATTTGAGCAAAGACCTCCAGTGTCTTGTACTCGAATGATGTTTGTGGTGACTTTTTTTGAGTCGGTTCGAGGGAATGGCCGAGAACGCGATCGGAGCGTGTTCCAGTAGAGCCGGCGAGAAGTGAGTTATTAATCGACAATCGAGAGCGACCGTTGTCTTCCGAGCTGAGGAGGTAAGTTGCGAAGAAATACAATCAAACAGCTGACTGATGAATGGTATTGTGCCAAAGTCGGGCTTGCGGTCGTGGTGTGTCGATTGATCCAATCTGTGCTGAGGTGAAAGGAAGCACCGAACTCTTTTTGAAAACCTGTCTATTGGTTGTGGACTGTCGCGAAATGATGCAAATTGTCGAAGTTGCCGAACCCAAAAAGACCAGATCCAAGACGGACTGCTAATATTGAGAAGTGAAGAAATGCTGAGGCGTCTGTCGCCGATCGGTTGTTGCCGACAGGCGATGTTGTGAGTATTAAAGGCCGCGTGTTGTTGTTTTTCCTTTGGGAGTCTATCGGGTGGCTTGGTCGAGAGCAAGAACGACGTAAAGGACAGGCCGATGATATTAAAGTGAGGTAGTTGGGGTCTTGCTGAAAAGAATGGCAAATGACGCAGTCGCGATGCTAAAATCCTCCTAGGTGGAAGAGAGTCAAGGAAAAAGGGTGGTGGTTGCGATGCGAGGTGCGCGAGAGAAAAAAAAAACCAGGCAGGAAGGCTTTGCTGGCAGACACGAGACGGGCGGGTCTTTTTGTGGTTTCTGCTTGGCTGGCAAGGCGGTGGTGCACAAGCGGCAGGCGCGCAAGGTTTGCAGCGCAGGTGGGTGTGGGTGAGCAGAAAAAAAGACCGGGAGGACCTTGCAAGTCAGGCGAGCAAGCAGGCAGGGCAGGCCTGGAGGCTAGTTCAATGCTGTGAACGGAAAGGCCGAGAGGTCTTTGTCGAAAGGACCCGAACCGCGTTTCTCACTCTCTCTTTCTTGGTCACCACAGGCGAGGCTAGGTGAGGGAAGAGGAGTACGAGGGTGAGACGAAATGAAGAACGGCGAGAGAGAAAAAAAAAAAAGATAAAAGCCGACTGAAGGAATTTTCGGCGTGGTCAATCGGAGGTGCTTTGTGCCAGCGGGAATGGCTACAGGCTCCAGCCCAAGCGGGTCCGTCGGCTGTTGGCGACTGCTCGATTTGGACAAGGACAATACGATTCGATGCCCGAGTACCCCGTACGGTGGTACCACTGTAAAGTCAAATCCACTGTGCTGGACCGATGCGAGTGGTGAGCGGGCCTCTCAGTCTTTCGCTCTGGTTTCGCAGGGACGGTCTGAGAGTGTCGTCCGGAGACACTGATGGGGGTCTGGAGTGACTGGTGACTCCGGGAATCGATTATGATCGAGACGGATCGGACGGATGATAGCTGGAAGGCGCAGGAACAATGTGGCAGGCAGCAGGCAGGGGGAGCCGGAGAAATGAAGACGGTGCCGAGCGTAGAATATACAGTGATTAGAACAGTTGATATAGAGTCAGAGTCTGAGTTTGCGAGAGGACGGGACTTCTTCAAGATGACCCGGGCGCGCGCAGTCGAACGTTTTGGTCGTTGCCGGAGGACTGAAGTTGTGCTGGAATGATGAGATGGGATGAAATGACGATGTTTTTCGGTGGTTGACTTTGGGGGTATGTTGGGGGTATCTTGATTGTTTTCCAGGCGAGGGTTCTCAAAGCAAAAGTGAATTCAATTGTACAGGGGGAGGAAATGAATGATGTGTCGAGATTGTCTTGACGAACAACGAGAATCGCGAGAGGAGGAGGAGTAGCAGTAGCAGCAACGGCGACGCGACAAGACAAGGTCGAAAGAAGAAGGGGTGAGAGAGAAAGGGTGGTGGTAGGCAAGAAGGCGAGGTGGCAGGGGAGGTAGGGACGATGGAGGAACGAGAGGAAAAGTTTAAAAACCCGACACACAGACACACACTCTCTGTTCCTCTTGCGCTCACTACCGTACCTAGGTAGGTACCTAGGTTGGTACAGACACACGCGCGGGAAAGACGTGAGATGCAGAGTGCCAGAGTGCTTGCAGGGCTGGGCCGGGCAGGGACAGGGGGCCCAGCCGAGTGGGTAGGTGGGCTTCTTGCAGTTGCGCAGAGACAGTCGGCCGCAAGACGGGCTGACGGGCTGACGGGGTGCTGTGACTGGCGGAGCGACTGGGGGTCCAGAACGTGGAGCCTGTGTGTGGTGGGTGCTAGCTTTCTGGCTCTCAGGCTCTGTGGCCCTGTATGCCAGCTCCTGGGGGGAGGGATGAGCAGCCTGATCGACAGTGGATTGGACTTGACCCAGTAAACCCGGCACCAACCCACCGCCAACCAACCAACCTTCCAAAGTTGGAATCAGGAGCTGCTATCCTGATACCTTCCCCACACTTTCCGCCGTGCAGGCCTGCATCCCATGTGCGGGTAGTATGTACCTGACCGCCTGCATTGTGTTCCCGGAAGGTCAAGGTTGCTTGTACCTCGAGAACTGGGGTGTCGAGAACAGCAAGAGCCGACACGACGCAACCGCGCAACCCAACCACCCAGCCACGACACGACACAAGCATTGGGAATCAGAAGCAAGCGCAGCAGCAGCAGCAGCAGCAGCGACGGCAACGCCAACAGCAATAGCAACAATTGGAGGCCCGACTCGGCGGTGGGATAGCACTGAGTCGCCTGCCAAGACCTAGCAGCAGCCGCAAATGCCACTCAATGGGAGAGAAGGCCGGCCCGTCGCCATCGCCCTCGCTGGCGAGCCCATGTGTGCATGCATGCAACCTCTAGCTTGCATTGGCCGCGTCCCAAGTGCGCCTCATGAGCGGGTAGCGGGAGGCATTGATTGATCGAATAGTCGAGTCGGGTCCCCCAATCTGCACGCAATAGCGCCAAATCCTGATGATTTGGCCAGCCCTAATGCAGGATGCATGCGAGATGCTCTCGACCAACTCAGCCCCGTGGCCAATCGCTTCGTCTCACCAACATCAGAGAAACCCATAGCACGCACTACAGTACAACCGCTGCTACTCTGCACTGCACTCTGCATCCCGCAGCCCTCTCGCTCACTACTCAAACTCGCTCACGCTCGTGACCAGCTCTCATTTCATTGATCCGCCCAGGCTCTCGGGTCGACCAGGCTACCCGCGCTGCCCTGTCCTGCCCTGGGCCCCGAGTCCCTGGCCATGACACCGCTTTGACAGCACAGCATCGTACCCGACACGTTGACATGTCCCGCGCAGTGTTGGATTATTACAAAAGCGTAACCTTATATAAACGCGTTCTTTTTTTGGGCGACTCGGGGCGAGGGACACCCCGGTGCTGGCAGACCCGTCTGCCCCGGGGGGGAGGGTCCAGCACACCCTCCCGCCCTCAATGCGGCTTGGATCGCCGTGACACCAGATGCTCATTTCAATGCTGCTAGCCCAATCAGGAGACCCAATCAATTACAGACGCAAGGGGGGGGGGCCACCGCCAGAGGATGTAGTGGGATGTGATCAGTGTTCTGAACAGTGACTATTGAGTGAGTAATAATGTATGGGCCAAGTCGGGGTGGGGGTTGGGAGGCATGAAAAGGGAGGCATGAAAAGGGAGGCATGAGCACGTATAGTCAACATCACTGCGACTACTTTACACGCGGCCAGGAGAGCAACACGATCAACCAAACTCCATGCCCCTCGATCCCTCTCAATCCCACCGCCCTCGCCATCCAGCACCCAGCATCCACATCCCGTAGGCCTCCTCCCCTCGCTCCCTGCCCTGGCTCCCGGACTCCCTGCCTACCTGATACTGGACTCCTCGTCGTAGGCCTCGTCACTCGTCACTCGTCACCCAAAACAGACCCCATTGCCTCCCGATGCCTCCGCCGCGCTAGAACACCACCCGCCCAAGGAGATTGAAAGGGCGCGGTTCAGCTCCACGCCTACCCCACTCGGGCACGTGGCGTGCGAGACAAAGGGCCCAGGTCCCTATGTAGTCCTGACTCTTTCTCACTCGACTGCCCGTTATATTGCCCCGTTGCGAGCCAATCCTTCCGTCAGCGCAAGTGGAAGAAGGAACCAAAAAAAACATCCGAAATGAGTGCGATCTGTCGGTTCGATATCGCTTACAGATTGCATCGACCAGAAACTAAGGTTGCCGACATGATTTCCCGATTTCCTGGGATGGGCAGGAGTCCGTGTCATGTCAATGCAGCATGTGGTGGTGGGCATAATCTTCCGATCGTCCTCTCAGCCACCACCACCGTCATGTCATTTGATTAGTATATATGCTCTGTCAAACCATGCTGGGCTGCTCTTTTTGATGAGCAGGCTGGGATTGTGTAAAATGACAGACAGCGCCAGAGACAGGCGAGACAGGACAAGACAGGCTCGAGGCCCTTTGATGTTGCACACGGCTCCAGCCCACGGTGCCTCGGGCCAGTCCCGGGTAACACTTGCGCGTTCACAACGGCAGAGCGACCCGGACGCAGCAGACTGGCTCTCGTATGTGAACAGCCATGCCTGGCTTCGGTACTATGTCGTGTCGTATTGGGTCGCATTGCATTGCGCCGCGCCCACAATTGTCCTCCCCCACGGGCAGCTGCCAACTGCACCACACCGCACCGCACCGCATTCGCATCGCACAGGCACAGGCACAACATTACTGTACCTGCGCTTTCGCCGCGCCGCGCTGCGTCAGTGCGACCAGAGGCCATCTGTGCTCACACCCTGACCTGAACCCCCTGCGTCTCCCCGGGTTTCAAGGGTTCGCAAGCGGGGGGGGCGCTGCTGCGGAACCCCCCCCCCCCTCGCTCCCCTTTGGTAGGACGGTACCTCGTCGCTGTGCATCTGAAACATGCCACGAATAGGTTGCTGTTCATCTGTGCGAACCGCGCTTGCAGGGCTGCATGAGAATCGCTTGTTTCGAGTGCTTGCCCTTGCCTCCCTCGCTCCCCCCCTGTCCCCGCACACGGCCCAGCCCAGCCCAGCCCAGCTCAGGGGACAAGACAGACAGACGGTTGCGCCGCCGGTCCGCTCGTTGAAAGGCCTACGAGGCAACGGCTGACGAGCCGCGACTCACTTTAGAGTTTCCGGTGGGCCCCAAGGTTGAACTGCGGGCTTTCGCGGGCAATTAACTCTTTCACTTGCCGTCTTGCTGGCTGAATCTTGAGGCACGCCGTGTGTAATTTGCGCGGGCAGCTGGCCTTGGCCTCGGCCCTCCCAAAACAGGGCGAACAACAATATGAGACGGGAAAGCATGTGCAACTGCGACTGCTGCTGCTGCCTGTGGGCTCCGGCCTGCTCGCCCGAGTCCGAGACTTGTTGACGTCGACGGCCGCCAGCTTTGCGCAGGTTTGATAGGCAAGTTCCGTCTGAGCAGGCTCGCTCATCACTCAAGATGAAGATTGACATCGGGAGAAATTCGATGCGAGGGGCCCGACGTCATTAGAGCTCAGACGGCCCTCGTACTCGTCGTTTTGTCATCACACTCGGGATCCGTCAAAACATCCACCTCCACATTTCGAGGGCCAGAGCTTGCGGGCTCTCAATCTCCCAGCGCCCGGCAGCCCGGCAGCAGCGCTTTCTGGATGTCGCGTGCGCAACTCCATGTTCGCCAATCCCGGGGATCGGCGCTGGCATCTTGGGAAGCCTCTCCCGCAGTTCGGCTCACACCTGACAGGTCTGTTCCGATTCGCCTGCCAGGTCACGTCTCAGCAAGGGGGGAAGTTATTCACAACATATTATGATTGCCCGTTTCTGTTTCAGAGAACGCCAAAGAGAAGCCCCATGTGCAGCGCCGCAAACACGGGTGCATATCCTGTCCATCTGCCGAACACTCAGCTGCTCTCGTAATCCCCTGTGCTCTTTCTAAACTCGCCACCCGACGCATCCCTATAGCAATACGTGTCGACAACCTTGTGCACGGTGGGCACGTAGCCCGGCTTCAGGAACGCCTGCCCGTGGTCCAGGCCGTCGAGGTACAGCAGCTCCACCTCCCACTGGCCCGTCCAGATCCCCGGCGTCGCCCTCCACGCCTCGACCCGCTGCTCCGTGAAGTCGTGGATCTCCACGTCCCCGTAGTAGACGTAGCTCGCCACGGCCATGGGGTGCGTCACGCAGTCACGCCCGCCTAGGACGACCGTCGCCCGCCGGCCGCGGAGCTGCTCGCGCCACAGGATGGCGTCGCGGAAGTCGAACCTGCGCGCCAGCGTGTGCGCCACCATCGGGTCCGTCGCCGCGCCGTAGTAGATCTCCCACTCCGGTCCCGTGCGCGGCCGCCGCCGCGTGAAGTTCCAGGCCACGTCCGGCAGGTGCAGGAGGAGTGCGACGGGGTCGACCAGCACCACGGAGGATATCTTAGCCGCGAGTCCCTCCCGCCTCAGCATCGGTGAGAGGAGCAGCGTCCCGTACGAGTTGCCCACGAACACGAAGCTGTCGTACTCGAGGCCGTGCTGCGCCAGGATCTTGCTGATGGAGTCCATGAGCTCGCCTGAGGACGGCATTGGCGGGCAGATCTTGTTTGATACTGGGAGGAGCTCGATGGCGATCATGCCGACGTCTTTTGGGACTGAGTTGAGCCACACGAGGTAGGGTGCCACTTGCGCCATGTCAGTACCGCAGTCTACTTCCAGCATGTGCTCAAACGTAGTTGCCTCTCTCTCTCTTATGCTATTCTTTTTGTGGCCCCAGATGACCAGTCTCACTCGGGCCACTTACTGCCGATACCAATGCCGTGGATAAACACAATAGGCCGCTGTGTTTTTGACGTGTGAGGGCGGTAGAAGTAGGACATATCCGGCGCTGCGGATTGCTGTGAAGAGAACAGGGTCATAGGTCGGAAAGGGAAGACGCTGAAGAAGGTCTTTCGCGGTTGGCGGTAGAATTTGAAGCCTTTAGATAGAAGGAAGACTGTCGTCAAAGAGTCGGCGAAGCCAGTGAGCTATGGCAAAGTCAGCTAAGAGTGTCTCCTTGAGGGCCTGGAGAGCACGTCGTCTTCGACTCACAGAGTAAAATAACAGGCTGCGATGCGTCATCCTGACCGGATCAAAGCTCAGCCTCAGCGCCTTCGCATCACCCCGTCCCTTCTTGAACGTCACCGCCATCCGCTCTTCCAGCTCCTGAATATACTCGTCCAGCTCGGCCGTGTCGTCCCCGAAACTGCCATCCCGGCCGAAAAGACTCCAGAGCAGCCACTCTTTCAGGTTGTCCCTCCGTATGTCCTCCATGTGCGCCTTGTCGAACCACCCGCGTACGTAGGCGTCAAGGTCCGGTACAGTACTCATGCCCTTCGTGAATAATTCCTTCCTCTCCTCTCTCGTCATCCGCGAGGGCGCGGGGCCGGGCTTCTGGAGCCGGTGCTTGAACGGGAGGAACCAGAAGAGGTACCACAGGATCTCGATGGCCCCATACACCTCAATGAAGATCGAGAACGGGTGCGCGATGGCCGGGACGCCGCCTGCCAGGGCGGCCAGTACGAAGTAGGCGAAGCATATCAGGCCGGGGTAGATCAGCAAGACGGCGGTGACCCTCACGAAGATGAGCTCGGGCTTGGACAGCCCGACAAGCATTTTGGCGGTGGGATATTCCTATTCCCTTGCATTTGTAGTAGTGTCATGGTGGTGAGGAACTGGCGGAGGACCCCGGAAAAGGGTCTGGGCTGGTGTTATACCAACCATAGTGTCATTTTCGTGATCGGATTCCACGATCGAATCTCGTCTCAACAAAATTCCTCGATATGTCAAATCTTTCGGCAGACCAGACTGTCACACTGGAGCCGCTCGGTTCAGGTCTGTTTGGTCCCATGTCTGCGATCCGCCATCCGTTCGACAACACCCCCACACGGCGTCCGAAGATCCCACCCTTCGGCGGCATGTGCTTCCACCGGATCCATCAGCGTGCCGGGGGCGAGAAAAATCTCTCAAGAAGTTTCCTGTTCCAGCGTAGACCGGGGCCCCAAGCACTGACGGGCGGGAGCAGCCACGTCGGCAGGACCGGGGCTGTGCAGGAGGGGGGAGGGGATCTTGCAAACATTGGATGCGATGAAACGAATTCTCGTATGAGAAGGAACCGAGGCACGATGACGAGGCATAATCTCGACTGAGGGTTGACTAGTCTATTTGAACAGAGATGACGGGTTCAGGAGCTCGAGTGGCGATTGGTTAGAGTTTCGCGCAATGAGACATCGGCGGGCAGTGCTCCAACGCCTTCACATACTCGCTCTCCATGCATGAAGAGGTCGAAGAATCTTCGATGGAATTTTTGGAAGTTTTCCGTAAGCATATATCGTTCACTTGTGATGTTTTCGTCTGTCCCTCGTGGTATAGCCCCAAGCCCGGCTCGTCCTGTTCGTAAACTCGTGTGCTCGAGTGAAGACGAGAAATAATCAGAAGCTTTCGCGGCGGGCGATAGGCTGCTCCGGCACGGAACTGAAGCACATCCGTAGCTTCACAACCTTCGTTGCGCCGTCGATCACGCCGTGAAACGTTTACGGGCGATGGAAGGTTTATTATCTTGGCCGTGGATAATAATTGGGTGGTGAATTGGTCTTCAGGGCTCGCATTACACGGCACGACCGGCTAGTAGCGTCTCCAGTGGAAGCCGCCAGTCCGACGAGCCTCTTGAACGCATGATCAGATGTTTTGAGGATTTCTAGCTAATTAAATGGAATCTTGCATGCACAGTATTCGTTATGCTCGGTCGATCCGCAGACGTCCTCGGTCAAAATCATCGCTCCATACCACATGGGTATGCAGTATAGGTTATCCGATTTTCAGAGACAGACAGAAATATCAGACGAAATGTAGCCCTACTGATATAAGGGTGTATTTTACAATTTTTCCAGACATGCCAGGTTTCTGTGCTGTGTTACGCACACTTGCGGTACAATGTAATCGCGAATGTTGATTACTAGTTGTTTTCGAGTCTGCATGTGGATGAACGCTTTGTCAAGGCATATTATTCAAATATGGGGCTGAATCTACGTGAATGAATAATCGATGTGTATGCCAAGAGTTATACAGACGAAATCTCATCTACCGAAATTCCCATAGGTGTAGCGTGGGTCAAGCGGCGTGCCACTAGAATGAGGGTGCTGTGTTTTCAGCTGTCTTATCTGGTGGGCAACATCCTCTAACTGGAAGCACCTACTGAGCATCCTGAACGGGGCTCACATTTCTCTCCGTACTCAAAACCGTGGCTAACGCTGAGATAGCAGTGATGGAGTGTCGTGGGTTTCGTCACAAATTTTATTGGCAGGGTGCCTGTAGCCTAAGAACTCTGCAAATCCTGATCTGTGTATATTCTATTATCTCGAATTTTGAGCCCACTTACTCTCAAGATGATCTCTACAAACATTATCTGCATTGATAATCAGGTCTTTCCGTAGAGGTTCAGTTCCGTGGCATGCCTACCTGTGGCTGTTGCTGGCCACCCAGACGTTGGTCACATGCCAAAGCTTTTGACCAGGACTAAAGATTGAAGCATACTCTATGTCCAAGTAAGTTGAAATAATGACCCTTAGTCTCGATTCCACAACTGACTGGGCATTGCTCTACTGTAGTCCGCATACAAGGCTCTGTTTGGTAGTCGCTCTTAACGCCTTACTAATTGAGACGGACCCAACTGTCGTTGAGATACATCACTAGCCTGACGAACAATTTCAAAGCCTTCACCCTATATAAAAAAAATCTTCAGTCCTTTTCCTAAGTCCAGTGGTCTAATGGCAAGACTCAGATACCTTGGGTGGTTGGTGGCAGCACAAAGGAGATTGGGGTTCGAGTCCCTGCTGGGCAATACTGTTTATTTTCTACATTCCTCGAGACAAAGACTTCAATTTGAAGAAGACCACTCTTGTCTCTTCAATTATAAAATCGCACAGGAGCGTCCAGTCTCTGACGGCCATTCAGGAGCGGCACCGACACAACATCATAGTCTTTACAGAAACAAGAGTCTTGGGAGCAGAGGAGCGTTCCATTGCAGGTGGAGCTCTTTGAATCGGAGATTCGAATTGAAGTACATGTCCGTAAAACGACCAGAGATGAGGCACGGTTATGATAATGGCACGAGGTGGGTATGAGAACTAGACCCTAGGTTCAACTTTGCCTCCTGTCACCTTCGTTTCCAACCATCGAATGTTTCATCCGCATCCGTCCGACCAAGAGAGTTCTTTTATCACTCCGATGACTTATCCCGCTTCTTCGCTTTCTTCTCTGCCCTTTTCGACACCCTCCTCTCCCTCGGAGGCAAGGGAGGGGGCGCCGGTTCAAATTCCTGGTTGATCATCTCCCTCTTGCCTCTCCTCGCCGTCTCCTCCTCAATCTTCTGAGTCTCCTCCTCTCCAATCACTTTTGCGATGCTGGCGTTGACCCTGCCGCGGATGACCTCTCCAGCACCGTTTGCCCAGGCAAAGAATCCAACGACCTTCTGTACCAAGCTTCGATCGAGATCCGGGCCGGGTTCCCCCCTCTAGTGTTCGACCCGTGACGTCTGAGCCTTGTCGAACCTTCCATGCGTGAACTCCTCCTGTCCCTTCCTCACGATTGCCTCATCCTTGGCCTGCTTGGCCGTGTCCCCCGTGAAGCTGTCGGCGGCGGCGGCGAGATTTCCCCGGAGCACCTCTCCAGCACCCTTTGGGGTATGTCAGTTGAGTGATGACGGCACGAAGGCAGATGACCTGTTACTCACATGGATCTTAGCAAAGGGAGCCTTGGCCTTCTGGCCAATGCTTGGACCGGGAATCCTACCCGGCCCTTGATTGGAAGAGGTCTGCTGGGTGTTGTTGCCCAGGTCGGGCGGGACCTCTGACAAGGGTGTGACAGGCTCATGAGCTAGCAGTGATGGGCGATGCTCGTCGGCATTGTATGATTTCTGCCTAACTGCGTCGGCGGCGCCCTCGTAGCCGGGGGCGTAGTTGCTGTTACGATGTCCGCGCTCCGACGTCGAGACGCCAGCATCTGCGTCGCCCATGTGGGTTCGAGGTACACCGTGGACGATGTGGGAAGATGCATCTGACGGCTCGTTCCTCTGGGCAGCTGCCAACTCGCTTTGGGCAGCGTTCAGCTGGTTATGCGTGTCCTGAGCAGTGGGGATGCGGCCGTTCGGGTCGCCTATCTCAGTGGACCGCGCAACATTCATCCTTGCCTCCTCGGACTTGGAGTTGGGAATTGGCGAGGTGACGTTGTTACCTGGGTCGTGTGCAAAGTCGCGAGTGCCGGTGTTTTCACGCAGCGTCGGTCCTGGGCTCACCGTGTTGTTGGTTATATCGTCTGTTCGGCGAGGAGTGTGGTTAGATATAGGAGAGCTATGAGTTCCTACCCCAAGTATTTCATGGCGGTTTGCGAAGTTGGTGGCTTCCATTGTGATGTTTACACTGGCTTCACCTGATGGAGATTTGAAGGGATTCTGGCACAGTCAAGTGCAACAAAGACATACAAGGAAACCAAGGGCTGTTTAGTCTGGACGATTGTTGGTATGTTTCTGGTTTGTAGATTTTTTTATAGGGAGTTTATGGGAGCGAGGTCAACTTTCAAATGAGAGAGCGTGGGTCAGTTCCATAGGCCAGGACGCCCATGAAGGACGTTCGATATATATATGTACTCAACCCCATGGCAACAACCGCCCTTGAAATCCGGAGAAGATGTTCCGCTCGTGGTAAAGATGAACGCGGAGCTCAGCTCCTTCTCTCGTGCGTAACGTCAGAATCGGGCTGGGCCCCAGGGTTCGTGCAGCACGCGGAGCTTTGTCGCCAGCATGACCACTGGTTGACGTCACCCCAAGGAAGGTGCCACTGCATAGCATGATATGGTGACTCCCAGGCGGCGGCCATACAGATGATACTGCGGTCAATGGTATCGATTTACATTGTTTGTTGGGTATGTAGATACCCACCGGGAACGACTCATCGTATCGGATGCTCAAGCTTTGACACTTGACCAACAGGACTACCCACCGCAGCAGCGGGGTTGCCTTTGCTATGGGCTGGTGCCCAGCAGGACTGCAGGGGTCGGACATGTCATGTCCATGAATGTCTCTGTCTCTGACTTCCGTCTGCATTCTGGCGACGCTGGCACGATGATCGACTAGGGGCATGTCAACCAAAAGAGAGACGTCAGCGTCGATCTCGTAGCGAGGCGTGGCAGTGGGCAACAAATGTCTCGTGCATCGTGGCACAAACCTGCAGCAAGACGTCAGGCTGGGCATTGGCAGGAATCCCATCCGAATGGACCGTGAGGTTTTATTTTCTTTTGCCTTGGACTGTTATAGTCCACACAGGAGACCGCATCTCCCAAGGCCTACCGAGTCGATTCTCTGGGCGAGTTGTGTTTGTCCAGAGACACTGCAAATCTGAGGTCCACAGTGGGACAGTTCTAATAGTGACCTGCTAGTGAGGCAAGTTGGGCCAAGGAGGGTAAGGGTTATTAAGGACCCCATCCCTTGGAGCCATAATTTCCCCGTCCACCCATCCGTGAAGTGCCTCTTCCCACTTGGCAACTGCCTTGTTGGACTAACAGAACGCCGAGTATTTACTTAGGAAGTCACAGTACAGCTGGGATGGGCCATGGTGTCTCCAAAACGACGGTTTTCCTTGAAAACCCACCGGCGAATTGCCCAAGTGGTGTCGGACATGCCGACTCTCGAGCCACGCCGCAGCACGCTGAACAAGTCCGTCGGCAGGATCCAGCGGCTGACAGGCCATAGGACATCATGGTCAGCTCGCACTCGCTTCCACTGGTTTGACCTAGTCTTTTAGCCGCGACCACCTTGGCTAGCTAAGCCAACCAAAACACCGTCGGCATAACCTCGTCGACCTCCGTCGCTTCAGCCCACTGCAGTTGCTCGTTCATCGCCCGGGCTTTCAAGCTTCAACGTGTGGCCGACGCCGTGCGGCAGAGATGGCTGTCTCCGCTCGTTCTAGTGACATGAGTTCACATTTGAGGTTACAGCCGTGATGCAATCAGCCGGCTCTGAAGTATATATGTCCATGTATCGCGACGTTCCTGGCTGACCTCCGTGGCTGACCTCTCGCCGTCACCATCGTCTTGAGGACCTGTATTTTCAATCGCGCTCCTGTAAGCCGCAACACAAGTGATAAGCAGTCGACCTCATCCCAAAAAGTGATCCTGTGAAGACCTCAGGACATCCCTCGAGTAAAACCATATTTTCTCACCGAGCCATCGTTTCGACGACACAGTACTATGGGTATCATCTTCAGCGCAATATCGCAGGCGTTTCCGCCCAAGCCCAGCTTCACCGAGAAGGACATTGGGAATCTGAGTGGCAAGGTAATCATCCTACCTGGCGCCAATCGAAGGAAGTTAACGGGAGCAAGGGCAACACTAACTGAGGTCAGGTCTACATCGTCACTGGTGCCAACACAGGTCTCGGCAAAGAGATCGCTCAGATCCTCTACTCCAAGGATGCCAAGGTCTACTGCGCAGCTCGTTCGAGGGAGAAGGCCCAGGGCGCAATAAATGCAATCAAGGCAGCCTGGCCCAACTCTCGCGGGCAGCTCATCTTCCTGCCCCTCGACCTGGCCGACCTGAGCACTATCAAGGCCTCCGCCGAGGATTTCCTCTCCAAGGAAGACAGACTGCACGTCCTCTTCAACAACGCCGGCGTCATGAAGCCGCCCAATGGCTCCAAGACGGCCCAGGGTTACGAGCTGCAGCTGGGCGTCAACAACCTAGGCACGTTCCTCTTCACGAAGCTCCTGACCCCGACTCTCGCCCGCACCGCCAGGGCCGAGGACCCGTCCTCGGTGCGTGTCGTTTGGGTGAGCTCGTCGGCCGCCGAGTCGATCCAGGTGCCCAGTGGAGGCGTCGACTTGTCCAACCTGGACTACCACGTCGACAAGAGCCCCTTCGACAAGTACTGTGTGTCCAAGGCTGGTAACTACCTCCAGGGCGTGGAGTTCGCCCGGCGTCACAAGGAGGACGGCATCGTCAGTATCCCGCTCAACCCTGGCAACCTCAACTCGGATCTATGGCGTTCGTTCGGTAGCGGGGCGCAGGGTTTCTTGAGGAGCTTCGTGCTGCACCCACCCATCCTTGGAGCTTACACACAGCTCTTTGCTGCATTTTCACCCCAGGTGTCTATCGAGAGATCTGGTGAATGGGGTAAGCTGTCCCAGTGGCTCGTTGATATCACACCTTTCAGCTGACTGTTATGCCCGTCCAGTGGTCCCGTGGGGTAGATTCATGAAGATCCGACAGCACCTGCTGGATGGAAGCAAGCCGGTTTCTGAAGGAGGTAACGGCACAGCGGAGAAGTTTTGGGAGTGGAGCGAGGAGCAGGTCAAGCCTTTCTTGTAGACGAGGGAGCGGTGGTATCAAGGCTCAGTATCTTTCCTCCATGATTTTTCATACCTGTGCCGTTTAATCGGGGTCGCACACAGTTGTCTTGAGCAAGTGAGGGAAGCAAGAGAATAAGCAAGATAGATTTCAGACTAACATCATACACGTACTAATTCATCCCGGGTCTGGCACTCTGTCTCGCTGAACAGGTCTCGGGCATTCTCACTTGTACAACAGTCTTCAATGCAGCTTGGTTTTTGCCATGCGTGCTCACTAATATTCACTGGGGAGGGAGCCGTCAGGCGGCACCAGGGCATATAAGCAATCTAGCGGCATGACCCCCTAACCTCCTGTAATTTAATTTCCTGTAGGACAAGCTCACAAGGCGTCTTTTCCGGAAGTCGTGGTTCCAGCTCATTGAAACGTCAGGGCAACTCTGTCATGACTGTTGTTTGTCCGCGTTGATATTTCATGATGCCGACTTTTGAGGCGTGACAAGAAATTTTGGAGCGCGTGAAAGACGCACTTCTGTGTTTCTCGTTATTGTCTGTGGCACATCGAATTTGGGTCCCCAAGTGAATATCATCAAATGACGTTGACTTGGTCGACAGCATGATCGCTGCCGGATGATCTTGATTTTCGCCTCTATCAACTTCTTGGTATTAGGGAATCCGCTTCTTATCGCATGCCGACCATGATTCCTCGCATACCACGGCCAATCTTACCACTCTCTGCAGAATCAGGAGGTATGAGGTAATGATTGCTGAGGACTTTCGTGGATGACTGGCGGCTCCAAGTCAAATGGCTGTAAAGAAATTCAGGCGTGCCACCGTCTCTCTGCTTCAAGACTGCAAAGCGGCGTGAAATAGATTCAAGCGAACAATTCTGAATGAATTGAATAGCGCTTGAGTGCTTTCCAGCATGTGCCTGGACAAACCGCAGGCGGGAGGAATGATAGGGCGGCGTTCAATGGTGTCAGGCTCTCCCACGTAAGGGCAGCAGCGAGCTTTACTCCTCTGGCCTTGGTGGTCCATCATTGCGATACTCTCGAGCCTTGTTCGCCTGTGTGTCGGGTTAGCAAACAGCGGAAGACATGCGTGTGTGTTGACGGCTGGGGAGCCACTGCTACAGGATGCGTACCCGGTTCACTTTGGCGGCCTGTATCGAAGAACGTGTCCAGCTGGGTCATTCAAATTAACACCTCAACTTGCATACATATGTTCAATAAGCTTCAGACAGCTTTAGAGAGGCTCACACGAAGAGAACGCACGCCATGGTGAAAGCTGCCAGGGGTGCCATAAGGTTCTGCTCGTGGAGATGTCAGCGATGCGTGCTGAGAAGCGAAACGTGGGTAGAAAGCCCTGTACCCTCGGGTTGATACTGCCTCTCTGAGGTGCCATGATGACTGTGGTTAGGGTAATGAAATCAGAGGTGATATCGCAGTCTTCCGGCAGAATCCGGTGTGTTGCTGTAGGTGATGAGCCAGAGCACCAGCGCAGAGAAAAGGAGCTGCTGGCGATCGACGTTGGACGGGTTGTTCTGTGGTCAGGCCACACAGCACAGGGGTTTAACCCCCCTGTTCGGCGTTCAGCAGTCTGCGGTCCAGCAGTGGGGGGCCAAATGATCCTTCGAGTTACCTAGGGGCTTGCCTGAAGGTAGTAGGACAGCTGATGCTAGAATTATGAATTAACCATGTTGTACATTGTATATTACTGTAGCGGGCAAATAGATTCAAACCAAATTGTGAAGTTGCGTTGCTCACAGCTGCAGTCGCCGTTACAGGCGCCCCCGCGCACCTGCGCGCTGCGCAGACATGCCGGCTGTCTATTTCCGAGTTGCGGGATGAGGAGAAAGCCTCCGACGACACCGGAGCCCGTCCGCCCAGGAAAGTTCCCATTTCACAACGCACCAGACATGGCAGCCCGCCTGAACTCCATAGCAAGGATAATCACAGCAGCACCACGGCCAGCAATTTCTGTCGCAGCGTCCCAAGCTTGTCTCGGAACAACACAATTCAGGATGGCATCTTCGACCCCGAGGACATACGAATGGCTGGTGGTGGTCCCTGACAAGCCGGGCGCTCTCGCGAAGCGACTTGAAGTTCGACCGTAAGTTCCTAGGCCAGTTTTCCCAAAACTTATTTCCCCTCATACATGTATGTAACTGCCTGCTTGTGTACCAATTCTAACACATCCCAGCCAACATTTCGAGGGCCTGACCAAGCTGAAGGAGTCAGGCGCATTCAAGATGGGAGGTAATACAGCCCCACCTCTCTCCCCGCTACCGGGCACTCGAAACCAGATGCTGATAGCCCTTCAGGTGCCGTGTTGGAAGAGATGCCGCCGGATGACGAGGTCTCGAGCATGAAGTTCAGCGGATCCACCCTCATGGTTGTGGCGGAGAGCAAGCAGGCGGTCATTGACCTGATCAAGGACGACATCTACGTCAAGTCCGGCGTCTGGGACCTGGAGAAGGCCCAGATCTGGCCCGCCAAGATCGCCTTCAGGTTCCCTTAGAACTACGCACCAGACAGGCTGTCTTGAGAATGTGGGCAGGCACGGGCTTGAGCAGAATGTGCAGACTGAGGTATCAAGTCATGAAAGGAGGCATGAGAACGCCCTTTACTGAATCTGTGACACTCCTTCAGTGAAACATGCAATTCATACCACGAAGGGGTCATCCCCAGCTAATGCCCCACAACAAAGCCCAGAGCAACAACCATAACCATGGAGATGGAGCGTTGTCTTACAGTCAAGGCACCAGTTGTTCTGTGGGAACACACGTCTCATGTTATTGCAAACAACCTCTGTCGAGAGCCCTGATCTAATCCCGCAACACTCCTGCCACAAGCACAGTAAATAAGTATCAACCACCAAACCCACCATCGTACCATGTGATTTGGGGCCGTCAGTCCCGAGCGCCAGCAAAACATGCGACAGCCCCAGAGCCGTTTCACAACCCGCTGGTTCGTCCAGATGCAGCCAACCCAGGCCTGAGCTCATTTTACCATACTCCGTAATGAATTTGGCTGTCGATACAAGGAAGCAGTTTCAAATCGCTGGTTAGTTCTCGTCACCGCCAAAAGTATGAGCAAATGCAAAGTTAGTTGTGACTTTGACCTGGAGGGCCGCCCTGGTCTGCATCGCTGGGCTGTAGGAGGCACTGCGGCACGGCTTGCCTTCCCCCACGAGTTCAGTTCGCCAGTATACCTGCAGCATGAGCTTTCACCCACACCACAACCCAACTCCCGGCCCCTCAACGACCAGCACCTGTGGATTTATCCTCTGTGAATCTTGTACATCCATCCTCCGTCACGGCTCTAAGACGCCGTTATTTATGCATCAGCATTCTCGGACGCTTCCGCACGAGATTCGGCGTCGACCCGCAGTTCATAGTTGAGCTCGAAGCACTCCGCGAGAAGGTCCGCCACTGCTGCTTGACCTTCTGGGATGTCTCCATTGATCTCGAATTTTCCGTCGGTGCGCATGTTGTCGATGGAGTTGAGCTATGGTCAATCAGTAATTTTGCCCGGGCATTGAGATATCATAGGTTTGGTCCCACCTTCATGCTGTAAGGGTATAGTTCCCTCACTGAGCTCCCGCCCCCTGAGTTCTTGACCTCGAGCAGACACCGCTTCAAGGTCGACAATTGGTTATATACTGGCAGCAATGCTTCTGACACTGGCTCCGATAGTACCATAAGGTGGTAGATGTAGCCGTAACTGCGCCTAATCAGGTAGAGCAATGTCTACAAGCCTTGTCAGCTGCCGGTGGATCCACGTAGATGGACTGGATGGTACGTACCCTCTGCACATAGAGCTCTGCCGGCTTGCCCTCCTCGTCCAACCAATTGCCATCCACTCTGGCCTCGTCGATCTTGTCGAGCTGCCGTTGGTAATCGTAGAGATCGGTCTCTCTGAGAGACCACGCCGGTGTGATCGAGAACTTATCGAGATCATTGCGGATGCCAATCAAGACATCGTAGACACTTCTCCACTGCTCTGGCATAACGCCTTTCCTCTCCAACACAATGTCGGACCACATAAGAACCCGGCTCAGGAGCTCAGACACCACATCGCTGCCCTTGGCGACTTGACCATCTGCGGCAAGAAACTTCCCGTCTTGCCGCTGTGCGTCAATTTCCTTCAACTGAGCTTGAAGCTTCTTGACCTCGGAAGTGTTAAACTACGAAAACGTCAGTAATTTGTCTTGACAACCCCGGACAGCCCATGAACTCACTTTGGCTTTCGTGTTTGCCAGCGACAGAGACCTCAAAATCGAGATAACCTTCTCATGCACAGTAAGCAACGTCTCATCCAGGTCGTCCAGCTTTTTCTGCAACATTGCCAGTGATGATTGGCACAGTTCAACCCTCTTCGACAACAATTTGAGCAGGTACGGGGAGTGCCTCGCGTCCGCATCGTTGACGGTTCTCGAAAGCTGGTCTAGCGTCTTGGCCATACTATCCAAGTCCTTCGCAGAGAACAGGTTGGCTTCCGTGAGGTGCTTCAGCAGGCGCTTAATGGTCGAGGTAAGGGAGTATGCCGCGGGCGCCTCATTCGTCCTGCCGATCGTCATGAAGAAGAGCGACACGAGCTGGAAGCAGCTCTCAATGATCTTATCAAGGCGGTTCTCGCCGGCCTGATCCTTGGCGTCTCCCCGAATCTCGTTGACCTTGCGGATCTCCTCGATGGTTTGCTCGTATAATCCGATGACATCCTGGGACCGAATGTATTTTGTCCGGTCCTGTTTGAGAAGAAGAAGCTGGTCACGGATTGCCGCGAGGCGCTCCATGACCTCCTGCTCCCGTGCATCCTGGGGAGGTGGGATGACAGGTGTGTCCATGATGGGCTGGGGTGACTGACGGGCCCCTCTCTAAAAACCGGTCGAAGGTGGTGAAATGAGACAGACTCTTTGAACTGTGGCGTATACAAACAGAGCGAGACTATTGCGAGCGCCCCGAAGCTCTTTTCCAAGACCAAATGATGGGATTCCAGCAATGTGAGATGCGGCGTCTGCAGTTCCGGCGCCGTGAGGAGAAGATGAAGATCTCGCGTGCTCCGTGTCCTTGGCTCAAAGTGGACAGCAGCTCAAGGTCGGCGCCCCAAAGGTGGTGTCCAGGTACGCGGAACGCACGGGGTTATGACAAAGGAAGCGCAGGATGGGCAGCGCAAGTAGTTCCCGGTAGTCTGGGGCCAGTGGCACTGGATGTCACTCAGATCAGCATCGGTAGATAACACGTGAAATGGCCGGTTGGTGAGGTTGCTTTCACGATGGTCTTGCAAAAGCAAAATGGGGTTCGCAAGCTGCATTGACTGATGATGGTCGAACTCAGTTCAACGTTTCCAGCAACCCCTCGGAAGCACCTCAGACGTCAGTATAGTGGGGTGCGCAGGCAGGAATGCACAGTACCTGTACGGTACGTAGGGGTGGCAGGTGGCAGGTGGCAGGATGGCAGGATGCCAAGGGGCTAAGCTCTGGGTGGGGTTGCCAGCAGGCTAATCGATAAGCGCCTAGGCCCAGTGCTTGGCCCACCCAGCCTGCCAGCCCAAGCACCCAGCTCAGCACGCAGCCGGCCGTCCGGGCGGGCGCCTGAGGTACCTTGGTACGTACGGTACCTTGGTACGTACCGACCGACCCGGCGGAGAAAAGATTTTCAGGGCACCGAAGCTCACAAAGAAAAATTGGAGGAGGACTACCACCTCTTACGCCGTCGACCAACCGCCAGCCCCGACATCGACGACTGTCAACAACCACCTCGCGAGATACCCTCGATCGTTTCCTTGCATCCCGCAGCCCACAAACAATCCGACACTCACAATGTCTAACGCTGAGCTGGCATCTTCCTACGCCGCCCTCATCCTCGCTGATGAGGGTGTTGAGATCACCGTACGAGAAAAGCCCAGCCCCCGACCCGACCCACCACCGTTTTCGCGATGTCGTCGCAATCCACCATGATGTCGGCAGACTTGCTGACAATGAGGATTACAACAGGCCGACAAGCTGCAAGCCATCATCAAGGCTTCCGGCAACGAGATCGAGCCCATCTGGACCTCTCTGTTCGCCAAGGTACGACCAAATCCACCGACCGACATATGACGAAGACCCACCCCTGCAAATATTCGAGTCGCAGGACAACCTGGGGATCTAGGATTCAAGGACAATGAATGCTGACGAGGACGCGCCCACAGGCTCTTGAGGGCAAGGACGTCAAGGACCTCCTGACCTCCGTCGGCTCCGGTGGTGGTGCCGCACCCGCTGCCGCTGGTGCCGCCGCTGCTGGTGGCGCTGACGCCGCTGAGGCCCCTAAGGAGGAGGCAAAGGCTGAGGGTTTGTACATCCCGTATCTGGGCGACCACGTTGGCGAGCAGCAGGACCTGACCACTGACATCCGGCACAGAGAAGGAGGAATCCGACGACGACATGGGATTCGGTCTGTTCGACTAAGCGGTTTCCACCACGATTCCAACTGCCGAAACGACGATCACCACCACCTCTACGACGACTTCCTCGCTGTACTTCCTTTGAAATCTCTCTGCATTGGGTTGCGGGTCTTTAAAATACCATCTACGACTAAGGGATGGAGGCCACGGTATATGGTCGCAGGGAACTGGAGTAGCGCGAACTTGATGGAACCGGATTTTGATGATCATGCAAATCAAAAGAGAAATTTGCGCCCTCACGTGTTGGCCCCAGTCATGATTAGCCTTGCAAGGTCGTGACGTTTGACAGTACGTTTCGAGACCGGATGCCGGGCCAAGCACCTAGCCCTCCAGGTCGTCAGTTGCGTGAGCCTCCAGTCTCGCAAACCGAACGCAGAGCCCCCGTCTGAGCCAGCAGTGCGTACTGGCTCGATCTTCGTTGCTGCTTCGCGAGAAACATCGACCACGAAATTTTCAATGATGACTTGCAGCCAGCCTGGAGAGGTTGACCGTAGACTTTGAAAGCCGATCGCGTATGTCCGTCTATCATCAGCAAAAAGGCGCGATGAATCTGGTGCCAGCGGACACCCCTTCCGAGTGCCTTAAAAGATCTGGCAAGTATAGTGACGATGCCTAAAGTAGAGCATGTTTGAAGTGCAGCCCGCCTTGCAAGTGGTTTCCTCCCGATTGCCCCCGATTGCCCGTATCTTGGTGTCTGGGCCTGGCGCCCATAAACATGTCTGATATACTTGGTGACTCAATTCGGTGTCGTGCCAAAAGGACAGTAGGTACGTCTTCATGTTCCTCTTGAAATGATGTAGTTTATATTTGCAACAGACATTGTGGAGCTTGCTTTGGGGACTTGCTCAGATGCTGGCCGTGTTATGAATGAATTGGGAATTGATCCACCTGGTACAGTCACATGTCACACATTGCAAGGAAACAACGTAGAAGACCAGGCACGAGAGCGCATGTGCCTTGATGCTTTTTGTTGATGCTGGGCCCCTTCGCCACACCCCAGTTATGAGAGTGGCTATCTTCGCTGCACGGCAACCGCCGGCTTCTGCCACTTGAAATGCCCAGGGAACTAGTCAGGCAATCTCCCCAACAGAGCTGTGAAGACTCTCTGAGCTGCTGATAAGAACCATATAGGCATGGTAACCACAAGTTCCGCTATGGCTCAGACGAGCATCGCGCCCTCTTCTCTCAGAAACATAAACATGCTCTTTTGGCCCTCACTGGCTCTGATCAAGATCCATGTTTTGCAGCATCTCATCTATGCTAACTTCTCGCCTCACGCCACTCTCACCACTCTTCCGAGGAGATCTCCCCGGGCGCAGCAGGAAAGCCTCCCCAGTCAGTTCCGACCGCAGCACCTACTTAACGATGAGCACACCGCTAGGGACGAGACCGACCTCCCGGAGCGTCTGGCCAAAGTCGACGCCCGCCTCGAAGGTCTTGCGCGGGAACGTTAACGTGAAGCTGGCCACCGTGGTCCCCTGCTCCGACTCGATCGCCTGCGCCACCTCGAACAGAGTCGTCTCGGCGGGGAAGTTCTTCTGCAGCACTCCACCGGGGGTCTGCAACCGCAGTCTGGCGTCGGTGTAGCTTGTGCTGGGCTTAGGCTGCGGTGGAGCTGCGGCGGCGGCAGGCTCCGCGGCAGCTGGAGGGGCCTTGCCCTCCCTGGCGGCCTTGGCCTCCTCGGCCTTGCGCCTCCTCTCTTCCTTGTCCGCCTCGATCTTTGCCTTGATGCGCTTCTTGGCTTCCAGGTCGTCGAGCTTCTCCTGACGCTTGCGCGCGGCCTCTTTGATCTGCTCCTTACGTTGGAGCTCCTCCTTGGCGTCCTGGGTCTCTCTGGTGGCCTTCTGCTTGATCCTGTCGTTCCGCTTCTGCTCCTCCTTGTCGGTGATGGATTGTCTGGCTCTCTTCTCGGCAAGGGCGGCGCGCATCTCCTCCAGCTTTTGTTTCTTCTCCTCCTCTGTCAGAGGCTTGAGCTCCTCGGTCGACTCGGAGAAGTTCTCGTGGCCGGTCTTGGAGGCGTGGAACTCGGCGAGAGCGGTGGTCCTGAACTTCTTGCCGCAGTCATCGCACGCGAGGGACTTTGCAAGCTGGCCCTCCTCCAAGCCCTTGATCGCCGCCTGGGTTGCTGCTTCGTCGTCGTCTTGGGGCGCCTCAAGCTCGCCAATGGGTGTGTCTTGGTTCTTCTCGAGCCACTCGAGTGCGCCTTGAAGCCCGCCGGATTTCTTGATGGCCAACTCCGCGCGAGGCTTCTCGAACCCCATTTCCAGGAGGGCGTCGAGGTCTGATTGCGCCATGGTGTTGACTAGAGCGATTTCACGAAATAAAGATGAGAGATGGTGTAGGAATGAGAGATAGGGACAGGGACGAAGTGGCGTGTCCTTGGGAGGAGGCGAAGCGTGTGCAGCCTACCTCAAGCGCCTTTCTTAGTAATGAGTCTATATGCAGGAAGGACGAAGATACTCACTCGGATCTGGTCCGGACGCTGACTTTGCCTAGACCTGATAACTGAGTCTAGAATGTTGTGGAAGACAACCTGCTGGTTCGAAGTGGACAGCACTTAATGAAGTTGAACGATGTGTGTTTGGCAAGGCACCCAGAGGTAACGTCAGAGGGGCAGCTACTGTGGGGCAAGCTCTGGGATGTACCTGTGTACTTCCCTGGGCGGACACGTTGAGTACGGGCTGCTATTGTAAGCAGGTCCCAGAGGTTCATGTGAAAGACGTTTTGAACGTTTGAGCGAGGTGAGACATTCACTGCCCACACTAGACCTTCACCTGACATGCAGTCTTGCTCTCTGCATGCTGAGGAATGGACTGTTCAACCTTCCAAACAACGTCTGCGAGATTATCATGTATAACTTGGTCAGCTTGCTGTATTCGGAGTATTGTGTCCTAGCCCCCACATAGACTTGGAGAGCAGATCTTGGGAGGGCAGATCTGCCGTCAAGTACCTAGGCAGGTAAGCATAGCACATCGCACAGAAACGCAGGTATTCTTTGTGCGCAGTCAAGGCAGTCTTTGGTCCTAATTGATGATCCCGAGGGAAATGGTGGGTGCCAACAGGAGATTGCCGAGATGCGCTAGAGTCACAGGCATGGGCCACCTCACTTTGGGGAGGGCCCGAGTTCATCAGAAGGAGGCCACTTGCAAATTGAAACTTGGCCTCCAGCGGCTGGCCAGGCCTGCCTTGATCCCCGTTGGCCTCCCAAACCAGTTCTTCCCCCAGTCCACTCAAGGTACGGATTGCCTCTAGCACCAATCTCGTAAGACCTGTGCCGTCATTCACCTTTTTCTGGCACCTTTGCGCAGCCCATCCTGCATCTCTCTTCAGCTTCACGTCCGTCCATCTTGCATTGTGCTGCCAGCTCCCGCAGGTAACAATCGCGCATCAAAGACAACCCTCGGAACCCCTGGAGTCATTATTCACCCGAGTCGGGTCTCCTGCCCTTTCTGTTCTATCCAGCCGTATCAACTTGGTCTCCGAACCTCCGCCTGTTGATCAATCTGCCCATCCACAACCCCGACCCGCTTCGATTATTGAACGGCCACGCGACCGCAATCTGCAGATTCGCCATCCGCTTCTGTGCCCAGCGAAACCACCATGTCTGTTGAAATCGATCCCCAGGAGCTTGGCTTCCGCCGTATGTCGCCCGACTGCTTTTCTTCAAGAGTCCCGTCCTCTGCCACCATGAGGGTGCCCGGCTGACCAGTCCCCCCAATCCAGGGCCCTTTACCGTCGAGGTCTCCCAGCTCCTGAAACTCAAGAACCCGAACAAGTCCCCGGTGGCTTTCAAGGTGAGATCCTCTTGGACTATCGTGTCGCATCGGCATCTTGCTGACGTCTCCAGGTCAAAACAACCGCCCCCAAGCAGTACGATCAACCACCACGCCGAAATACGTTGCAGAAGAGAAGGCTCACGAGACATCTAGGTACTGCGTGCGGCCAAACTCGGGTCGCATCGAGCCCGGTCATGAAGTCGAGGTCACTGGTTCGTCGCCCACCCAGAGCTTGTCCAGTGTATCACATGTCAAGTACCGAGCTGACATGCGGTATCTACAGTCCTCCTCCAGGCCATGAAGCAGGACCCTCCTGCCGATACCAAGTGCCGAGACAAATTCCTGGTCCAGTCCGTCCCAATCTCTGGAGACCTGGAGTTTAGCAACGTGCAAACGATCGTTAGTCGCGCCTAATCCTTCACGTAACCCGGTGCTCACGTGCAGATACTGACCACGCGAAACTACAGTGGGAGTCTGTTGAGAAGTCGCAGGTCCAAGAGAAGAAGATAAGAGTCGTCTTCCTGCCTGCTGGTGGTGCAGGTTCCGCTGGCGGTGTTGCTGCTACTCCCATCAGGCCGCAGAACTTCACGAACGGCGTAAGTACCCTTGCCACACTTATCGTAAGGAGCACAAGTTGATCAGGACAACCACAGGTCGAGCAAACTCCGGATACCGTCCCGCCTCCTGCTTACTCCTCGCCGGACGAGCACCGACCCACCAGCAGCAACGCTCCCCCATCCGAGGGCGCCTCCGAATACAAGGACGACCCAGATGTCACCGCACCGATTGCTGCCTCCCCCCAGGTGCCGACTGATACTTCTAAGGAGGAGGTGAAGCGTGATCTCGCAAGCTCAGGGGGCATTGCTGCTGTGCCCGCGGAACAAGAGGGCTTGCGACAGCGTAAGGGCCCTACCGCCGCCGACGTTCCCAAGGCAGCCCAAATCGCTACTGCCGCGATACCACAGGGTACAGAAGGCGTCCCCATCCAGATTGTCGCTGCACTGTGTCTTGTCAGCTTTCTCTTGGCGTACTTCTTCTTCTAGGCGCAGATCCTGTGCGGCGTGGCTGTCGTTTTGATTGTAAGATCGGGTCTCAAGCGGAGAAGAACAATAGCGAGAGACTTTTGGAACAATATTTTATAACACAGAGGCACACCGATTTGGCTTGTCTTCGGACTGGAGATACCACGGAAGCAAGTTCTGTCTCGACGCGTTCGTGAGACTCGATGGATGCGGGCAGTTAGTACGAGGTTGGATTAAGGGCGCCTAAGGGCGGCCATCGAAACAACGTGATGGCGAGTGAGACGGACACTAGGACAGGAGCGACTGCTTTGACGGCCGAAGATTTTGAGAAGGTAGTTTATCATGTATTTACGTTGCGGCGTCGACCAAGGCGCTCTTAGCAGTCTAGGGTGTTCCCTTTTAATGATTGTCTTCTTTCGGGTTCACTTATTTCGAAACCAAGGCAACGTGCGTTTCCAGGAGGATGAACAAGGAAGACCGCAGTGCGATGGTGTGGTGCCTGTCGGTCAATTTAACTTATTGTCGAAACCGTCATGCCGGAGCTCGAGTCCCAATATCCACACCCTAATAACGCATTGCAGGCCCAGTACCATGAACATGCAAGACCATTTGATTAGCCATAGCAGGGCACAGTGATTTTCGAGACGATTCAAGTTCCCCTCTTTATAAATGCACTTGAACATATAAAGAAGGATAGCATCTGGATTGCTTGCGTTCTAAGTAGGACGGTTGCCACTAGGTCTACAATGGCACCATATCGTCTTAACGTAGTCTATCATGTACAAACGCACATCTAAAAATGTACCGCATCATAATTTCGCCTCCTTGCTCGCCCCATTCCGTGCTGCGAGGTTCCGCGCTGCCGGCAGGATCATACACACATGGTGGCTAAGGGCCACAATATCACCAACCTCGTCCAAGACGACCACCTCAAGATCATAGCGACCATTCCGGATCTGCTTGGCCCTCGTCCTGACAAACAGCCAATCAACGCCCTCCTCCGGCAGCGCCTTCTTGACGTCCAGGTTGAGCAGCAGGGTCGGGTACCAGAACTTTGCCGCGCTCTTCTCCTTCGCCGCCGCCGCCGCCGCCGAGTCTGCACCTCCGACGGCATAGGGGTCGGAGCGCGCCCTGAACGACTCGGGGATTTGCGGGAACATATCGGCCACCATGCCGAGGCTGGCGTTGGTGAAGCGCTCCCCGTTGCGGAAGGCCATCCACTGGTCGGCGATGCCTGGGGCCGGCTGCCCGTGCGCGGGGAAGAAGAAGCGGATATTCTGCGATGCCTTCCTGAAGTCAGAGAAGGGCATCGACTTCTGCTCCTTCCATTCGACGTCAGACCCGGCCTCCAGCGCGGCGGTGCTGCCGAGCGGCCGAGGGGCCGGCTCGAGGCGCCACCGCGTGTCGTAGGAGGGCCCTTCTGCCCTGGGGATGTTCGAGTTCGTCAGGTACCCTATGACCTCCTCGCGCCCGTTCTGGAAGAGCGAGATGTGGACCGTCGAGGTGAGCCGACCGACCTTGACGTCGCGGACCTTGAACGTTGCGGGGCCGACCTCGGTCCTCCTCACGAACTCGACGTGCAGTGTTATCGTATGCGGCTGGTTCTGGCTGGACAGTGTCTTTGAGAAGTGTGTCTTTGCGACTTGTAGAAAACACGATGTGATGTATCCGCCGTGCGGGACTACACAGTCGGCGTTAGCCCCGTGTTCATCGGGGACCTCGGCACGTTTTACTGACCTGAGCCGATGCACCAATTATCGTGGAAGTATGCGCCATACTCATGAGAGGATTTCTGTGTTATGGCGATGCCCTCCTGGAAAGATAACATGGCTGCAAATGATCAATGTAACTTCCGATGAACTTTGAGTGAAGTCTATTCTTGCCCGAACTGTGTTTGTGGGATGTGTGTGTCGTGAGTGAATGCTGGCAATTTGGAGATTCTCCATCCTGAATTGGCAGCTAACACGGTTTCATGGCTAGGCCGAGGCACAACACGATCCTTGAAAGTGGCCGTCCAGAGCAAGAGGAGTCTATTCTTCGCAATTTTTGTTTCTCGCATCGGCGAAGATGCTATTCAACACCGTTTAGATGATATCTCCCTTTTTTTGTCTATCATGTTCACATAACTCCTAAGAGAGCCGGTCCACAACTATTGCCACTTGGGCATATGTACGGGCGATAAATGCATTTACAGTCCATCATAATCATATCAGATCCAACCCATCAAGAATTGCCGTGCAGCTTCTCAAGCCTCGATTTCCTGCGGTGTCCAATCCGCCACCTTGGCGACTCTCTCTGACTTGCCACCGACCTTGCGCCCACCGTTCTTCCTCTTCACCCGGCTTGTGATGCCGACATTCTCGTCCCAGAGGAACCGCCAGAGCACGAGCACCCAGCTGTCGTGGCGCGGCAGCGGGGCGTAGAACTCGTCCGCGATCTCCCTGAGCTTGGGCAGCTTGGTCCACGCCACAGCGGGGAAGTCGTGATGCTCATTGTGGTAGCCAACGTTGTACGTGAGCACGTTGAGCGGGCCGTAGTAGCTGAAAGTCTCCGGCACTGGGATGTTGTTGTTGGGGTCCCTGGCCTCGGGGACGACGGTCTCGTAGACGTAGTGCTCCGCGATGAAATGACCGGCGGTGGGGTGCCACGACCCGGCCAGGAACGAGCTGAGCAGGAGGTACAGGATAGGTTTGTAGCTGTCCAGGGACATAACCACGACGTAGTCAAATGCAAGTTGCACGACCAGGTTGAGGAGGTGGACCCAGGTGAAGGTGATCTGGAAGACACACATGGGCCGGATGGCGTAGAAGAAGATCTGGAAGGTGCAGAAAAATGCCTTGCCCAGGATAGAGTCGAGGACCACAGCCTCGAGGGCGGTAGGAAGATCGGTATCCAGACCGTCCACGCCCAGGGACTTGTGGTGTGTCAAGTGGTAGGGCCTGAAGCTCGCGCTGTAGGGCAGCCCGATGGGCAGATTGGCGAAGATGGCGAACAGCCTGTTTGCCAATAGTGATCTGAAGGCCAGGTTGTGGCTGATCTCGTGGATCGCGAGGAAGAGGTTCTGGTTCGCGGTCGCGCCGACGACGTATGCGAGCGCCCAGAACTTCCATGACCAGAATGAGGTGTCTTTCAGGATGTATCCGCAGAGAAACTGCAGTCCGACGACGAAGGCGACGACATATTTGGTTAACGGCTCGGGGCCGCAGAGCTTGGTGACCTGTTTAGAAGCTCCAGCGTTAGCATTGGACCCAGGACGACGACGAGGGCGGATGGCCTACCTCTGGATGAGCCTTGATGATGGCAAGTCGTCTTGTCCGGTGCGGCTCCTCCGTGTAGGTCCAAAAGAAGTCATGCTCCTTCTGGTCCGACTCTGCCTGTGCCTTGTCTGCCGCGGCGGCGCCGTTGAGCCTAATCTCGCCATTCGGAGCGGCCTTCCTCCTTTCGGCGCCGGCACTCGTCGTTGTGGTCGATGCGTTTGCCATTGTGTCTGGCCGTGTGGTATGTTCAGAAGGTGGTCAAAGTCGTCCAGCTTCTGAAAATTCCAGCGGCTCTAGTAGGCGTTGGATGGCCCAGGGATGGGTTGAGACTTCGGGAAGACGCGTTCCAGATCATGCGATTTGGAGACGGGTTGGGATGACTCTGGTCCGGCCGGGCGGTGGGTTATTGGGCGATTTGCGTCACAACCTAGAAAATACAGAAGTCGGCTGTGTCTTTTTTGTTGGGGTTGTGCCCTTGACGCAAAAGATTAACAGACAAGCCAAAATTTAAGCACTTCAGCTACCTGCAACTACACATAGAGTAGAAACAAAAAAGTTGTAGTGAATGAGACGCTCAACAAGTGCGAGAGGCCAAGCTACCGGTCCAGCATAGCAATGGTTACCTGTACCACAGCATGTTCACCCATGCATGGGTAGATTTGCCTCTTGGCGGGGCAGACCCTTAAAAGTCTAGAACCAATCACTGGCATAGGCCCGTGCCACATGGCGAGGGATGTTCAGGGGTGTCTGTGTACAGTAATCGAAAGCTTCCGAGGAGCTGCTATGTCTAGAAAACGAAACGCTCCCCCCCCCTGTCAAATTGATCAGCTATCCCCCCCCCCGCACCAAAATTTAGCTATAAACGCGAAATATATACCAATATCTTTAAGGACAACCTTATTAATATTAATTATATACTTAATTTAGTAAAAAAGAGGTTATTATAACCTTATTTTATATATATCTTTAAAATAATTAAAAGTAATAAAGTTTATTTAAGCTTATTATATAAAAAAATATAAGCTTTATTAACCTTAGCTTAAAGTAATTATATCTTATTTAAATTAATAAAAAGCTTATTTTAATAATTCTTAAAAAATAAAAGGTTAATTATTATAATTATATATTTATTTATAATATTAAGTTATTTATTTTATTAATAAATAATATATTAATTAATTAATTATATTATTATATATAAAAAAGCTAATAATAAAAGTAAAGGTTATTATTATAAAAAAGAAGTTAATAACTTAATTAAAAACTTTTTATAATAAGTTAATATATTATTTAATATATTATTTAATATATTATTAAAAATATTAAAAAGATTATTTTTAAAGTTATTTTTAATAAAAATAATGCTTTAAGTAATTTAAATAAAGTTAAAAGTTATTAAATATATTTAAATTATTATTATTAATTAATAATAATATAAATAATAATATTAAAAAGTTAAAAGGTTATTTCCTTTTAAGAAAATTATTAAGAAAAGCATTTTTTATATTATATATAAACATTATTAATATATAACCTTTTTTTATATTATTAATAAAGTAATATAACTTTAAGTTTAATAATAATAAATATAAAGCTTTTAATATTAATATATTATTTAAGTATTTTTTTTAAAAATTAAAAAAGTAAATTAAAGCTAAGTTTATTAATATAAGGAAAATAATAATTAAATTATTATAAGTTTTTATATAAAATAAGTTATTAATTATAAATAAAAATATTTTTAATTTAATTAAATATAATAAAGAAAATTATAAAATATTTAAAAAAAAGTTTTTTAATAATAATATTATTAAAATGCTTATTTTAATAAAAAAACTTTATTATTTTATAATTATATATATTTATAAAGTAACTTTTATAATAATATAAATAATACCTTATAATATTATAATATTAAAATAATTAAATATTAAAATCTTTAAGTTATTTTTATTAATAAAATTAATGTTTAGCTTAATAAATAATTTATTAATTATTAAATATATATAAAGTATTAATTTAATAAAAGGGTTATTATTATTTTTAAGCCCTTAAATTAAGTTAATAATTATTTATATAATAATAATAATAATAATAAATAAAAGACATTTCTTATAAGAAATTTATAAAAAGTTAATAAAAATATAATAATATTTTAAAAATATTTACTATAAAGTTAATTATTATTATTATATTAAAAGTAACTCTTTATAATAATAATATTATATTTTAAAAAATAATATATTTATAAATATTATTAATATTAATATATTAATTTAAATATAAGTTATAATTAATAATAAAGTTATAATTTAAAGGCTTTTAAAAATATTTTTTAATAAATAAAAAGAAGTTATTAAAGTTAATAAAAATAATAAAAAACTTAATATTAATAATATTAACTTTATATATAAATAAAAAAGCTTAAAAAAGGTAATAAATAAAATAATAATAATAATAATATAATAATTAACTTATTAATTAATCTTTATACTCTTAACTTTAAATATAAACATTTAATAATAATAATATTATTATTAAACTTATTATTAATATATTTATTAAAAAGCTTTTATAAGTTATTAATATTATTAATATTAATAACTTTTTATTTAAGCAGCTTTATATATTATTATTAATTACTTATATTTTTATTATTATTATTATAAATATTTAATAATTAAAAAGCTTTAAATAAAAACTTTATATTTAAAGCTTTATAATAACATTTTTATATATTAATAAAAAAAGATAATTAATAAAGTTATAAAAAGTAATAAAATATAGAAGCATTAATTTTTAAGCTTTATACTTAAAGAAGAATATTTAATTTAATAAAAAAAACTTAAATAACATTAAATTAATTAAAAGATTTATAAAGCTATATTTAAAGGAAAAGAAAAACTATTTTAAGCTCCTTAAAAGTAATAATAAGAAAGAAAAGCTATTATTATTATTAATATTAATATAAAATAAAAGTTATAATCCTTAATAAGCCCTTAAAAATATATATAGCAATATAACCCTTTAATTAATTAAGTAACTTTTCTTAATATTAAGTTATTTTTTAAGTTAAAATTATTATAAAAGAGAATATAAAGATAAGGCAGCTATTCTTAATATATTAATTTAAATTAAGACGGCGCTACCTTTTATATAAGGAAGAAGTCTTATGAAAATCATAAGGCAGGGGTTTTATGCTTAAGGGGTGTAAGGCTTAAAGCCTTAGTAAATGCCTGCAGTTAATAAAGTCCCTTACTTATATATTTACTTATAAAAATGCTTTATTAAGAAATATAAAAAGCTTTTAAATATTACTTAATAATATATTAATAATAAAAAGCAAGTTTAAGGTATTTTTTAATAATTTTTAAAAAAGTAATTATTATTATTTATAAAGGAAAAAAAGTATAATTAATAAAAAATTAATAAAGCATTTATATATAATAAAAAGAGTTTTAAAATAAGTAATTAAAAAGTTAATTAAGAAAATTAAATATATTTCTTATAATAAATTCTTAATTATCCCCCTTTATATTTTTAATAATATTCTTTTATTAACTTTTTTATTATTAATTAATATATTAAATTAATTTTATTGTAATATTCTTTTCTTTTTATTATTATTACTTTTTCTTTTTTTTTCTTAATTAATTATATAATATTTTTATTAACCGTTATTATAATTTTTAACTTTAAAACTTTTCTTTAATATATATATATAATAAAAATATTTTTTAATTACCTTTATATATTAGTTAATCTTTTAAATACTTAAATATAAAAAATCTATATAAATTATTATTATTATTATTATTATTATTATTATTATTATTATTATTATTATTATTATTATTATTATTATTATTATTATTATTATTATTATTATTATTATTATTATTATTATTATTATTATTATTATTATTATTATTATTATTATTATTATTATTATTATTATTATTATTATTATTATTATTATTATTATTATTATTATTATTATTATTATTATTATTATTATTATTATTATTATTATTATTATTATTATTATTATTATTATTATTATTATTATTATTATTATTATTATTATTATTATTATTATTATTATTATTATATTATTATTATTATTATTATTATTATTATTATTATTTATTATTATTATTATTATTATTATTATTATTATTATTATTATTATTATTATTATTATTATTATTATTATTATTATTATTATTATTATTATTATTATTATTATTATTATTATTATTATTATTTATTATTATTATTATTATTATTATTATTATTATTATTATTATTATTATTATTATTATTATTATTATTATTATTTATATTAATATTAATAATAAATATATTTGTTTAAATCTTTAAAATATATTTTAATTAAGTTAAAATTAAGCGAATATAATAATAAATATATTAATTAAATATTCCTTGCCTTAATAACCTTATAAATAGCATTATTATAATATTATAAAGCATTATTTATTATAAGGATTAATTATAAGCTTAAATAAGCAATTATTTAAGGTAAAACCTTTTTAAAAGGTATATTAAAAAGAACTTTTTTATTATATACCTTTTATATATTATAATATTAAGGAAAGTATTAATTATAATTATTGAAAATAAATAAAAATAAGTATCTTACTTAAAAAAACTTTTTATTTAAGAAATATATTTAATTAATACTTAGCTTATTTTTCTTATATTATTATATTTATTAAATCTTAATTTAATATAAAAAATAAATATCTTAACATTATATTATAACTTTAAAATTTATAAAAAATAATGATTTTAAAGGTTTTTATTATATTATTAAGTTAATATATATACTTATTTATTAATTTAATTATATACCTTAAAAGCCTTTATAACAATTAATATAATAATATTAATTTAATATCTTTTAATAAAAAAACATTATATTTTATTAAGATATATATTTAATTTATTAAGAAAAAGAATTTTAAGCTTTTATATAATAATAATAAAGTATTATTAATGCTTAACAAGCTTATTACATTAAAAAGAATTATATATTTTAAAAGCTTATTACTTTAATTTATTAATATTTAATAATAATAATAATAATATATTAAAGGTTATAATATTTATAATTATATGCTTCTTTATATATTTAACTTATTAAACAACATTATAATACTTATAAGGAATGTTATAAATTATATAATATAAGTATATAAGTT